ACGTTAGTTAACGGTAGTTTTTCATACTATATATCTAGAAGGAAATATAATTTGTGAACCCAACGCCCTTTAAAGAAGCACTTATTGAACCAGTCTGTTTGATAAGCATGAGTTTTAAATCTCTCTATGGATGAGCTATCTATAAGGAAATAATTATTTGAATAACAATGAAAACGTAGTCTGTCTAATTGCATTGAGAAATAAAGACTGATAAACGTTTAGTTTTGATATTCCGGCATTATGATTGCATTGCTTGTGCATTGCATTGTTCAAATAGAGCAACTTAAATGGATGAAAACGATGATTTTTCAACCTTTAGATAATGGAAATTTGTCTAGTTGTCCCATGATCTTGCCGTCACATTTGAGTGCCGATCAGGAGTACCAGATTTTAATCCCGAGTTAGGCAAAATGTTACTTCGGGTTTTGGTGTTTTATGGAGAAAATATGAAATAGAACGCGTAGTAAAGGTCCTTGCTTTGTAGTATACCTTAAGCCTAAAGTAATTTTGTCTTATCCAAATCCGTTTTATTTCATGACTCCGATAAAATGTTATTGACAGCACGCGAAGTGCCAGTTGATTGAAACAAACTGACATACTTAAGACGTGCCTATTGTAATAAACTGGAAATACATGTGGACATATCAAAGCAGTGTGGGAAAGAAATAAACAATCGCTCATTGCAGTTTTGTGCCTATTAATACTGGAAACTAAATCTCAGACTAAGTTACTGCTTAAAGACTATAAACTTAAGGCTTTAGATATTCGGAAATCCACAGACTGAACCGACCTAAACCGAAAAGATTAAAAGATTTTAAAGAATGTAGGTTGACTATTTCTACGTAACCATTTAAGCACTATATTATATGACATGTATGTGTTATGACAAGGTAAAACAGCCTACCTTTAACCTCTGAATTCAAAAGACGTGATGTATAAGATTTTAAAGAAATACTAATTTAAATCCTTACAGCATTATCTAGACTTAGACCTTATCTTAATGTTTGCGCAAACGTGAGCTATCTGCTGAGTTAAATAACTCGACGAGTTTTACAGCATTAAAAAATGTAAAACATTACTCCCCTTAGGGACATGCTCAAAATATGTTTCTATATGGTAGAGGGGAACCGACAAATATCCATATAATATCTCGATAAGATGTGCTGTCGACTTATTTTGGCATTAGATATTCGCACAAATCTAATTTTGCGATAATTCTTTCATCTATTTAATATCCAGATATTCACACGAAGTCCAAGACGTTGTAGATTAATGATAAAGTACCTATATAGAAACTAGAAGAAAACCTAGTCGGGAACGAACCGACGACCCATCCGTTTCATACAATGACCGTTTTAAAACCGTTAAGTGTTTTTTTTTTAATCTTTGAATTGAAAACCATGGTGGAACCATCGAGCTACGGAGTCGGTCACTTTGGTAATTACCAACGTTCTAAAGATTTATTATACATTTATAATGATTGAAAACCATTAATTACCCATTTTTAAGATTTATAACTAAGGTATTCATATGGATAATTAAGCGTCTTTAATTTTACGACTTTACCTGCTAACTCCACTTAAGCTAGGACTCAACAAAGACAATAGAAGTTAGACGATAATCAAATCTCGTTAAGTAATTCCAGAACAATAATTTTATACTGTCGATGCTTTATATTTTTTATCTGTGGTAAGTGTCTAATTAATTGAGGTTTTAATTGATTTATCTGTGATGGCTTTGACAGATTGCAGTTGTAGTTCAAATAATTAAGTATACATTTTTAAGTTTGTTTGTTTCCTCTCACCTTTAACTAAATGCAACTGGCCAAGTAAAAATCGGACTCGGGCAAAAGGGTTCCGTACTTAGTAGGTACACAATATATTTTATATTGTATGTACATAACTATCTTTTTATGTGAGTTGTTACAAGTGCCGGCTACCATTATTTGATATAAAAAATAGCGTCTATAGTTTACGCGAGTAGTACACATTTAAATTGCTGGTTTAAAATGCGATATATTAGTTAAACTTATTTGAAAATTATTTCTGTCTCCCCGTGACCACGGCTTCTGCAAAAAATCCGAAACGTCGGGCCGAAGTTAAAAATAAAAATAATTTTCAAATAAGTTTAACTAATATATCGCGTTTTAAACTGTTAAAGTGTTTTATTTAAATAAAAAATAGCGTTTATGTATGAAAGTCCCACTAAATTATTTCTTTAATTATTTTAGGTAATAGTTGCAACGGCAAAAGAAGTAAATAACTTTGTGAAAATCATAATAATGAGACAGACAGACAGACGGAAAGAAGTGTTAATAATTAATTATTCTTTTTCCTCTGGTACGTTATCGTAAAAATGTGTTTTAAATCACTTTTGAGAACCTACTCAAGTACGACATAATAATAGCATCAGAGAACAATGAAGGACAAGTAAAACCCTTATTTACGAGTTCCTCCTGTTTTACAGAATATAGTAACATAGCTCTTGACAAAGACTTTGACGACAAATGAATGTATTATGCATAGGTACTGCTAAAACGCTAATTTTACATGTCGATAAGCTCTTATGCGCATTAAAAAATGTATCAATATTTATTTTGTCTTTTATATTGTTCTCTCCACAATGCTATACTATACCACACTCCTCCGAACGCCACAACCAATTTTGTTGCATATTCAACAGGTATTAGAATGTGATACTTTTCTTTCATAGTATTTTTTGAAGGGTTGTTTACCCTTAAGCATATTTTATTTCATATGTGATAAAGAGATGAATAAGGCAAATTTTACTCCCTTAATTTTTCATTTCGCCTTATAACGAAAGCGTAATATTTATTACTAGCATTACGATTTTACACTTTTTTTTTCACTGCAAATATGGAATTTATGGATTTATGGGACAGCTATTTATTAAAATATCTACCGTACATACATAGTGAATAAATTGAGCGTAAAATTGTAATTTTGTCACCTTTAATTTCCCTCAGTAATGACTGCTAATGCTTTCAAATTACTATTCAGTGTATATCGATAAAGTGGTGACCCCTGGTTTCCGGGTTACAATTTGCATACCCTCACAAAGATTCCTAAAACCTACGCGAGCTATTCAACAGGTGACCGGGTACCAGGTTGGGTATTGTTCTCGTTCGTCGTATAATAAAACGTATGTGTCTATAGTCTATACCTACTCGTGAGATATTTTAAGCGTGTTACGTAGAAATTTAACAACTGTAATAATTAAAAAAACACTTTGGCTAGTCAAGTATGGCAAGTAAGATGTAAGTATAAGTGTAACATAGCGTTTAATTCACCAGGAAGACTTGCACGGGGGGGGGGCACGGGGTTCATGGTAGGTGATAAACCCAAGACTCTGGCATCTAAACATAATTCGTTGTCGACCTCTTTTGGCTTCGGATATTCGGAATACAGACTGTGGACGGTGGTTCGTGACCCGGACGGAGTATTTATATTCCTACCAACCATTTAATATCCAGATTTCCAGACGAAGTCGAACATGTTTCAAAAACGAGTCCACGAGATTCCTCCACAGTTTTGGTACATACTTGTAAAACCGACATGAATCAAAGAAAATCCACTAAAATAGTACATACTAGACATCAAGTTATACTAGGCATTTAGCAATGTACTGCGGGAATTGAAACAAAATTTGACAAATACTAGAAGCTGCTGTCTGCTTGAACATACTTTAAAATACCGTTTACGCTTAGGTACAGTTTTTTACCTCTGTACAATACGAGTCGCACCGCGGTGCAAAGCTAACATGTATATTGATGAAAGAGAAGGGCGAACGAGGGAACTAGTTATCTGATGGGAATCCACACACCGTCGTGCATCAATGGCATTCATTGAATGCTTAAGCCTGTGGTCTCCTATAAACAACGTAATTGGCGTATAGCGTAGCGCGTTACGCCGCGTCTTTGAGATATTATTGGTCAATACACATGGTACATTTATGGGAAAAACGACTTTCACAACCAAACAGCACACGATGCTTTCATGAATTCTGACATTTTATATTATTATAAATAATGTCTATTTATATGTCACAACGTATTACGCCCACTACGTATTTTTAAAATTATCCTCCCATGACCACGACTGCTGCAAAACATCCGGAACGTCGTTGTAATAAGTCAAATAATATAGTTAGCGTTTCAAACCGTTAAAAGTATTTTATTTAAATATATACTTCTAGGGTAAACTACAGAGGACGAGACGACATTGCGATGTAAATAGCCTATGCTTCTAGAATAGTGTGTGAGGACAATTTAATTTAATTAGCGGTATCTACGCGATCAAAAGCGTTTCTATAAGACAACAGCCTTAGACGCTTTGTGCGCGAAATTCAATGAACGACATACCTTCTATCGTTACAAAACGTGTTCAACTAGTTTGTTGATAATTGTTAAATGAATTAGTAGTGTTGAAATTGTGTTGTTTATGTCGGTTTAAACATCAGACATGGACTACGAAAAAACACTTCCTGGATTACTATTAAAATTAAATGAAATAACATTTTAAAGAACAAGGTTTTGAATAGTTATTACAATTTTACCATTAGATCATAGCTGACTTTGGAATCTTAACCTTCGAGAGGTGTCATCAACTTGCACGATGGAATATATCTTGAGAAATTTGGCGTCACGTAGAATGTTTATGTTCTGTGTTTGTATTTGACGGATTTCATGTTAGACTTTTACCTCTTCGTTTCCAAGATTACTCTTATTACACCAAAATTTCTTATCATAGGAAAGGATGAATTAGTACGTAATTATGAACCCAGTGAATTTTAGTTTTTTCGTCGTCCTTGACCAGGTTGAAATGCTTCTAAAAACGCCGAGTCTTACAAGCAGAAAATATTTTAACTCAAAGTTAACTTCAACGCGGTGATAAAAGATATACGTCGAAATAATATACATATAGCGCATATTTATCATTCCTGAGAGTCAGGAACACTCAGGGCACGGAGGTGTCACGTACCTGATTAGCCTGGACGTCTATAAGCACATAGGCGAGATACACGATCTCCTCCTCATCAGACCCGAGGGCAGCTCCAGCGAGACCCCCGGTCCGCACGTGCAGTGCGCACACCCAGCCGCCGCTAATCATCGCGCCATGCAATTATGACCGAACACGACACAGTCCTATCTACAGCGAGTCCATCAAAATATCAGCGTGCTCACACTCGCATACTAATCGGTTAACGGGAAGTGGAGCCGCGATGGTAATGTCCAAAACTTGGAAAGCACTTTTTAGAAACCCGACGGTTACTTAAGAGGTTGCGTGCGCGGGTGGCGTTTTACCGCTATGTCTACGTCAGCCGTTTCCGCCGTGTGAAAATCTGCAAACACAAACACTGAACACAGGAGAACGATATTCTGTAGTTACAACGCGCTAGACGAACCGCTCAATGTTTATCGCGATAATGTAGATAAGTGTCCGATTCTAATACGTTACTGCAGTACTCCTCGTTATTTTGAGTTATCGACGCAGGCGCACCGGTGGCAGCGCTAAGTCAACTGGCCGTTGTGGGCTTGCCCCCTGTTGACTTGACACTGCGCAGGTAAGCGCCAGGTGAGCGACGTTGCCGTGCCGTTCATTATCATTGATGAGATATCGCGTCACGGTGATTTTTATTTCAATGCTCACAATGCCGAATTTACTTTAACTGTTACAATATCAAACCTTATAAAGAGTCGATGTACGTAGATGAAATTTAAAAGTCTTATTAGGCGAGTACATCAATTTTATTTATCCATAAACGACAATAGGATAATTTTTTCAACACAATTGACAGGTGGAACCGTGGAAGTGAGGTTATGTCGGTAACAGGTTCTACGCGACTACAAATATTTGTCCCTAGTCCCTGGATATAAGAAAAATTTTCGTTTCTTTACCATAGATTAAGAACATTAAAACGAAAAATAATTAGCATTTTTTTGGTCTGTGAGAAGTACAAAACAAGTGAATAATTTGGACAGTTATTATTAAAGGACGGCGAGTTGTTGAAGACTGGCTGTAAAAAATCTTTATTGTTGTGTGTATCTTGTAACTATGCAGGTAGTTAATCGACAAATTGAGAAGGTGTCATCGTTTGTTTAGGACTAGTTTGGCATAAGCAGAAATTACCTAATTGGCGTACGTTATTGTATTTTGATGAAATGCTTATAAGAATTGCGTTGATGGGAAATATAGGTTAGTAAGAATCGTTCGCGGAAGTTTCACCAAAATAATTATACCTAGGTAATAAAGTTGGCGAGTGGTAGCTATTTTGTCAAGTGCAAATCTGAATATCGACTTCGGCCTACCTGCATCTCTGACATGAGATGTATTTGGCGAAAACAATGTATATTCAGCAATATCATCTGTAATATTTATGTTTTATAATCCAATGCAATTTGAACTCCGCCGTTGTTGAGTGTTTATAAAACAGTAATATGCTCGTGCGCCGCCTCTACCTTCTCTCATTGGTCCATTGAACCGTAAATCCAAGATGGACGCCTACATCTCCGATTACCGCGCGTGACACATTTCTTGAATGGCTAACCTATTTTTATAATACATGCCACTTGAACAGTTGACAAATCATATATGTACCTAATAGCAGCAGTTTTTGTTTTCAGATATATTAAAGTTTCCTAATTTTGTTATTTAATTTGGGTACATTAATATACTTAAAACAGTTGTATCGCTTTACGATAAAGAATACAATAAAAAAATGGAATTTATATACAACATATGTATAATTTAACAAATACCTACATCTTTTACTAAAAAGAATATAAAGTTATCTACTTTCGACATAATTATGCATAATAAACATGTTGAACTTGTTTTTCTTTATCTATTATTTATACTTAATGTAACTTATTGTGCAAATCAATTGTTTATTTAGATAAATAATTAATTACAAAGAAATAAAAAAATATATTGTTCTAAGAAGTTCTCCGAGTCTTGATATTAAATGAGAAATAACTTTTTCCTTGTTAGCTGCAAACCACTAGAGAAATCGATTCGTTGTGAAATAGTGCATATATATATAACTGCGTCTTAAACCGTTTAATGTTTTATTTTAATGTGTAGTTATTAGGCGCGTAAAATATTGACAGACTATTTAGGACTATTTTATATCTTAGAAATCCTAATTTTAGTCTTAGAGCAGTAATACTGCTCAAATCAAAGAATCATATTAAAATGACGATTTACTATTGCTTTCTTTTTCTATCTGTGCATTCAGTTTTATAAGAAACTATATTTTTATTGCATAGATTTTTACTCAGGCGAAGACACTTTCAATTACAACTGACCACGAGACGAAAGAAAAGAAAGGAGACGAAAGGAAAGGATTAAATAATTGCAATAGTGATTTTATTATAATAGAGGAAAACAAACGAGCAATGGCTAAAGCTGAAATTCCTCAGCCATATGACATTTCAAGATGTGCTGTCGACCTGATTTTGGCTTTGGATATTCGGATGTCCACTGACTGACACCGGAACTCGATTGAACTTTACGGTTTTTTAATCTGTGGTGTAGGTATGTCTATACTATGATTTCATTCGTAACATTACGCGTATGTTAATTCACTTAACATCAGAATACGCGGAAAAGATGAAATTATTACAGCATTCTTATCTCACTTATCATTTCGATTAGAATTCTAATATTATTATTATGAGAACATTTCACCAGTCGCTATCACTGCAACGCCGCGAATTGCGATATACTGCTGTCTCTTTCTATCTGAAACGTTTTATCTCTTGCTATCTCTATTTGTAGGTAACAACTGGTACGAGTTGGATAAACAAAAAACAGCTGATTGATTTTATATTGTTTTTTGTTCTTCACTTGACCGACTAAAGAGGTGTTGGTGTTTAAATAAATCACAAAGGTTTAAAACGTGAAATATATTAGTTAGGCCCCACGGAGCGTTCCAATTTTTAGTTTAACATAAGAGAACATCCTCAATTTTTAGTTTTCCCGTAGTGGTCAAACAATTTAACTAATATATTTCGCGTTTTAAGCCTTAGTCTTTTCTTTGAATGTGTATCCTCATTCTACAACAGTGTTGATATGTTAAAAGTACAACATAAGTATATATGAAGTAATAAAAATCTAAAATCCACGCTTACCTATTTTAGTTATACATTAATCTAAACTTAATCAAGCTAAAGTTATCTCTGCTGCGTAGAATCTAAGCAAATCTTGAAGTAAGCGAATACGTACCTGCGTAAGTCTTTTGAGAGAAGCCTGTTAATATTTTGTAGTAAAACTAGATGGGTCCAACTATCTTTAATTTCTGGTAATCTTTAACAATATTGTAATATGATGTACAATTTAAGCCTAGATTATATTTAAAGACATAGCTTATTCATAACGATATAAAAAATTAATATATCAAAATTGTTAACCTCGTCCCACTTTAAAAATGGTATTTAATAACAAAATTCCAACTCAACACAGGAAATCAAGTAATTGCTAATTGCTATAAAAGGACATTAAAACGTGGATACTATGCTAATTTAAGGTTTTTACTGTCGGACAGTGGATAAGACAAATTCACACGAACTTTAATCTAATTTTGTATCTATAAAATCAATTTAATATCAAATTAAGAACCAGATATAGACTAGTTCAATTCAAAATGCTTATAGATAATAAAAAAAATATTTGAACGTGGAATCTCGCAATATAGTGCGAACATAAAATTTATTAAAGCAGATATACAACCGCTTCCGTGCAATAAACATACTGATTTACGTAAGCATAGAGTGTACGCGGCCTGCAGTAACACGATTGTTGCGTCGGTTCTGTAAGACCACAGATTATCCTTTATTTTTAACTACACAAAAATAATTTAAAATCACTTCAATTATGAGACGCAAAATGATTTGCATTCGTTTTTATTAAAAATAAAAGACTTAGGTTTGCTGGTTTGAAATATTTAAAAATGAATAAAAAATTTCTCTCGCCTGACAAACTTATAAAAATGTATGGTACATTTACATTAATAATTATCATTGAGAAAATAATTTAATTGATAAGTATTGCTTATCATTCCGTCCTTTCAATATTTCGATTATTTAGTGCTAAGTTACTAAGAACAATGTATTTTCTTTAATCCAATTGTGGCCTGAAATGAGCATTCCGATTTGTATTGATACAGAAAATATTTAACCCTTTTACACGTGTAGGTACTGAAAGTGAATTATAATCACGTATGACATCATTGTTCTCTCTTAATTATGATATTTCCTGATTCCATACTCTAGTATGAGTTGCACTATAAAGCACTAAATATTTATTAAAAATATATTTTGTCAATAATTTCCTACAGAATTCTAGTTACGTAGTTTAGAGCTTTTGCAGTGAAACAAACGACAAACGAATAATGTATCTCATTATATATTTATTAGACATTTATAACTGCATTGTTATATACATTAACAGTCGATTATATATTTACATCACGGACAGGACTTGAACCGGCGTCCACAGCGTTTCGTGCTGTTGCTCTAACCAATTTAATCACTTTAATCAAACGCTGCTGCGTTCAAGTCTTGCCCGTTTCGTAATTCTTTCAACTTATAATCGATTTTAAATTTGTATGACTGACTTTGTGTGCAATAAAATGTAAAAATAATTAAAGTTTTCACATAAAATGTTTTGTCGAAATGCAGCAAGTAATTTTTGTCAGCTAATAATAAATATTTCAACCGTAAATATATCACATTTTATATTTTTTTGTATTTAACAACAATTAACTTAAAATTATATCTACTCCTGTTTTTGTGTTATTTTCACAAAAAACGTTGTTTATCGTAAATGTCAAACTCGTATTAAAGCTACTACGCTATCGGAAAATAGAAAATTAATTATACATATCACTTACTATGTAAATGATGAGCAAAATCACCTTTAACATTGTTGTATGTTAAGTTATATCATAGCCTTAGTAATGCAGTACAAATGGATTCATAATATTTGTATAACTTACAACTTACAAGAAGGTCTCTTTAAAAGATTTATCTACTTAAAAGCATATAGGTTTTAACTTTAAGAAAAGTTTAAGGTGATCGCACAATATTTTGTCAGCAACGTACGCACTGGACGCTCTAAATACACCGCATTTTAGGATAAATGCAGCATGCAATAATGAAATCCTCGAACATTCACCTGCTTCGATCGCGTAGCATTCCATTGCGCTAATGTGCGAAGCTATCAAGAAAAGAAATGTGCGATCACCTTTATCAGGTGTACCATCTCAACAGTGGGTACATTGTTTAATAAGAACTTTATTGTCAAATTGGCTGTTCTTGAAGGATCGAACGAATTTAATTTTCTTTTTTTTGACTAGAAATGAGTATTAGTAATTTGTTTAAAATGTCAAGTGATCTAGAAATAATTAAAAGTTCACAAAACTCAATTTATAAGCAAAGATAAGATACGATTACTGTTAATACAAAGTCCAAAGGTAAGCCCAGGTTCAAACCAAAATACAAAAGAGCTCTATTGCGCAATAATCTAAGTATAAAAATAAATATTTACTAGCTTTATCTATGTGTGTGGTGCGTGTCTTTAAGGGCGTAGACCGGTTAGGTCACGCATCGCCGAAAAAATGCATTTATTTAATTCAACTAGCGTACATTTTGTAATCTTTACGCAAGGAATTGTGTAATATTCATCTATTTATGTGTTTTCGCCACAGATTATAATCGTCTTGACGTGTTTGTCCTCTGAAGCTCTCTAGAGTACAGTTGCAACATCCATTTTGAATAGAATATCTATGATTCCCTTTTATAACAAGACTAGCATTACAAGTAAAATATATTATTTTAAATATTTCTAACTACTATTGGTACCAATGTGACTAAAGAAATATATTAAAGAAATCCTTTTATTACCCATACAGCAGTACATAAAATTTCTTGAGTATATGATACAGTTGAAAAAACCTACGTATGCTGGTAGAAATTATTTGCTTAACGGCATACATTAAAGTGGGACAAGTGTATTTGCTATAATACCTTAGCCGAGTATGTATAAGAAGAAATACATTAATATGTAAGGTACCTTATAATTTTTAAAACGTCGAATCTTCCCGGTCCTCTAATTAAACTTATAAAATATGTATATTCGTATCAAGTGGTAATCATAGACTTTATTTGTATGAGGGTGTATAGTGAATATTGTATTTTTGTAATATAAAACGATGTCGATTACGATGATCTAATATTTAATATTGTATTGAGATGCATAAGTCGCTATTAGTCATTATAATCGCAGTTGGTAAAGGGAAGAAGCAAAATTCACAAATACATTTATCAAACAAAATAGATACATTTTTTTCGTCTCAAAATCCTTACTAATATTATAAATGCGAAAGTAACTCTGTCTGTTTCACGCCATAACTACTAAATGGATTTGAATGAAAATTGGTACACAGATGGTCTAGACCCTGAGAAGTGAGAAAGAATATAGGCTTTTTATTGTGAAAAGGGGGTTGTAAGGGGTTAAAAGCGGGATGAAAATTTGTATGGAAATTCGTGGTTTCTGAAGCTAGAAAAATGAAACTTTCTTCTTTGGCTTTTTGGGAATAGGGAGTGGGAGTGGGAGTGTCACCGTTCCGTGCTGTTGCTCTTTTCAAACGTTAAATAAAATTTGTTTGAGACTGCGGTCTTTTGGCTGTCTGTCCGCTGGCGAAGTGTGGCGGCATCGTCTTGCGCAGTCTCGCGGCACCCTTTCCTTTATGGTGACACGGGCGGGCGACGGCGTTTGGTCCGTGTCCACCGGGGTGTGTTAGCGTAGCATTTAGGCCTAGAAGGCAAGGGTAGCTCGCTTCCACATTGGGGCTGCCGCTTAAGCAGTCGTTAGACGTGTCACCTTAACACAGAGCCGTACCCAGGGAGGCATTAACCGACGGTAAAAAAATAAAAGAAAAAAGGGATGCAAGTTTTATGGAAATTCGTGGGTTTTGAAGCTAGAACAATGAAACATTCTTCTTTGGCTTTTTGAGAATAGGAGTGGGAGTGAGAGTGAGTGTAGGAATAAGAGTGGGAGTTAGAGTAGGAGTGATGTGAGGTGAGAGAATTAATTTATTAAATTAATTAACACCTTAAATAATTACAAATTCTACCACAAGTCACTATTCCACGCGGACGAAGTCGCGGGCACAGCAAGTATAATATATAGCTTGTTAAAAAAGTTTTCTCCCATTATATTGACAACATCTTGTAAGTTGCAACACTGTTTTTCAACGGCGAAATTCTCAGCTGTCAATGCCACGATTCGATAGTTTTTGTTGATTTTTATTCTGTTTGACATTTGACAAGTGTTTACGCGCCAAACAATTTTGGACAGTGGTGCGCTTCTGTAACTAAACGCTTTTGGACTTAATATTCTACTCGCTCCAAACTTTTATGAACAAGTAATTGCTCATCTTTAGAAATTGTTTACGTGTGAAATAATAGTACGAGTTTTATCAACGAAGTCATTTTATTATAACCGTATTATAGTCGTAAGTTTCTGTGTCTAGGCGCGAACGCCAGGTGCACTTTTTTAAAACTTGCGTTCCGTGGTCTCTATTAAATTTTACACGTGATGGCTGCTGTAACACCTCGTCGGTCTTCGCGCCTTCCCCACATACACACTCCGAAGATGACTGAGCGTAAGAAAAGCCTTTTCGTAGCTGAAACTCCTCCAAAACAAGAGTCCTTGACGAAGCATAGAACTTTAGCTGTTGTGGATAGTGAAAGCGACAGCGATGACTGCGACCTAGGTATTATCAGTACCCTGGATTCAAGTTCCTGCGACGAAAATGATCCAAAAACCCCTGAAAAGTCTATTTGGCGTAAGTAACAATTTAGTTTATTTGGATCTTTATTAGTCCTTAATTACAATATAGTTTTTTTTTACAGTTTTATAATATGTTACCTATATCATCAGCCAAGTGAATAAATATTACCCAGTTATGTTTAAAATCGCTAATAATGCATAACAATGTGCCAATAACAATTAATTGTAAACTAACAACATGCTTGGTTATCTAGGTCAAGAAAACACTGAGTTAATAATTTTTAAAATCCATCTATCATGCATTTATGTTATTATATTAAAATAGAAACACAGTTACCTTTTAGTAGTGTATAGAGCTTGTTTAATTAATTTTAATTTCAATTTGAGAGGTTCTGCGTTTCTTAGTAATTAAATATACACTTATAGTGATATTTTCCTGTTGTTCAATACCGCATATGTCTTCCATAGATGGGACTAGAAGTAACTCTCGCAGGCTGAACCAGACAACAGACTTGAAGAACTTCTTAAAATCTCCCTTTACCCTGAAGAAGTATCAAACTAGGTATTCTTGTCCAGAAAAATGTACAAGCTCCCTATCAACACCAGCAACACCCCACTTTCAAAACCACCCTGGTACACCTTCATCCACTCATTCCTGCACCAGTGTTCACACCACTTCATCTACCTCAAGCCGAGCACGAAAGAGTCTTGCTGGCCTTATAGCAGATACAGAGAGCTGCAGTAGCTCTTTAAAAGATCTGAACTTTGACACAGACTCAGGCACTGACTCTAAAGAGAACACACCTACTAAATCTCTACGACGATCAAAACACACACACAAAATGACACCAAAATTGCAGAGCTTCAAAGGTGTTTTGATGGAACAGAAAAAAAATGACTCTCCAATAAGACAGCTGTGATCTGCCTAACAAAAATGGACATGAGCAACTTTCTATCACCAACACAGATGATGAAAACTCCTCACAATACTACTGAAACTAAAGCATCACCACCAAAGCTTCGTAAATCTGCAATAGAGATACAGGAAAGTCCAGAATCCATCTGTGACAGTGAAAAGAGCCACAAGCGGTTGCATGAGGACACATCAAATTCTGGACCTATAGCTAAATATCCTAGACTAGATCCCACTACAGCACCAAAGGCTCGACTATCTCTTTTTAACTGTGAGAGACTTAAAGAAATTCTTTCAGCAAAATCTTTCTATGGTAAAACAAATCCTCAATTAAACACTAACATTACGGCTAAGTTATCTCAAGCTATACAAGCTACAGCCACTCACAAGCACAGACCATTCCGCTCTCATACAAACAGGCGAAAGCGTCAACCAGGTCAGATAAATATGGGTGTCAAGCACAAGATTCGAAAGCCAAAACCCCTTAAGAAAGCAACTGTGAAGAGCAATGAGATTGTGCTAAACCAGTCCACAGCTACGGTTTCCACTACTAAAGACATGTCAATGAGTGCAAATACATCCCAGGAAATGGAGCATGGTAAGTAGTGATAACAACTTTTTAAACCTCTTTAAAGTACCTCTTTAAAGATTGTGACCCGGATGGATTTTTAAATACTCCTTCCACCCACTTAATATTCAGAATTCCATACTCCAGTCCAACATGTTACCGAATAGTTATAAATTGACTAGCTGTGCCAGCGACTTCATCCGCATACAATAGTTATTTTAGGCAATCTTTAAAATTATAGCTGTTACCCCACGATGTTCGAATCGCGTCGTTCGGCTCTCATTGGTCTTGCAAGTTAATCTTAAAAGATAGATGTAGACTGTGGGGGACATTTTTTTAAGATAATTTAAAGAGAAATCATTTGTTAAAGAGAATTATTCAATTCGAACCAGATGGTCCTGAGATTAGCTCGTTCAAACAAACAAACAAACTCTTCAGCTACTGTCTATAGTTTACGCGAGTAGTAAACATTCAAATAAAACACTTTAACGGTTTAAAACGCGATATATTAGTTAAACTTATTTGAAAATGATTTTTAACTTCGGCCCGACGTTTCGGATGCTTTGCAGCACGGGTCGGGGAGCTCTTCGGCTATTGATTACTATATATTAGTTTAGATTAGCAACATGTTGGACCCCATGGGGTCACATTGAACACATATTCCATTGATTATTATTAGCCTAATGTTCTATGGGCTAAATTTTGAATAAGCAAGATCTCTAGAGACATCTATAGAGATTGCTGCTTATTAAGACATTGCTTATATTGAAACAAAACAATTACCTAGGAACACCTCTATTAAGTACAAAGGATCAATTGGTTTTGTGTATTTTTACTACCATTACTGTGTTTATTACAATTGCACGTTCTTATAGGAGCAATAACAATCTATACATTTTTACAACCAAAAATGAACACCTTAATGTTTAACAGATAAAACAGATCCATTTGGCTCAGAGAAGCAAACTATAGAAGCCCTACTCAGCCAATGGACAGAAGAGGATGTACCTGAAACGGAATTGGTTCGCACTGAACTGCCATGTTTCAACAGCACTGTTATTGAAGCTACAAATCCAATATTTCAACCAGTCATCGCCGTGCCGGTTAATAGCACATTACCTCAAGACGAGGCTGTGATTGTTGAAATTGGAGCTCAAGGGCTGTCTACCCAAGTACCAAGTACAATTCAATTGCCAGCAAGTTCAGTTGAAAATCCATCAAGTTCTGATCAGATGCCAACAACTTCAGTTCAGTTGTCAGTGAATTCTATTCAAGTAACATCAGGCTCTGATGTAATGGATGTTGAGAATACTGCTTTAAACAGTGCTAATCTTAATAATCACCTACTGTCTGATGGAAATTATATTGTGGTTGATGGAGTTGTTGTACCAGGTAGGTTCCCGTATGATATACTTATGTAAACAATATTTATTTTTGTAAGTACACACTGTCCGTCTGTCTGTCTGTCAGTTACTGTTTCATGCCAAAACTACCGAACGGATTTGAATGAGATTTGGTACACTGATGGTCTAGACCCTGAGAAAGGTCAAGCTCCTTTTTTTGCGAAAAGGGGGGGTAAAAGTTTGTATAGAAATTCGTGGTGGTCTTTGGCTTTTTCGGAATAGGAGTGGGAGTTAGAGTAGGAGTTGATGTGAGGTGAGAGTGTTGCGGCAAAGTAGCACTTTAAACATAGATTATATTATAGAAACATCCTAAATAATTAAAAGTTCTATCCCAAGTCACTATTACAAACGAACGAAGTCGCGGGCACAGCTAGTATACAATATTTATTTTTGTAAGTGCACAGTGTCAGCTTTGCTTGGCTTATATAATTCTTTCACTTGATGTTAGATAAAATACCCCAGCCACATAACATCTAAACAAGATGCTCCTTTAATCTATTTCGGCTTTAGATATTTGGAAATCCACAGATTGACAAAAAGCGATTTCGTTCCACGGTTTTCCTATCTTTGGTTCTACCACCCATTTGATATTCAGATTTCCAAAGTCCAACATGCTTATAAATGAAGTAGAAGTATGGTGGTGGAGATCAATCTTGGCCCTTTCTAAATTGTATGTTAATCTTCAGGTCAACAAGAAATCCCAGATTTAGACGAAATAGAGCGAGAGATAAGAATGTTGGACGAACAGATACTGAAAATGGCCGAATGCAACAACATTAATGCCGAGGCAGTGCTCGCCTCAACCGAATCTACTCTAGATACACGTAAGTTAGACATTGTGATTATTTTATCAGTCTACTTAATCAACTGACTACGATTTAAATAAAACACTTTAACACGGTGTGCTGCAAAGCATCCGAAACGTCGGGCCGAAGTTGAAAATCATTTTCGAATAAGTTTAACTAATATATCGCGTTTTAAACCGTTAAAGTGTTTTAAATGTGTACTACTCGCATAAACTATAGACAGTATTTAATTTACAATTTATTTCTATTTTAACTACGGACCGTCCCCCGTGACCGTGACGGGCGCTGCTGCAAAGCATCCTAAACGTTGGGCCGTAGATAAAATAAAGATAAATAGTAAATAACTTCGCGTTAAGTGTTTTATTAAAAATTTGCACTACTCGCGTAAACTACAAACAGTACTTTCGATTCCTTTTGTAATCTTATTATAATATGTGCAATTTTTTCTTCTTAAATGTCAGCTTCTGCTTATCAGTTCCTAAATGTTACCAAGATATTGAATACAATTAGAATCTCTCATTGGATAGACATATTGTTGTGTCCCATGTTAGCGTTAGATTTAATCTACAGGTGATCAAACTGTATTATCTTGAAAACATTAATATTGTTGCAAATGAAGGCACTATATAATTTAAAAATCGAAAATAAATTGATTGATTTCATCTTCAATGATTTCTTAAGCTGCAAAGCATAAGACGTTGAACCTTAATAAGCAAGTGTTAAGGTTGAAATTACATTGCGCGAGAGGTGCATGTATCAATAAGTTGAAAAAAAATCGACAGTGAGGTGTATGACTCGGTAGCTCAATTGGTAGAGCAACAGCACGGAACCTGCCCGAGTCGAAAATTTTTTCAATTTATTTTCGATTTTTAAATTGTATTATCTTGCTTATTTAGGTATTCAAACCCAGAATCCGCTTAACCCCAACGTTCTTCGTAAAATAACTGAAACGAAGACAGTCTGAATTTTAATTCCTCTTGCATAGAAAAGAAGTAAAGAAAATTTGCCGTCAGGCACCAGTCAGTAAATTATTATACGTATCTTATATAAATCATTAAACCCTGAAATAAAAGCCATTAATTAACAATAAAAAATCAATTTGCATAGTTATTAATAAAACAATGGTTTCTGAATTACAACACGTCCTTTGTATTGATATCAATTAAATAATTACGCAATTCCGTTGAAAATATAAATTTATTGTATATTTCGAATTTCCTCATCCGTACTTTAATGGTAGAAATATCATCTATTGGATGACAAGTTGAGACTTGGAGGATTTTTACGACATAGCAGGGATGATAGACAACTTTATGGAAGGTAAAGTTAAGGAAAAAAAATTAAAGGAATCTTACAGATAACAGAAATCCAACGATTTTCTGAAAATTGTATTTATTATATAGTTATTATATGAACAATATTTTTTTCAGAACCATCAAAGTCACCGGCAAAGGAAAACGCGACAAAATTATTCCCGATCTTCACAAAACCAAACTCGGGATTAACAAATCCTGTACCAAAAGGTAAACTACAAATTATACACAAAACAATTAATACAAGTTCAGTTTTGATAACTTAAATCCAAATGTAATGTATTTTATACCTACTAGTTTAATATGGAAGCGCCCATTTCAGGCCACAAATGGACAATGGTGAAAAAAAACCTTTACACTTTTTTTTTAAACTATGGTCTGAGCCACTATAGACAGACATCAATCTCATCATCTTGTACTTTCATGAGCTTACCTAAATAAACTTGATTAATTATATAACTTCTGAGAAGAAGTATATACATTGATTCAATTACTTATAACGAGGATATAATAAATATAAATTCAATACACAAGAATAACGTTTTTATGGTCATGACGAGAAAAATTATTTACTTTCTTGAATTCTTTGAAAAATGTATGCGTACAGAATCCACATTTTAGAAAATACTTTCAAAACTAAAATAAAACTGGAATGTTTTATAATACAATTCTTCTTTGCTTAGATTCAACAGAGAAAAGAAAGAAAATTCTCAAGACTGGGCTAGATCAGTACATAATAGATGCTGGTCAAAAGAAATTCGGTGCGATCCAGTGCACGGAATGTGGCGTAATTTATCAGGTGTGCTTCTAGGTTCAATATTGGGTCCGTATTTATACATTTCTTGTATAAATGATAAATATCATTATAATTGCATTTACAGATTGGCGATCCTCAAGATGAGCACGACCATCTAGTCCATCACAATGCTGTTGATGTTCTTAAATTCAATGTAAGTTTATTTAAATTGAATTTTATTGACTTATTTGTATTATATTTTGGCGTCACTCACTTTAAATACTGTCTGTTGTTAACCGAGTAATAAACATTCTATAAAACACTTCAACGGTTTAAAACGCTTATTAAATTAATTAACACCTTAAATAATTACAAATTCTACCACAAGTCACTATTCCACGCGGACGAAGTCGCGGGCACAGCAAGTATAATATATAGCTTGTTAAAAAAGTTTTCTCCCATTATATTGACAACATCTTGTAAGTTGCAACACTGTTTTTCAACGGCGAAATTCTCAGCTGTCAATGCCACGATTCGATAGTTTTTGTTGATTTTTATTCTGTTTGACATTTGACAAGTGTTTACGCGCCAAACAATTTTGGACAGTGGTGCGCTTCTGTAACTAAACGCTTTTGGACTTAATATTCTACTCGCTCCAAACTTTTATGAACAAGTAATTGCTCATCTTTAGAAATTGTTTACGTGTGAAATAATAGTACGAGTTTTATCAACGAAGTCATTTTATTATAACCGTATTATAGTCGTAAGTTTCTGTGTCTAGGCGCGAACGCCAGGTGCACTTTTTTAAAACTTGCGTTCCGTGGTCTCTATTAAATTTTACACGTGATGGCTGCTGTAACACCTCGTCGGTCTTCGCGCCTTCCCCACATACACACTCCGAAGATGACTGAGCGTAAGAAAAGCCTTTTCGTAGCTGAAACTCCTCCAAAACAAGAGTCCTTGACGAAGCATAGAACTTTAGCTGTTGTGGATAGTGAAAGCGACAGCGATGACTGCGACCTAGGTATTATCAGTACCCTGGATTCAAGTTCCTGCGACGAAAATGATCCAAAAACCCCTGAAAAGTCTATTTGGCGTAAGTAACAATTTAGTTTATTTGGATCTTTATTAGTCCTTAATTACAATATAGTTTTTTTTTACAGTTTTATAATATGTTACCTATATCATCAGCCAAGTGAATAAATATTACCCAGTTATGTTTAAAATCGCTAATAATGCATAACAATGTGCCAATAACAATTAATTGTAAACTAACAACATGCTTGGTTATCTAGGTCAAGAAAACACTGAGTTAATAATTTTTAAAATCCATCTATCATGCATTTATGTTATTATATTAAAACAGAAACACAGTTACCTTTTAGTAGTGTATAGAGCTTGTTTAATTAATTTAGTTTCAATTTGAGAGGTTCTGCGTTTCTTAGTAATTAAACATACACTTATAGTGATATTTGCCTGTTGTTCAATACCGCATATGTCTTCCATAGATGGGACTAGAAGTAACTCTCGCAGGCTGAACCAGACAACAGACTTGAAGAACTTCTTAAAATCTCCCTTTACCCTGAAGAAGTATCAAACTAGGTATTCTTGTCCAGAAAAATGTACAAGCTCCCTATCAACACCAGCAACACCCCACTTTCAAAACCACCCTGGTACACCTTCATCCACTCATTCCTGCACCAGTGTTCACACCACTTCATCTACCTCAAGCCGAGCACGAAAGAGTCTTGCTGGCCTTATAGCAGATACAGAGAGCTGCAGTAGCTCTTTAAAAGATCTGAACTTTGACACAGACTCAGGCACTGACTCTAAAGAGAACACACCTACTAAATCTCTACGACGATCAAAACACACACACAAAATGACACCAAAATTGCAGAGCTTCAAAGGTGTTTTGATGGAACAGAAAAAAAATGACTCTCCAATCAAGACAGCTGTGGTCTGCCTAACAAAAATGGACATGAGCAACTTTCTATCACCAACACAGATGATGAAAACTCCTCACAATACTACTGAAACTAAAGCATCACCACCAAAGCTTCGTAAATCTGCAATAGAGATACAGGAAAGTCCAGAATCCATCTGTGACAGTGAAAAGAGCCACAAGCGGTTGCATGAGGACACATCAAATTCTGGACCTATAGCTAAATATCCTAGACTAGATCCCACTACAGCACCAAAGGCTCGACTATCTCTTTTTAACTGTGAGAGACTTAAAGAAATTCTTTCAGCAAAATCTTTCTATGGTAAAACAAATCCTCAATTAAACACTAACATTACGGCTAAGTTATCTCAAGCTATACAAGCTACAGCCACTCACAAGCACAGACCATTCCGCTCTCATACAAACAGGCGAAAGCGTCAACCAGGTCAGATAAATATGGGTGTCAAGCACAAGATTCGAAAGCCAAAACCCCTTAAGAAAGCAACTGTGAAGAGCAATGAGATTGTGCTAAACCAGTCCACAGCTACGGTTTCCACTACTAAAGACATGTCAATGAGTGCAAATACATCCCAGGAAATGGAGCATGGTAAGTAGTGATAACAACTTTTTAAACCTCTTTAAAGTACCTCTTTAAAGATTGTGACCCGGATGGATTTTTAAATACTCCTTCCACCCACTTAATATTCAGAATTCCATACTCCAGTCCAACATGTTACCGAATAGTTATAAATTGACTAGCTGTGCCAGCGACTTCATCCGCATACAATAGTTATTTTAGGCAATCTTTAAAATTATAGCTGTTACCCCACGATGTTCGAATCGCGTCGTTCGGCTCTCATTGGTCTTGCAAGTTAATCTTAAAAGATAGATGTAGACTGTGGGGGACATTTTTTTAAGATAATTTAAAGAGAAATCATTTGTTAACGAGAATTATTAAATTCGAACCAGATGGTCCTGAGATTAGCTCGTTCAAACAAACAAACAAACTCTTCAGCTACTGTCTATAGTTTACGCGAGTAGTACACATTTAAATAAAACACTTTAACGGTTTAAAACGCGATATATTAGTTAAACTTATTTGAAAATGATTTTTAACTTCGGCCCGACGTTTCGGATGCTTTGCAGCACGGGTCGGGGAGCTCTTCGGCTATTGATTACTATATATTAGTTTAGATTAGCAACATGTTGGACCCCATGGGGTCACATTGAACACATATTCCATTGATTATTATTAGCCTAATGTTCTATGGGCTAAATTTTGAATAAGCAGGAATCTAACATCTATAGAGATTGCTGCTTATTAAGACATTGCTTATATTGAAACAAAACAATTACCTAGGAACACCTCTATTAAGTACAAAGGATCAATTGGTTTTGTGTATTTTTACTACCATTACTGTGTTTATTACAATTGCATGTTCTTATAGGAGCAATAAGCAATAACTATACATTTTTACAACCAAAAATGAACACCTTAATGTTTAACAGATAAAACAGATCCATTTGGCTCAGAGAAGCAAACTATAGAAGCCCTACTCAGCCAATGGACAGAAGAGGATGTACCTGAAACGGAATTGGTTCGCACTGAACTGCCATGTTTCAACAGCACTGTTATTGAAGCTACAAATCCAATATTTCAACCAGTCATCGCCGTGCCGGTTAATAGCACATTACCTCAAGACGAGGCTGTGATTGTTGAAATTGGAGCTCAAGGGCTGTCTACCCAAGTACCAAGTACAATTCAATTGCCAGCAAGTTCAGTTGAAAATCCATCAAGTTCTGATCAGATGCCAACAACTTCAGTTCAGTTGTCAGTGAATTCTATTCAAGTAACATCAGGCTCTGATGTAATGGATGTTGAGAATACTGCTTTAAACAGTGCTAATCTTAATAATCAGTTACTGTCTGATGGAAATTATATCGTGGTTGATGGAGTTGTTGTACCAGGTAGGTCCTGTATGATATACAATATTTATTTTTGTAAGTACACACTGTCCGTCTGTCTGTCTGTCAGTTACTGTTTCATGCCAAAACTACCGAACGGATTTGAATGAGATTTGGTACACTGATGGTCTAGACCCTGAGAAAGGTCAAGCTCCTTTTTTTGCGAAAAGGGGGGGTAAAAGTTTGTATAGAAATTCGTGGTGGTCTTTGGCTTTTTCGGAATAGGAGTGGGAGTTAGAGTAGGAGTTGATGTGAGGTGAGAGTGTTGCGGCAAAGTAGCACTTTAAACATAGATTATATTATAGAAACATCCTAAATAATTAAAAGTTCTATCCCAAGTCACTATTACAAACGAACGAAGTCGCGGGCACAGCTAGTATACAATATTTATTTTTGTAAGTGCACAGTGTCAGCTTTGCTTGGCTTATATAATTCTTTCACTTGATGTTAGATAAAATACCCCAGCCACATAACATCTAAACAAGATGCTCCTTTAATCTATTTCGGCTTTAGATATTTGGAAATCCACAGATTGACAAAAAGCGATTTCGTTCCACGGTTTTCCTATCTTTGGTTCTACCACCCATTTGATATTCAGATTTCCAAAGTCCAACATGCTTATAAATGAAGTAGAAGTATGGTGGTGGAGATCAATCTTGGCCCTTTCTAAATTGTATGTTAATCTTCAGGTCAACAAGAAATCCCAGATTTAGACGAAATAGAGCGAGAGATAAGAATGTTGGACGAACAGATACTGAAAATGGCCGAATGCAACAACATTAATGCCGAGGCAGTGCTCGCCTCAACCGAATCTACTCTAGATACACGTAAGTTAGACATTGTGATTATTCTATCAGTCTACTTAATCAGCTGACTACAATTTAAATAAAACACTTTAACACGGTGTGCTGCAAAGCATCCGAAACGTCGGGCCGAAGTTGAAAATCATGTTTAAATAAGTTTTACTAATATATCGCGTTTTAAACCGTTAAAGTGTTTTAAATGTGCACTACTAAAAAAACACCCCCCCCCCCCCCCCCCGGGGGGGGGAACCACCCAAAAGGGGGGGGAAAAAAAAAAAAAAAAATCCGGGGAAAAAAAATTTGCACTACCCGCGAAAACAAAAAACAGACTTTCGACCTTTGAATCTTATAAATAATATGTGCAATTTTTTCTTCTTAAATGTCAGCTTCTGCTTATCAGTTCCTAAATGTTACCAAGATATTGAATACAATTAGAATCTCTCATTGGATAGACATATTGTTGTGTCCCATGTTAGCGTTAGATTTAATCTACAGGTGATCAAACTGTATTATCTTGAAAACATTAATATTGTTTACATGTTATTGCACATGAAGGCACTATATAATTTAAAAATCGAAAATAAATTGATTGATTTCATCTTCAATGATTTCTTAAGCTGCAAAGCATAAGACGTTGAACCTTAATACGCAAGTGTTAAGGTTGAAATTACATTGCGCGAGAAGTGCATGTATCAATAAGTTGAAAAAAATCGACGATGAGCTGTAGGACTCGGTAGCTCAATTGGTAGAGCAACAGCGCGGAACGCTGAGTAGCTGCCCGAGTCGAAAAATTTTTCAATTTATTTTCGATTTTTAAATTGTATTATCTTGCTTATTTAGGTATTAAAACCCAGAATCCGCTTAACCCCAACGTACTTCGTAAAATAACTGAAACGAAGACAGTCTGAATTTTAATTCCTCTTGCATAGAAAAAAAGTAAAGAAAATTTGCCGTCAGTAAATTATTATACGTGTCTTATATAAATCATTAAACCCTGAAATAAAAGCCATTAATTAACAATAAAAAATCAATTTGCATAGTTATTAATAAAACAATGGTTTCTGAATTACAACACGTCCTTTGTATTGATATCAATTAAATAATTACGCAATTCCGTTGAAAATATAAATTTATTGTATATTTCGAATTTCCTCATCCGTACTTTAATGGTAGAAATATCATCTATTGGAAGACAAGTTGAGACTTGGAGGATTTTTATGACATAGTAGGGATGATAGACAACTTTATGGAAGGTAAAGTTAAGGAAAAAAAATTAAAGGAATCTTACAGATAACAGAAATCCAACGATTTTCTGAAAATTGTATTTATTATATAGTTATTATATGAACAATATTTTTTTCAGAACCATCAAAGTCACCGGCAAAGGAAAACGCGACAAAATTATTCCCGATCTTCACAAAACCAAACTCGGGATTAACAAATCCTGTACCAAAAGGTAAACTACAAATTATACACAAAACAATTAATACAAGTTCAGTTTTGATAACTTAAATCCAAATGTAATGTATTTTATACCTACTAGTTTAATATGGAAGCGCCCATTTCAGGCCACAAATGGACAATGGTGAAAAAAAACCTTTACACTTTTTTTTTAAACTATGGTCTGAGCCACTATAGACAGACATCAATCTCCTCATCTTGTACTTTCATGAGCTTACCTAAATAAACTTGATTAATTATATAACTCCTAAGAAGAAGTATATAAATTGATTCAACTACTTATAACGAGGATATAATAAATATAAATTCAATACACAAGAATAACGTTTTTATGGTCATGACGAGAAAAATTATTTACTTTCTTGAATTCTTTGAAAAATGTATGCGTACAGAATCCACATTTTAGAAAATACTTTCAAAACTAAAATAAAACTGGAATGTTTTATAATACAATTCTTCTTTGCTTAGATTCAACAGAGAAAAGAAAGAAAATTCTCAAGACTGGGCTAGATCAGTACATAATAGATGCTGGTCAAAAGAAATTCGGTGCGATCCAGTGCACGGAATGTGGCGTAATTTATCAGGTGTGCTTCTAGGTTCAATATTGGGTCCGTATTTATACATTTCTTGTATAAATGATAAATATCATTATAATTGCATTTACAGATTGGCGATCCTCAAGATGAGCACGACCATCTAGTCCATCACAATGCTGTTGATGTTCTTAAATTCAATGTAAGTTTATTTAAATTGAATTTTATTGACTTATTTGTATTATATTTTGGCGTCACTCACTTTAAATACTGTCTGTTGTTAACCGAGTAATAAACATTCTATAAAACACTTCAACGGTTTAAAACGCGACATATATTACTTAAACTTGTTTCAATGACTGCTCCAAAGCATCCGTAACGTCGGGCCGTAGTTAAATTAATTCAAACAAGTTTAACTAATATATATCGCGTTTTAAACCGTTAAAGTGTTTTATAAAAAATGGCACTCATTTTATTAAACTGTCAAGATTCCTCATCTATAGTCTAAATTTATTTCAGGGCTTAAAAGACGAGTACTTAGTCGAACAGACCCCGACGGGTCGTATTATCCGGGTGAGAGGGGGTGATCCTGGCTGGAAGAAGGTCCTGTCGGTGCTGGACAGGGTGGTCCACCCTCAGTTGGGTTACAGCTCTCATTTACCCGGGGATGTTTACAGCTACACCGTGAGTGAATTGTATATTGTATTATGAATAGTTACAAGAAATTCATTTCTGATTAATTATTGGAAACGATGTTGGAAAGGGGCGATATACAAAGCAAATTTGGCGCCAAAATTGATATTTAAATTTGAAAGACATTTAAGATATTTAAGTTTAACTAATATATCGCGTTTTAAACCGTTAAACTATTCTATTTAAATGTGTACTACTCGCGTAAACTATAGACAATATATATTTAAGTTTCGTAAAGTATCTAAAATTACAGCGATTCCATCTTATTTCTATGTTGCAGGCGTATATATATGTAGAAAAGAAGCAAATAATCGGTTGTCTGGTTGTTGAACCTAAATCTAGAGCTTACAAGTTGCTTCCTGGCGAGCCAGATTGCTGTACCGTAGAGGACTACCCAGTTAAGTGAGTGAAACATTTTTTTTAAGTCTTGCGTATGAAGGATGGCGTTGCAGGCTCTCTTAGAGTCACTGAATCTCACTGTTGTGAGTATTCAGACCTAAAAATTATATTCATGTATTTCCATACATGGCAGATTAACAAAATAATTGATGGACTACTTCTACTAACATTTTAGAATTTATGAGTAGAGAATATTACAACGTATAGATATAAAAATATTTTCTTGTGTTGCCAGGTGCGGCGTATCGCGAATATGGACGCACGCAAAATTCCGCAGACGCGGTGTCGCCGTGCGCATGTTGGAATGCGCGCGCGCATCTTACTTCTACGGAATGGCTTTGACACGCGATGAACTTGCCTTTTCTTCGCCCACGCCGTCGGGCAAAGCCTTAGCTACTAAGTATTGCGGTACGGAAAATTTCTACGTGTATTTGAATTAGATACAAATACAATTTTGAACTCTTTAAATAAATCTCTGGGTACTTGGTACAGTCATTGTAAGCTACCTGAAAATTTCATTCAGTTTTACAGAAATACTCGGCTTAGTCAAAATAATTTTAAATTAATCGTAAATAGGGAACTAACTTAATATATTGTTATGATTTTTTAAAGTCGTTTAATATGTGTTAAATACAAGAGACAGTTCTACATTTGAAAATAGTTAAGTCTACGAAAAACCCTTGCTCTAAAACAAATTCGGTTTTTGTTTGATTTTATCTAATTCATTTGTTTATGGTTTTAATTTGCTCATGCTGAGCGCTTTTTTGCAATGAATATTAGGCAACGTCTAATTTTAGAAGGTTTTGTTGGTTCATTTAATAAGAAGTTCGTTTTTACTACTTGAAAATTTTGGTTTTGATTTTTTTTACTAATTTAACAACGAAAAAGGTTTTTAAATTTTACAATTAAGATTTTTATGAATAAGCTTATACGATTTGATAATGATATTAAGTTTTTAGTGGATTGTGATGCAATAATTTGGGACCAATTTGCCTATGAGTGCCAATTTTATTTTTTAATGTCCATGCGACTTATAGTTTTAAGGTTTTCAAATACTTAACACGGAAAAATAAGCGTTTCTGGAAATAGTTTATTCTGAATAGGTTAACTGTATTTGTAAAAGAAGCTCTCTAGTGTTTAGTGGTCGTGTTTTGCCCCACTGCCCCATACCCCAAATGGGCCTTAGTAATATGTATAGTCAAACACGGCCAATCTGACCGATTACGCTTATTGTGACGTCATACTCGTACATAGTACTTTAAAGATAAGGAAACATGCTATTTTCAATACTACAAGTGGGCTTTTTTTGTTTTACTTTATTTAAAACGGTTTCTTTTGATCTTTGTAGGTAAAGTGTTTAAAGTTAAAAATATCATTTAAACGAAATACGAATAACGGTAGTTTAATTCGAAATGTAATACTACCCACATTCTATGTACATATTTTTGTACTAGACCCGACTGTCCAACGAAAATTGCTTTATTATCTCCAAATATGATTGTAAATTGGGAAAAATAGTATAAAATTAGCATGTTTGCGACATTATTGGGAGAAACTAATGTCTTGTGTGAAGAAATAAGATTAATAATATAATACAGACTTAGTCCTAGTTTTAGCGTTACCTCATTTTGCAGTAAAAAGGCCCTAGGGGTATAAGCATGGTGAATTTGCCCCCAAAAGGTATCGGCTTGATACTGCGGGGATTTTTAGGTACTAATAAGGGGTTGTCCATTAACCACGTGACCTTTTTTAGAATTTCTAAACCCCCCCTCCATCATTGGTGATACGTAGTGAGGGTTAAGACCACCCCCTTCTCAACATCACGTGTATTTTTAGTATCTACAAAGAATCTTAAAGTTTTCTGAATATTATCTTAATAATACAGGTATAAACTATAATCTTATTTTATTCTGAAATTAAGGACCATAATAAAAATGTCTACACTTTTTATCAACACCCACCCCCCCTTCAAACATCACGTGATTAATGGACAGCCCCTAGATATTAAGATTCTGAGAGTTTCAGCTTTTGAAACCAATCGGTCTTCGAGAAAAAGCCAAATATGTAAAAATCAGATAAAAAGAATATTCTCGGACACTATTTTATCGATTGACTTATACACAAGATATGTTTTGGGGGTCGATAGTAGCTCCTCGGAAAAAAATATCTAGGGACTGTCCATTAATCACGTGAGGCTTGAAGAGAGGGGGGGGGGGGTGTGTTGATAAAAAGTGTAGACATTTTTATTATGGTCCTTAAGTTCAGAATAAAATAAGATTATAGTTTATACCTGTATTATTAAGATAATATTCAGAAAATTTTAAGATTCTTTGTAGATACTAAAAATACACGTGATGTTGAGAAGGGGGTGGTCTTAACCCTCACTCCGTATCACCAATGATGGAGGGGGGGGGTTTAGAAATTCTAAAAAAGGTCACGTGGTTAATGGACAACCCCTTATTAATACCTAAAAATCCCCGCAGTATCAAGCCGATACCTTTCGTCGGCAAATTCACCATGCTTATACCCCTAGGGCCTTTGTGATTTTTTTTAAAGTTTTAAAATTCTAGAGATAAAAACGCCCACACAATTGAACACGTTTTTTTCTTGCAACTATTCGGATCACAAAGCTTAAGGATTTGGTTCGTTTATTCCACTTTCAGCGGAGGCGTCCAAAGATATTGTACCTCCGAAATGCCATAGATGTTGTACATAGCTTAGACTAATTTATTTTCTTTGTTACACGTCTGAAGTTCGAGAATGTACGATTTTAATTTCGGGTACAAGTTTGCTCATTTTGATAATAGGATTAATAAATGCTCTTTTTTTATAAATGTGTCTTCTTAATCCTCTATAAAATAGATATAAATGAAATATATGTTTGGATCGATTATATTATATTTAAAAACTTTAATATTTTTGCATATGTTGGCACTATAGAAATTAAACAAAAAATACAACTCGGGCAGGACTCGAATCGGCACCGTCAACGTTACATTTAAAGGGCTCAATTGGTAGAGCAACAGCACGGAACCTTTGGCGATGTCTGTTCAAGTAATGTCCGAGATTTTTTTTAATTTATAATCGATTTTTAATTTAAGTTTCTCTAGTTTACGAATGTACGTGTTACATAAGTTTGATACGCCAAAAAGTAACTACTATTTTGATATGAGTTGCAAAGTAATAGATTTTGATCATAATGCAGTCGATTCCCAAGTTAATGTTTCGACAATCTTCAATGACCGACGCAAAGTCATCGACAATTGGATGACGACATGGAATGGAACTGTAGATTGATACAATACAGTATCATTGTTTTGGACTAAACTCATTCCCATAGTAAACAAGAACTTATATAATACACAGAAATGAAAAAGCACAATTTTAAAACAACATTTATTTTTACATACATTAAGTCTGATTCAAAATGCCTGAAACATACTGATTTTCGTGTACACATCAGTTACGGGTAATTCAAAAGACAGTAAATTTATATAATCCGCAATTCTCTGATAAAAACAAAAATAAGCGTCTGTTATCTCCACCTCGCCGTATCTACGATACATAAAACTAGGAATTCCATTAATAATAATATATTAAAATTAAATCTGTTAAAAATATATAAATTTTTCGAATATATTAAAATGACCCGCTGTCCGTCGAAAACAAATGTGCCGAATAGAAATGATCTACTTCAAATTACTCTCACAATGAAAACATCAGAAAACCACATTCTATATAATGAAAGTATAAGTAAATGCGTTTACGGTTTAAACATTAGCGAAAAGGGACGCTGCGGGGTCTAATTCTCTGCGTGCGACACGCCGGTGTAGAATTAGCCCCCCCTCACGACGGAAAAACATCACCGAAAAATATTTTGCAGAGTCACATCTGCACTTTGTGTCGAAACGAAATAATTTCCCTCACATTCATATTGTGCGCAAGTAATCACTTATTTCTATGAAAGATATTAAAAAAGGGGAATCGTTCAATACTATTTGGTTATTGGCCACGGACGTTACATTACTACTAGTCGAGGAGTTCACGCGAAACTAAATTTAATATTATCTCTACGCTCAGTTTCCGTTCAAGAGATTTTTGTTTAGCCTCCGTTCGTGCACAGCGCGGCTCGCGACGGCTTTTGCTCTCGTCGGCGTCGCGCGGAAACGTCTTATCTTACTCTGACATCGACACTGGCAGTATATCATCTAAATATCGAAAAACATAGAAAATATGCTATACTCTACTTTTTACATGACTCACGTGTTATTGCGCCACTTAAATCGTACGTCTTAGCGGGGACTGGATAGATGTACGGCGAATAGCTTATCTACTCTCCGTAGACACTATGAAAAATAGACTTGGAAAACCCGAGTTTTGCGCTACGTACTTAAAGAGATATCGCACACCACAATGCTACCGGAAGGTCCTCAGAGAACCGTAAACAAAATGGCAACCGTGTAATTGTCAAGATTTGGCGCGCACGGCGACCGGATGAGATTCGCGAGTGTTACCATCGTTGCGGCGAATTAATACAGAGCCCCAGTGTTGCCAGTCAGTCGCCATTAAGCCGATTTACGTTGAAGCGTTGCTGTAAATAATTTCACCCGACTAGTGGAGGTGCGCTGGGGGAAATCAAGATCACGTCAGCTGTCTAAGTTACAGATATTTTCCTTCGATTTGTCGCGATACACTAACTTACTTAAAATAGCTACCGAATAGTTTCTTTAAGTTGCATATACAATAAGTTTAAGATGCCATTTCATTTAATTACACGATGAGTTCTAAATGATTCGGTAAGCGACGGTCGTTCAATGTCTCACTGAAACAACGCAGATCTCAAAATAGCCAAAAGTGTCTATGTGACTAATCAAATTCTATGAATAATTAACCGAATGGAATTTCCCTAAAAACGAGTCTAAACATCGAAAAATAAATTCAGCGATATCGAGAACGACCCTCCGCACCACGAAATGTATGAAGTAATATTATATATCAATTATATTCAATATACGCTATATTTCTCTACTTACAAAGAAAACTTAACACGAAAGAAAAAAATACAATTCTCAATATTAAATATATATTAAAAATAACGACAAAATGTTACTTATTAAAAAGCAAAATAGTGATTTGTTAATTTACAAGGTACTAGGAAGGATTGAGTTTTCATATTATATAGTCTGTAGACGATTTAAATATGGTAACATTAGGGTATGGTGTTTCCGCTAGCGAGTTTCAATATGGCACATCGTGACGCCAGCATCGACCTTCTTATATTAAGGACCATTCTTCAAATCCTTGTTTCGCGAAATTCCTTCAGCGCTCTTCGGAACGTCAACTACTCTTACATTCATCTTTGAGAACGACAAAAATAGATTGTTTTTTGTAACGTCTAAATTATCGGTAAGTACATGAACCAATCGTATAAATAATTATAGTAGAATTAATTTACGTAATGTTAGTTACATTTTGTACTTAGGGCTAAAGGTCGCCTAACGTTATGTTTAGGACACAGAGCCGTCGCAAGATAAATCATTATTTTTTTCAAATTTGGCAAAGGACAATGCGCAAAATCTATATGAAACAAGATCTGCGACAATCCTGTGCGTTCAATGAAAGAAAAATACTGCTAATAAAACCTTTGAAGGTGCCGCATTTGATACGGCCGGCGAACAAATCTTTGGACCTTAACTTTATTAAAAGCTCCATATATTAAATAACTCTTTAACTAATTTAATTCTACGCAGCGAAGCTCTTGCTTAGTACATTTTAGTCAAAATGTGCGCTAGTCATAAAAGACAATCAAACATATTGGCGAAAAAATATTTTCTACACATGGAAGACGTAAACTTAAAATTTAAAAAAAAAACTTATGCTATAAGGAAATTATCGATGTGGAAAAACTCAAACTTTTTTTTTCCGGCCAGTATAGGTGTTATTGTTAACTTATTTTGTTCAGAATAATAATTCCTCGTCTTTAGATCTGTGGCCGAAGTTTGTATAATTTGGGTCTCTACACACCACCGAGAACATACAAAAACGTCGGTTACTTCAATAAGTAAAATAAAATTATTACAAGTGATCAAAAATATTCAAAACATATGTAAAAACATGCGTTAACAAAAACTTTGTATATTTCGCTAAAAGAAAAAACGACAAATATTTTAAACTGGTATTCGCGGGCGTTAAAAACGATCAGACTAAGAATACGTAATAAAAGAGAACTACAAATTGTAAATTGTTTCAGAAAAAGTTACCAGTTTAAAAAATAACAATAAATATAATCTATTTCATCGACGCCTGGACGCAGTGATATGCATTAAAAGGCTGCGGTGTCATAAGAAACGCCGTAAATCGTCACGCGTTACGCCGTTATTGGATAGAGCGACACTTTGAGCCGCGTCTTTAGTTGTAAATGAGACGTCCTTCTCGCATAAGTTGTATTTGATTCAGATTCTCGCAGCCTACGGCGTTTATAGGACACCGCAGCCTGAACAAAATGCGTTAGATCGCTACAGATACGTAAAAGCTAATTGTGCTCCTCTATGTAGCCTCGACAACAAAATAAAACACATGATCCTCAATATAAAACGATTGCATTTGCTCTACGCAAAGATAAAGGCTCGATTTTGCAACTATCGAAACGATCATTGAATAACCCCCATCGAATAATCGATTATACCAATAACATTCGATCGATCCAGTGTTCTTGAGAATTCGTCTTCCACCTTAAAAGCATGCATTGCAACTACCCTATTATAGACATTATATACCTAGACTTATAGAAAAAATCAAAATATGTTGACTACTTTCTGACGTGGCCGAAGCGACGTCGATTAATCGCCACTCGCAACAATCGAGCCGATATCGTAACGCGTAATTCCGCCCGAATGAGATATCACGGAGTGAAAATGCCATTTGCCATTATCAAACGCTTATAAAATATCAAAAGAAAACATGAAACTGTCATTTTGTACTAATTTAATATTATATATGACGAATCAGGAACGCAAAATGTTAGCTAAGTGGTATACTGTGGTAAATTGTAAATTCTAAGTGATTTCATTACCACAAATATATTTTAAACAGTTTTATAACCCTTGTAAAGGAAACTCAATCGAAATCAAAATATACGCCAGTGTCTGTCAAATTGACAGCTACGCCATCTTGTTTACGCAGAGTTGTCAATCTGTCCAAATCGCGTATTGACAATGGCAAAACCCATTTCCATTCCGAGATCAGCACGGGTTAGTTAATTTTCCACCTCCGACGTTTCTTACAAATCTACGTCGGAAACACCATGCGAACGACAGAAGAATCACAGTGACTGGCCGCTTGGCAATTGTATCACCTCTTGCACATTATTACAGGAAATAAAGCAAAGAAAAACTTAACACGTGTAAAAATACGTATACTAAATATGGTATATAATATTCAAAATGAACAATTGTTTCTTTTTTCAAAATTATCTTAAAGAACTGAAATAGGTATGTTTTTTCTTAAGTTGTGAGTTATGTTTTAATTAAATTATTGCTAAAAAGCCAGTGAATTTTTTTTATTCATATCAGAAAGCTATGTCTGTCATTCAAATGTAATTTACATATGAGTAAAAGAGACAATTGTATGTTGTCTCTATAGCCTGTTTACAGTGTTAAAAAAAATATTTTGTAAATAATGTGCAAGAGATATAAGGCGTCGGAGACACTTAGCAATGTATTAAGATTAGCAAACAGCCTCGTATGTCTCGGCCTTAGAGCTTCATTTACAACTATAGTACAATACTTTGAGAGACCGTTACCCCCATTTTCCCCTCAAATAAAAGTGTTATGGGCAGATTTCCAATAGGACGGTAATACAAGAAATATTGCCTCTCATGAAAAATGTAGTGTCTATTGTTATTTAATAAAGACAATGATATAATAATATCATATATAAATTTTAGGATGACTAATAAATGACATTTTTTAATGTATGTATGTTTGTTGTCTGGTTGTATTGGAAATCTGGCCGAATGCGACGTTCCCCGTGTTACAGTTGTAAATCGAAGCCATACGTAAAAACGTTAATATTGTAGCGTTACACATAGACAGTATATGTATAATATGTAAATATTGCTGTCGTATTCGTTTGGTGTCATACGTGTCGCCCGCCGGCCACGGGTCTGCGTGGGCGCAATGCGCTCGCGTTTCTCACTGTAAATGCGAGAATAGCGTAAGTTTCTAAAGTTACTATTACCACTTGGGATTTGCAGACACATTTTTATGTCCGTTTAAATACATTATTTACTACCTCATTGCTCCAGTAGTTAGTGCGTTCGACTGCAGGTCATGAGGTCCTGTATTCGAAACTTGGGTAGGGAAAATTGCTTTTTAGTACTTGGAAGTGGTGCGTTAGTTTACAAGAAGATATCACGTCCTTCTTTGAAGAGTACGTTAACCCGACGGTCCAGGTTATCACCACAAATTTAGTAGTATGTAGTTATTGAAACCCTCAAACCCGCACTCATGGTCTTCAACCCTACGCGAAAGGAGATCTACGCCCAGCAGTGGGACATAATAACATTAAGAGCTCACCGTTAGAGCAGTTCGTACTGGCGCAGGTGCATCCGCTGAATGATGTCGCGGCAGTCGTTGAAGACGCGCTTGATGTTCTCTGTGTCGACGGCGCATGTGAAGTGCGGGTAGCAGTAGTGCTTGCCCTCGCCGCTCGCCGTGCTGATGCGCTGCATATAACCGATATGCTATTAGTACTTAAACAAATAATCGTTAAACGGTTATTGGTCCAAAAATCTTGGATTTCTTTTCATGTCATTTCATATACAAAAAGAAATCAAATTCAGAGGGCTATATTTTTTTAAATATTCCTATGTCTCAACGAATAAAACCGGTATTATCGAGCGTGTTCCAACAAAAAAAATATTTATTGGCGATTCTTAACGATCCAACTCGAAGAACCAAAATGTACAAGCAAAGGAACATTAAAAAGGCAAACAATTTTATTTAGGGACGCCTATCTCACTTAATACGTAACTAGATTTTAAGACAATGGAAATGTGTATATTTAAAAAAGTCCACATTAAGTAGGCCCTAAAGTCTTCAATCTAAGTTTGATTTTTAGAGGTAGAAACAAGACCCTTGAAGGGTCAATAACTAACCAGAAACTCATCCCGTATAAAGTACTTAGCGCGCGCGACCTCCGGGTGGTCACGCAGGTCCGGGCTGGCATCCGGAGGGGTCTGGTAGCGCGAGAACTCCGCGAAGTAGTCCTCCAGCCGGGACTTGCCAGCCATCACCTTCTCCGCGAGCAGATCCTGCTTGTTCAGGAAGAGGATCACCGATATTGTGCGGAGCCACCTGGAACGTTACACGTAATTTATTATATACTTGAGTCTTACGAGTGGTATGTAATAAAATAAAAAATAACTTTTAACCTGAATTGTTCGCCTTTGTTGCTTAGCATAAACTTAAGAACGAGAGCTCGAATCTTAGATAAAAAATAAATGATTTTGTTCGGAAGGCAAGTACTTGCATGTAAATAGATCGATTTTCAAAACGGACTTAAAAAAATGTCCAACTTCATTTTACACGGAGAAACGGGATTTAACTTTTTTACGAAGCAATCGTAGACTTATTTTTTCACACTTTATAATTCCTTCAATTTATTTTTAATTTCTTCTTCCTTTGCACCTTATCTTCTTTAAATTGTTAAGGAAGAAGAATCCAAATCGCCACCAACCTGTTATTCCATATGCTCTTGAAGAGGTCAAGCGACTCCCTGAGCCGGTTCTGCGTAGGGTCCTCCCGCAGCACCATGTTGTAGGAGGAGCAGGCCGTCACGAAGATGATCGCGGTCACGTCGTTGAAGCACTGGATCCACTTGCGGCGCTCGTCGCGCTGCCCGCCCACGTCGAACATGCTGGAAAATAAGCAAGTGACGTCACTATAGTACAAAAACTTAACAGGAGTACAGACTAAGTTAAGTTGAAATGCCCCAGCTACAGAGCATCTAAGAGGCTTTGGGCATTTAGTAAACAACCAGGTCCTGATCCATACATAATTTATTTATAAATTTTATTCGTTTCCCAAAAAATCATTCTTTCATACATACAAGTAGTTGCTTGGTTCCTTGAATCGTTTTCGCAGCACACACAACAAAAGCTTTCAAACATGAATAATTTTACCCGTCTTTCCCACACTTCCCCTTTTTAAATACGTACTTTTAGATACCCGAGTAATAATCAATAGTACGACGAGCCCTGTGCTACAGTATTTTGCTTCAGGTCCAAGAGGTGCACTTACTGGAAATTGACTTTGTCGACGACGAACTGCGTCTCGAAGATGCCGGAGGTGAGCACTCGGCAGCGCAGGATGTCCTGCTCCGTGGGGGTGTATTCCGGGTGCTTTATCACGTGCACCTTGTCCAGAAAACTGAAAAATCGAGAAATCATACCTTAGAGACTAGAAATATACACTAAATGTCATGTCAATTTTGATGGATGGCATCATCAGGAGACATTAACGATCCTCGAATAAGCAAACACAGTCTAGTTGCCTAGCGAAAACGAAACAATAACAACCAGTTCTAAATTAAAACTACTTGGTTATAGTATGTTGATGAATTTAATAATGGTACTATATTCCTTCTCAGTCTTAAAAGTTTTAGAACAGTAACCTTGGCTGAGATCACTGTCCGTATCAGTCAAAGCTCAAAAATTAACAATGGAACAATTGCTAAGATACTACAAAGAAACCAGACGGTTTGATAACCCAATGACCTCCGCTAAGGGGGCTTGGGGATATTGGTGAAGTGGTTAGCAAAACGCAAGAACTAGTCACCGGGCCTTCGGTGACCCAATAAAAAAAGAATAATCAATCAAAGCTACCGTATGTCATGTAAGTACTAATGGGATACTGACTACTTGGCACAGTCGATGAGCTGATACTCATTGCTCCTCTCGTAGGTGCGCTGAACTCCGCCGTCCTTCCAGAGCTCTTCCGTGTGCTCGTAGAACTCCGGCGGGTAGTCGAAGTCCGGCTGGGACGCTACGTCCTGCGAAATCAAAGATGTGACTAAAGTTTGTAAAAAAGTTACCCTCACTTTTGTATTCCATGTGTCATATGACCATAAGTGAATAGCTCAATTACCCGCGTGAGGTATGGGGCCCTTTTATGCCCTGCTCGACCAAAACAATCTATTGTTTCCCTGGGATTCTAACCAGGACCTCTCACACTTAACGCAATGCTGGGCAACATGTTTAAGCATTTGGCTACAGAGGTGGCCTGTTTTATGGTCATAGTTTAATGGCCAGCAAATTAGTAGTATAAATGTGGATCGAGGAATGCAGGGGGGGGGGGGGGCGAGGTCCCCGAACTATGGGGATGGGGGCGAGCACAATTATGTGTCCATTTCACTATCGATTTTTTTAGAGGCGTACTGGTAATGAGTTCTGGCTTCCGTCCTTTTACTGTGACGGTAGAAAACATGGTAAGAAGGGTTGTACTCACTTGTATGTAGTCAACTCTCGCCTTGTTCTCTGGTTTCTCGAGAGGTATGGGCGGGGTGAGTGTGCTCATTGCACCGGTTATCGTCTGAAATTATATGTACTCAATTAAAAGTACAGTAATGAAGACTAATTACTTTTATTATAAATTGTCTAACCAAAATTTGCCCCATTTTGGTTAAGTATATAAATTAAAAACCTTTTGGGAATTAAAAAAAATTATAACACGGGCAGGACTGGAACCAGCACCTACTGCGTTCCGTCCTGCTGCTTCAACTTCCACAAACTATTTTTTTTTTTTCAATCCAAATACATTTTGAATGTATATAGTGTCGCCATGTGCAATACGTGTGAAAAAAATTAAGTTTTCATACATTGCATATTTGACTAACAAAAAAATGTTTAATATGTAAAACAACCGATCGAAACGATTTGTCAAATAACCGCATGTTATATACTATATCTAGTCTACTAGATTTGACCCACACACTTAGTGCAGGAATGGATTAGTATATTATTAAAATACTTATTGGAGTTCTGAATTGACCGACGATCTAACTCTAAGTATACTTTTGTCGAAATATTTGAATTAAACTACTTACTATACAAAGATAGTTAACTGAAACTTGGACATTTGCTTCGTTTCCAAATAAACAAAATAGTTTTTTGTTTGGCTCATACAATGCTTTTGTACTAATACCAAATTACACCGCTAGATGTCACTGTATATAGTACATACGAGAATGGCGTCGCGGATATTCTTCTTGATATCCTCGATCTTCTCCCGACGCTCCTTATCGGAGAATCCGTTCACGTGGAGGATGCGCATCTGCTTGACGATCGTCGACTTGCCGGACTCGCCGGCGCCCAGCAGCAGCAGACGGTGCGTTGCGCGATATAACTGGAACGACATAGAATATACTAGTATTTCGTTGGATTGCGAATTCACCAGACATCTTAAAAGAAATGATTAAAGTGGTGTTGTACGGCCGATGAAGACATTAGAAACTAGGTTATAATTAATTACTTAAATACAGTTTCGTTTCTACCTGTTTAGAATGGTTTTATTAAAAAATCTACTTAAATACAGAAAGTCTTTGAGATAAAACCGAGACTAATCGAAGGATCAAACGGCTTTGAAAGGGCACGTTGTTGTAATGGTAGCAACGCGTGGCTAATAATCAACGGGCCGTGAATTTGATCGTCACTGGATTCAACATTTAAAAATTTTTCTGAAACATTTTCACCGTCCACAGATGAAAAAGCCGAAAGCTTTAATCGCGTTTCGGTTTCAGTCTGTGGATTTCCGAATATGCTAAGGTAAAATAGGTTGACAGTGCATCTTACTTAGATGTATTTCACATACCATCGAGTGAACCTCAGGCGTCCTTCTCCGTCATAAAAACAATACATATATCGTTTTTCCAGATAAACAAAGTGTATTCCTTTTTTTATTTATCATATTTCAAAAATGGCTATAGTTTTTATAACACCGTTTTAATTTAAGTAATTAATTTATAAATTAAAAATATTTGGATAACCCTGCATCTAGGACATCCAACTCCTGAATCCTGCATTTGTATACTTACAAAAGTTAATGTATGTAACAGTCTTGCTTATATACACGCAGGACAAATATGTAAGTGATAAACGTTAATTTAAATAATATACTTTTAACGGTTTAAAACGCGTAATATTAACTTATTTACAGTTTAACTGTGAACCGATGTTTCGGATGCTTTGCAGCAGACACGGTCACGGGTGTCCCCTCGTATATTTTTGGTAATATTATTTAAATATATTGACATCCTTTAAATATACAGTCTACATAGTATTTGAATTAAACCTGTTTGTCCTTTTGTAGCTGCCGTGAAATCGCGTCGCTCCGCCGCTTCTGCGACTTGGCGTCATCCTCGCCGCTCTTGGCGCCCGGGGACCCGAAGCAGCCCATTGCCGACCACGCAGCCCACCTGGAAACCAAACCGATGCTCTTATTACTTTATGTCATCTTTATAGAAGACCGCTTTTAAGTTAGTGAAGTACTCTCTGCAGTGTACGCAAGTGGTGCACAATTTAAATAAAACAGTTCTAACGGTTTAAAAGGCTAATTGTTATGTGCAGTCACGTGAACACGGCTTATGCAAAGCGACAGAAACGTAGGGCCATAGTTAAAATAAATTGTAAACTGTGTAACTAATTAAATAAGCATTTCGCGTTCTAAACCGTTAAGAGTATATTGTTTATATTATTATTGCTTATTTTCTTAATATTTTTGAACATATTATAAAGTATGATTTGGTTATAAAGTGTCTTTTAGCAAAGCTATTCTTGAAACTCTATTTAGAACCTTCTAAGGTAGACTAAGATTTATGGAAATTATCATGAGATAACAAACTTCGTGTTATTTAAATGTTCCCCCACCAGAAGAAGGAATATAATAGAGGGCAGTCTTAAGCCCGATTGTGGCCCGAAACGAGCTTAACTCTATATCAATGATTAGTAATACTTAAATAGCGTTTAGTCTAGCTTCCAAATGTCATAAAAGCCTAAATCCCCATCAAATAGTTCGTATATAGAATTCACACGCACGAACGCCATAGACGCGTCATCCGTACACAATAACTTTCATTTTCAGACCATAAACACGTCGCAGAGCATACCAAGGAGGTAATGATGTTCCGCGTACGACCTCATCCGTCGATCGGTGCCATTGCGCTCGTCAAAGTATGTGTAGTCTAAGAGATGGCGAAAAAAGTGTACAAACTATAGATTATTTTTTCTAACTTGGCACAACAAATATGGACGATTTCAAACCTAAATAAAGTGATGGATTTTTATAGACTGAAGTTGTTGCCACAGATGACACAGGGTAAAGAAGCATCGATTATATAGACCAGAGGATCTCAACGATCGTCCACGAGTGAGGCTTCTACCTTCTTCTGTCGACGACTTTGCTTACATTCCATCCCTATATGTAAATGTCAAAGTAAAGAAATTTAATCTGTGCATTTATGTAAATTCATTTTTTGGATTTCTAACAGTTAAGCATAAAATGTTGGTTAACTAAGTGATATCTACAGATGAAAAAGCGGTGAAATTTTCGGTTTCAGCCTGTCATTTTCGAATATCCAAAGCCAAAACAGGTTGACACGCACCGTCTCTTAGACTACGCTATTCACCGCGTGATCGTTCGCGCGGTAATGCAGCAAATATGCTAATAGGTTCATTATTCGGCGGCATTTGTCCTGCGGCTCGCGTTCTAACCATTTCGGCGGCTAATTACATCTGCCTTCGCAACGTCACGCTTTGTTCCTAGAAATGAGGCGCGAGTCGTAGGTTTTCTTCTATTGAAACCAATCGACGATCGAGAACATTCAATATATAATGAACTATCGTAAAATAATAACTTCCCTTTAGTCTGGCTTCAAAGTCTTTGTAATAGCTAGGGGTTGCAGGGTTAAAAAAAATAACTGCCCGTATTGAGAATTAGACACAAAAATAGACCTCGTTTGTAAATGCACAGACTACATCCTAGACTAAAATTAATGCATGGTTCATTCAAAACGAATAAAATTACAACGCTCCCGTCGAACGAAACGCATAATGCCTTAACCTGTAATCCAAACTTGAAAGTGCAGACTGCAAATCTTGACCCGCCTAAGTACCCGAGCTTCAATTCAAACGTACAATTTATATTCATGCTGCCTGAATATTTATAAGAATAATGAATCCACGAGGCAAAGAGTTTTAAAACGAATGACAAACTTCGAATGACGAGTATGGAAATTGTAAAAAAAAATAAATTTAAATAAAACACTTTAACGGTTTAAAACGCGATAAATTAGTTAAAATTATTTGAAAATGATTTTTAACTTCGGCCCCGGCTTACACATAATTTTCAAATAAGTTTAACTAATATATCGCGTTCTAAACCTTTAAAGTGTTTTATTTAAATGTGTACTACTCGCGTAAATTATAGGCAGTATTTTAAAAAAGAAATGATACATTTTAATACTGTCTTGAAAGACAAAAAAAGTCACTACCACTCTAAATCCAAATAAAACTACCCATCAAGTAGGGAAATGTCCGTATCTTATTCACTTCACCCAAAACTCCCGTAACATGCGCAGCCGCACTGCAACCTACTATGTCTATACTAATATTATAAAACTAAAGAGTTTGTTTGAACGCGTTAATCTCAGGAACCTGGTTTGAATTGAAAAAATATGTTTGTGTTGATGAGGGTTATTTATTGAAAAAGACTATAAAACATCAGGATGCGACAAGTAGGAAGGAGGAAATAGAAGAAAATTAAAAAAAGGGGGAAATTTATATTTGTGGATTTTCGTTGCATGGGCTGCAAAAACGATTCTAGACACCAAATACTATTGTTAAGTACTTTTTTTTTTTAAAATGTCCCAAAAAATATGATTGCAGTACAGTAACCGGTGTTGGACGATTTCTTTAAAATTAAAAAAAACTGAATGAAGCTATTATTTAAATGGAACACTTTTTAACGATTTGAAACACGAAATGTGTTAACTTATTTACAATATCTTTTTCGGGTTTCAAACCGTTAAAAAGTGTTTTATTTGAATGTGTACTACGCGTGAACTACATAACAGACAACGCTGTTATTGTAATTCTACCACAGTTGCTTGTCAGTTCGTAATTCCGAATGTTGAAGGAGATTGGGGGTTGTGAAGATTACGGTTTATTATAATGACATCTCTATAGTCTATCTATATATGGTTTGTGACTTAGGAGACCGGGAAGAAGTGCAACAGTTCGTTGAGTATTACTGACCTATTTCAATTCTAGTAAGAACCATTCGTTACTACAGCAGTGGAACATCAATTTTTTATCAAAACCGACACAGCCATATACATCACTATAGATCACTCCTCTCACTCGCACTGTAAGGTACTCCATAGTTCTGTTTCACTCGCGCATTAGAGATGTGATGAATCTTACAGATTATAGAATCAACATAAAAGCTTGGTTTTCAAACACAAATTAACAGTTCTTTCGCTTTATATTCGTCGATGATTCTTACCTTATCAATTAATTGCGTAAAGATACTCAGCGAAAGAAATGATATTTTATCATTACAACACCTTATAAAATGAAATCCAATTATTTATTACTCTTTTCTTTTGTTTGAACATCAAGTTTAAATGCTGTTCGATTTATATGGCTCGAATGCTATTGATAACAGATTATAAATTTAAGATTTCGATAGAAAATATTTTTGTGTGTGATATTGACAAGGCACGGATCAGGATCTCACAAAAGATTCTTCCGTTTGTGCAAATAAGTAATTTTTAGTCATATAATTATCGCGGACATTTTTTTTTAATAATTTAAGGAGGATTAATGCTTTCACACACATTTTTTGGGTATCTTGAACCGTTTTCGCAGCGTTTCGGAAACCTACAAAGTTGATTAATTTTTCCCGCTTTTTCCACATTTCCTGCTGTTTCATCGCCCCAATTGATCACATTGCAATCTTTTAAAACCCACGGCTCCACGATAAATTCTCTAACTAAAACAAAAATATTTTTTCAATTGAAAGCAGTAGTTCCTGAGGTTAGCGCGTTCAAACATACAAACAAACAAACTCGGATTGGATTTATCAGAATATATATAGATTGCTTCTTCGTCCTTGCTCAGTGGGGCTTAGGTAGTAAGTAGATCTACCTAATCAATCAAATACAAAATAAAGAATACTGTCTGTAGTTTATGCGAGTAGTACACATTAAAAAAAACACTTTAACCGTTTAATTCGCGATATGTATTAGTTAAACTCAGTTGAAACTTATTTTAACTGTGACCGCCGTTTACGATATTTTACAGAAGCCGTGGTCACGGGGAGACTAAAGATGGAGGGTGTATTTAATGTCAGAGTTAAAAACTACTACGCTAGTGCCATCTATTCCGTTGAAGTTCGTTTCTGGCGAAATCGGCCGGGTCAATTTTTGAACTCCCGAGTTTTTAATATTTGTCACCACGTGTTTGATAACTGTGTATAGGCAAAAGTAAAGTTTTGGCTTTGGGGTAAATTTCAAAATAGCGTGCCCCTTTTCGTCAATCGTCAGACGGTCAGAATGATCGCTTGAATCGAGTAATTGGGTTGAGATAATTCCCGCGTTTACTCCGAAGAAAGTCAAGCGCATTCCGAATATATGATTAACCTGATTTGAATGTGCGTCAAGTTTTATTCGATGGCGACGCGGACAGGTCAGGGGGTCCGCACTGGGTCATTCTATTATCAGCATTTAGCACGTTGGCTGCCGATGGGACTTTTCCCTATCACACTGCATCTTCACATTTGTTATAGTAACAACAAAAAAAGTATTTTTGATATAAAAAAAATTGTTAACCCCTAATAAGTATTTAAATAAACTTTGAACTGTTTAAAACGCGTAATGTATTAGTATTAGTGTAAAAAACCACGGCCATGGCTAGTGCAAAGCGTCCGAAACTTAGTTAAAATATGTTGCAAGTTTTACTAATAAACTTCGCGTTTTAAACCGTTAAAAATGTGTTATGTAAATGTGTACCACTCGCGTACTAAAAATTAACAACGTAAAATTAACGCCTATTAATAGATATGCAACTGATATAAGTAAAAAGAGATAACAATATGTAGTTTGTTTACATGGTACGCGAATTTTATAACAGAATGAGAAATCCCTATTTGGTCATTTTAGGTATAATAAGTAAATTTTTCAGATACAAATCCACAGAGGCAGCAAAAAAGTGTTCCGTTAAACAAACTTCGCTTCCGCAAAGCCTGTAATTACCATGAACAGAGGCTGAAAGAAAGGGCGCATCAAATGCGATTCCACTGTTTTTGTCATCAGCAGGAAGTTGCTGATTCTCAGTATCTATTTATATATGTGGCTGCTAGAGGCAGCCTAATAATAAAAAACATGACTTTCAATAAGGAAAATAAAAATGCGCATTATTAACTGAGGCGAAAATGAATTTGTACTATGATTTGTGTAAGAATTATATTATAACAATTTTCGGTCACTGTGCTGTTGTAGATTAACATTTTTAGACTAAAAAAATATAAATAAGTTAAGTCATAAAATTGCGGTTAGGCTACTGTCTCTGGCGGCTATTATATAAAAAAAAAAAAACCTATTGAAAAAAAATAAAAAAAAAACAAATGCCACAACGATATTGCAACAAATCTTAGCTCGGGGGGGGGGGGGGCGCGGGCCGCGCCAGAAAAAAAAAAAACAAATCCAACGGGTTAAAATAAAAAAAAAAAAGTTAATTGCCATTCGAAAAACCATTTTTTAATGGTTTGAGCATGGGGCGAACACATTTCTGTGTCCGTTTGTTCTGTTTTATTTAAAGGCTTACTATTCACTAATTTACGCGATATATTATTCGACAAACTTTTTTATTCCGATTGAAAATTATTTTTAACTTCGGTTCCCGACGTTTCCCCATGACCACGACTGCTAGCAAAGCATCCAAACGCTCGGACCCCGAAGTTAAAAATCATCATTCCAAATAAGTTTAACTAATATATCGCGTTTTAAAAAAAAAAAAAAAAAAAAAAAAAAAAAAAAAAAAAAAAAAAAAAAAAAAAAAAAAAAAAAAAAAAAAAAAAAAAAAAAAAAAAAAAAAAAAAAAAAAAAAAAAAAAAAAAAAAAAAAATGCACGTCAAAAAAACCGTCCAAAAAATAACCCCCCAAAGGGGTTTCCCAAAAGAAATTTCCCTTTTTTTTTTTGTCCCTGTTCCCTTTTAATAGTGTATTTTATTTAAATGTGTACTACTCGCGTAAACTATAGACAGGGGTTGGGCATATTAAACTAACAAACAACATGTCACAGAACGAAACCTATAACTAGAGCATACCACAGATATATACACTACTTTTAACCCACCTTTGATTCAATTACACATTAAAGACGCAAGTAAAAATAACTTCGTGACTCATTAGCACAAATGCGGTTTACAATTAAATTATTTTTAGTCTGTTATTACAAATCTCGTTGGTTGCTATGTATTCTTATCTGTGTATTATTTGTTTTGATAATTAAAATGATAATTGTCTTATTACCTAGCATGTTAAACAAACAAAACTAGTATAAAAATGTTTAACATCCACAATTAATGATCTCTATAGTGACTCAGGCAGATCTACGCAATACTTTTTGTTACTAATCAATCAAACCAGATCAAAAAAGGTCTATGCACGTGGTGCTAAGAATAATATTTACCTATGTGTTGTAAATTTTATAAGCTTTCAATAAGTACACAAATTAGATAGTCTTAACTTTTTTTTTAAATATTGGAAAGACAGAAAGAAATTTAACACAATTATAAAGATAAATTGACTTGCAAACATAAGCTTTAAAAGTAGAAGTATTGACAAAAAACCACTTACAACTGTTCAAAACACAGTAGTTCACTAATATATGCAAAGCAAAGCATCACAAATCTAAGTTAAAAATGACTTAACTAAGATGTATATTGTATTTTAAACAGTTAATAATTTTTTTATTGTACCTGTCGGTCAATATGACAAAATAGAGTACCCGATCAATTAAATAACATTTCACATAAAACCACTTTAAATTACCTAAAGTTAAAAATAACTAAATTTGAAATGCGTAATTAGTGTTTGAATGAAAAGAATAATGATTGAAGTAAGGCCATCTTGACTGAAGTGCTTGACCAATTACGCACAATAGTTATAACAAATATCTCTACAATGCTTAGTGATCGGTAACAAATGGTATGTAGATATATATTCAATATATGTGTTGCAGGTTTATACTAAAATTAGGAGTTTGATAAAAATTCTGGCTATCATAACACAATTTATAAGAAATATAACTCAATACTATTGCTGTGTGATAATCATAAAGGTGCAATGTCTATTGGTAAGTTATGGACATAAACAGCAAATAAATAATGTATTACAGGTTAAGTCTAATCTTTACCATATATGGTACCCTACATACTACTATAAAACATACTGAAGATACAACACGAATAACATTATGTATTTCATGTAAAGAACGTTATAACCTGAGTATGTGTGTGATCATGATGCAGATTATCATATGTTTTATATATAACAATAAAAATCTCCATCAGTTGTACAAAATTAGTGTATCACAGAAAAATATGAAGAACTACAATTTGTGTACAAGTAGTTGAAGATTCCTGTACTCACCAACAGGTGGGGGTGGCGTTATCCACCGTGTCCTGGTTGGCCTGCGAGGGGGACTCCGCTCCCCTCGCGCCACCCGTCACCGAGGAAGCCGTGGTGCCGCTGTCCAACTAAGCCCACATCATCACCACACTCTTATTATCTCCAACAAACTGACACCAATTGCATTGCTACCTGAAAATAGCACAGCACTTCACTAAAACAACACTGACACTCCCGCATGAGCCCACAAACGATCACGCCCAATATACACCGAGAACAAATCTAAATCACGAAAAAATGGCAACCTTCAAATATTATGACTCGAGACAACTAGTCCACCATGGTATATTAAATTATTTATAAACTTTCACGGGTTAATTATAGACCAGACGTTACTATTAACGTTTGAACATAAGTAAATGATGATAAAATAATATTTATAAATAGCTTCGGATCATTTTGATACGAATTTACATCCATGGAACTGCATTTTATACACACCCCGATTTTGGGTGGAATGGATCCTCTTCTTTATATTTATACTACGTTAAACATGCGAAAAACGGCACGATTGTGTTTTTAGATTACAATTTAATTAAAATATGACCTACACCCTGATAACTACAAAGACATTTTTGTAGCGAATAGCGATGACAGCGATCCGTATCGGCTTCACAGAACTATAAAAAATCAACATGTCGTCTGTGATAATACGAAAAGGTGTTTCATCATTGTACGTCTATCTGTTGGATGGAAATAAGGGTGTGGTCAAAATTGGAAATATTTCGAATATATTTACAAACTGTATTTTTAAAATGCAATATGCTAGAAAAAAAAATCATTAAAATATCTTTAACAACGTATAACTTGAATTAGCGAAAGATGTTTAAAAGTATACTTTTGACAACCCTAACTCTGGTCACAAAACTTTTCTAATTTCATATTAATTTGCGTTTCACTTTAATTAGAATACATTGTATTAATGTTAAATTAATGAAGATCTTAAAGTATTAGCATACATTTGATAATATCTTCGGATTAGATATATGTATATATTTTTAAACAAAAATTTAATCTTCATATTCCTATGTGTTGACTCGAACTAGAAGTGACAAATGAATGTCAAAAATCAATGTCAAACTAGATGTGACGGAATGGCGCCAACGGCAATTTTGTGGTCCGCGAAATAATATGTATTTATTTTTCGTTATATTATCCACTTAAGGAACGAGGAATGTAACAAATAATGACCTGTAATTTATATTAAACCATAAGAAAACGAAGGAAATATTTAAAAAATGGCGACATCTAAAACTTTACTACTTTTAGCAAATAAATTAGGAATCGCCGAAGAAGGAAAACTTTTAAGGTTTGTTTTATGAAACAAAATATCTTATAATTAAAGCAATAGACTTAAGGTAACTTTCTTATAACTAATTTCAGCAAAGCTGCTGAACTGGAAAGATTGTTGCAAATGAAACTAACAGCAGGAAATAATCTAACCGACACAAGTAGAATTGTAATATGTTTGGACTTAGCCGCGACGATCTATGGTGCTGATCTTGATCATGTGAGTTTTTTGTTTTTATTCAATAATATTCATAACGAAGGCACAGAACTCTCCTCAATGTATCAATGTCCTAACGTGGGAAATTGACATAGCAACACACTACTAAGTAGGTAGTTACTCAGTCTAGTCTCACTAAATAGTCTTAAAATGTATTTCTTTAAAATAAAGCTCTTATTAATGAACATTAACATTAACATTTCTCCATATTAATCTAGTTATTATTTTTTATCTATAAAATTATGTATCCTTAGATTATATTCCTCTTGCTTTTACAGAAGCATCTTTATATATAATATTATTATTACAAATTCGTATGAATGACACAATGAAACCCTATAAGTACCTATTAATATTTCAGAAAACTGCTATTAAATATTCTGGTCTAAAAGGACCAACCTATACTAGCAGTAAGAAAATGGTGGAAAATCTACTTGAGCTGAATAATGACAAGTTGACAGTATCGTCTCTTTGCCTGAATTTCCAGTGCAATGGGGTAAAAGGTCTTGCTGAAAATATTTTGCAAGATATTCAGAAGACTACAAAAATGGTAATTCTAACAATTTTTGTAATAATATAAGTGCTTTTTATTGCACAAATAATAATCAATCTCTGTCCATTATACATTGAAATATTCTATGTTTTATGACCTTAAACAAAAAGTCTCTACTAAACTAAAAGTCCTATATGAATTAATTATTATATTATGTAGTTATATATGTATATATGAAGTTTATTATTCGTTAAGGTTCCTTCACTAAGCTAAAACTGTTCAATATATAAGAACCAAACTTAAAAACCCTACAAGGATTTTGGAGTGGGTACTTAAGTTATGCAAAATACTTGTGAAATATATAATTTATAGTTGCTTTACTGTCACTTGTGTGTACATTTATTATAAGGCTTATTATTTGATTTTATTTATAAACCTCTCTGATTTAAGGAACTGGACATGACGCTGCCTCAGTATGCATGCATGGCTGTCTATCAAGCTTGCAGGTTAGTTATATTTCCCTAATTTTAATGGTTGAAGCATTTAACTTACCATATCTACTGCCCACCTATGTAGTAAAAAAATATATTATTTCACATTTGTTTTCTTATCTTTATTCATAAACATTATAACCTCTAGGCTCCACCTTGGAATAACAGGATTTCCCTTTTACACTTAACTTGTAAAATAAAGCCGTAGACTACATCAGTTTCTAGAAATATTGATTGACATCACAGTTATTGTTTTGTGCTATTATACTTTGGGAGTCAATTATTTCTTGTTAAAATTTAGTTATTACTACAGAGCATATATTTTATTATCTAGCTCGTTATTCCAAAAATTTCAGAATAAACAAGATAAAATTACCAAAGAGTAAAATGGTGGAAAAATCAAGATTAAAACTGGGGCAGTGGAGTAAGTTGGAAGCGGAGTGGGCCAAAATTATTGACGAAAAGTTCGCGGTTGTCATGAAGAGGGGCAGGCCTGCTAAAGTTAAAGTAGTTGATGGTAAGTTTTATGATAGATTCCTCTAAGTCTTTAGAAATAATGAAAGGACCTGAATTTAATAAAGTATAAAATCAAATTGTTTTAATTTTATATTCATAAAATTGTCTTCCACTTAAATAATTTGTTTGAAGCTATTATCTTATTATTATTACCACTTGTTTGTTATTTTTTTATTTACTTGCATTTTAGATGAAAAAGCAATGGATATCGACACAAGCCCAAAGAAAGAAATAGTTATCGAACGAAAAGTAGAATCCTATGAGGACTGGAAACGACGTATGTTGGAACAAGCGTACAAAGAGCTAGAAGTGTTGGAGAATGAGAGAAAGATAAAAAAATCAGTGACACGGCTAAGTATTCACGAAGAGTCCCTGAGACGTTCTCCCAGGAAGACTCCAATTAAATCACCGCAGAAGACCCCCCAAAAGTTTTCACCCTATAAGGGCCCTAGGAAAGATGGCGTTATACGTCTCGTTTTTCCTAAGGATTTTTAACGCCGAAAGGTACATAAAACATAAAGACTTAATCATTTGAGTGCCAGTTAATTAGATCAGCAAAATGAGTTAATATAGAGTTGTATCTTCCGATCTGTTAGCGTTAGTAAGTTGACAGTAAGTGAACTGGTTCATGAGGTATAAAATCGCTGCACGAGGTAATTATTGAACGAAGTCCCCTTAATTTTTCTATATTATTAGTATTTAGTAAAATTTTCAAGTGATTAAATTTTCAACTATTTAGCTATCGCGGTATTTAAAAAGCCCAGAAGAAAAGTAAAATGGATATTATTTATTGGTTATAGAACCATAAAAAATACATTGTGGTATTAGTAGAACGCTAAGTCACATATTAACTCATGTTGGTGAATAGTCTTTACATAGTGAAACGAAGACGTGGTGATAATTTACAATTTTACTAATTTCTAACTTATTAAGGATTTGACTAACTAAGCATTTTTTTATGTATTGTTAATTATAAGTGCCTTTTGTTAACTATTTATTAAACTAAGTATTTTACTGATACAGTTGTATTTGAATTATCTGTGGGAATGATATAAAAATATTAAATGCGCTAGCTCAAACCATATACTATTAACATTAGGCAACAAATACGAATCAGTCAGTTAAACGGACATATAAATATTTCTGCCACACGTAATGTAAATGTATTGCTTTCTTGTATAGAGTTCTATAAAAATAGTTTACTTAGCGATATATTTGTGGAACCCTAAAAATCCAGTTGGCCATGGTTCAAGTGCTTAAAATGTCTTTAATATTGTATTTATTTTGTTCTCTATTTTTACCCATTTACTCGATAAACTCAACATTGAATACCACGCACAAATATGAAGAAAACAAAGTGGTGGATGAAAGGGATCCCCAAAGACCTTCCATTGCATATCCTACGTCACTGCCATTTTTATTTATCTTCATGACGTTGTTAGTTGGCGTCATAATAAGAGCAGTAATGCTTTGTACCACTATGTGTATACCGTACAGAGTCGTTATGTTCATTTTTGGTGGGATTTTGGGCTTCTTCGCCCACCGCTATCCCGCTTTTAAGCCCTTCGTTTCTATTTGTTACATGGATGTGGATATTCTACTGACAATCTTTCTGCCGATAATTCTCTTCTTTACATCGTATAGCGTCGATTCTCATTCCTTCTGGCGGACTTTCCCCCAAATTTTATTAGTTGGTGTCGCTGGTGTGCTCCTAACTGCGTTAATAGCGGCCTTTATGGCGTACTATCTGATAGAATCCTCGTGGAACTTCGCAACCGCTGCACTATTTGGTATCGTCTGTTCTCCCATATATCCCGTGGAAATCGTGACGCAGCTAAAAGAATTGACCAAGGGAAAGAACATCAGCGTTCTTCTCCTGGGTGAAGGTCTGATCGGTGATGCGACTGTGATGATAGAATTCACCGCTGTGTTTGGGTATTTGGCGCTGGCGTTGACGGACGCTTCGCAAATGTCAATTATGCTTATACGATTCGCTGGTGGGGGTGCCTTACTGGGTTTAGTCATGGGGAAGATTACTGCTGGACTATTGTCTATAACGTATTACGACTTACTGTGTTCCGTCACAGTGACGTTAGCGGGTGCGTACCTAACGTACTACGTGGGCGAGAAATTCTTCTACGTATCCGGTTTGTTGGGGACGATTATAGCTGGCGTGATGGTCAGTAAGCGGAAGTCAACGGTTTCTGTTGAGGTGGAGCAAGTTGTCTCGCATTTTTGGAGGATATTATCGCATATAGCGAATACCCTGGTCTTCACTATAGTGGGGGTGGTGATATTTGAGAAGGTATCCTATATCATAACCGTACGGCAAGTGGCCTTGGTGTTTGTCACTTATACGACAGTGTATGCATCAAGGTTGTTGGTGTACGCAGCTATGACCCCTGTGTTAAGGCGTATAGGGTATGGAATGTCGTGGCAGCACGCGTTGGCTTGTGTTTGGGGTGGTCTGCGAGGACCGCTGTCGTTATGCTTGGCTCTGATTGTGATGGAGACGCCCATGGTGGCTGATGCTGGCGAAGTGAGTATTTTAAGTTCTACTTACGTTATATGACAAAAATAACTGTTAATAGACAGGCCCAAGTTTGGACGCAATCTCATCTAGCTAAAGAATTCTTGACAAATTCTTGGAGCTACACTATTACATTTATTATATAGTTTTAAGAAAACTTCTTATGTCTATTTAATTTAATGTAATGTTTATCCATTAAATGATTTTTATTTTTTGTTCACTGGACAGAACTGGATTTTTATTATTTATACAATGATTTCAGATATTCATAATCCAAACGGCTGGCCTCGTCCTTCTTTCGCTGCTGATAAATGCTACCACCATCACCAAAGTGCTCAAGATCCTCGGCCTCGCAGAAATCTCTCTCGCGAAGAAGGCAAACATGACGAACTGCGTCAAGCGGGTCATGATGACTAGGGATAGATGTATCTCCATGCTGAAGATGGACAAGTTCCTGGCTGATGCCAATTGGGATCTTGTACAAGCTAGTTAGTATTAAAAGACTAAGTATTAACTCGACACACGTCATGCAGTTCTGAATGAGCTCTTAAGCTATATATTGGAATTTTAAATGAAATGAATACTTCGAGATTTGTAAATTACATAAGTAATAATCTATTGAAGGGCCATCCACTCGCGATGACGAAACATGTTCTAAGTAGCATCCCTTGAGTTATGTTTGCAAAGAAAAACCAAAATAGGCTTCTAGGCAATGAGAAAAATAGAGTTTTGATTGATTCATTACTTAATAGGGGTACAGAAATAGTAACTTAACTTAATATAAATTAATTAAATTGAAAATTTGTAATTAAAATGTATTTGAAAACTTTATTTTTTTTACAAGTTATTGCACATGAAGGCACTATATAATTTAAACGACGACTGACGATGCCGGTTCAAGTCCTGCCCGAGTCGAAAATTTTTTCAATTTTTAAATTAAAAACGTATTTATAAACATTTGTCACATGATACAAAATACTCCTTTTAAGTGGGGTTAATGATGACGTCACACGCTTGTAATTCCCTTATTTTTGTACCTTATTGGCTACTGGCTACTAAAAATCTTACGCGCTAATTTAGGGCGGCCCTATCGCTAAGCCGCGATCTCTTCCAGGCTTGAAGTACTAGAGAAAAAAATCTCATTACGTAGGAAATTTGGTTACATAACCTCAAATAAAATCGATTTTTCGAAAGCAGTCAAATGGCCTAATCAACTGTCTTGGCTGGCGTTAATCCTAGATATTCTTTTAGATACCACAATAAAGCATCCATACCAACTGCAGATGTCTGGTCGAGACGAAGATAGTGATGACGATGCGTACATGGGGTACCATTACACCACTTGTCCTGACTGCGAAAGGGAGATACCGAACGAACCGACCAAGAAGGAGATAGCTGAAATGATGAGGTAAGGTTATTAATACAAAAACATCGATTAAAAAAAATACATACATTTGAATAAAACACTAAACGGTTTAAAACGCGATATATATTAAACTTTTAAATAAAACAACTTAACAAAAAATTACAGAGAGGCAAATCAAAGAGTACTTAAAGCTATGAAGATTTCCTACTGGAGACAGTATGAGCATGGCAAAATAAGCAAAGACGGGGTGAGGACGCTAGTGCAGGCAGTCGAGGTGGCCGCTGATTCTGATGATGGAAAAATTAATCTGGAACAGCTGGGGACACTTTGGAAACCTAAGGTCAGTTATATGTGAACAACACGATATATATGAGCTCATTGGAGAAGCAATCGTGACTAATCTAGGGGTCGTGGGTGGAAGCCTGCCTGGTCTTATCACGTCAGATCGTACTTAAAAATAAATGTAATGCAGTTCGCGTTTTAGACCGTCAAAAAGAGTTCTATTTACCAATTGCATAGACAAAAATTACCTTAACTTTTGAAGTGATAATTCCTTTAGTGGCGTTGTGCTCTGTTTTTGTGATAGGTTAAAAACTCAACGTAGTTCCACGTTGAATTCGCACAATTCTTGATCGAAAATTCGTTAGACCGAGGGGGGACAGTATAAATTGTCATTTTTGTACGATAGTGGAATATTGCATTTTAACTCCATGATTATGATCACAATAAAATTAATTCGTGGAAATTATCATTTCTAAATATCAAAAATGCACAACGTTTGAAAACTTTAATAATTTCACATGATGGCATTATATCAATTAAAAAAATATATATAATCGATTTTAGAGAGGTGCACGTATCAATAGGTTGATAATCGATGATGACGTATAGCATACGGTAGGTCAACTGGTTACACCAACAGCACGGAACTCTGGGGATGCCGGTCCAAGTCGCGCCCGTGTTGTAATTTTTTACGTTATTAAAGTTTTCGGTTCAACCCCCCACCAGAGTGTAACCAGATTTTCTATAGGCACACGCAATCTGGCTTCGGCGCAAACTGGTGGATATGCTGATGCCAGACGCAGCGAACGCAAACGTACCGCGTCATCCGTGGCGCCAGTACTGCTACAGGATGGTTTCCAGTGTTTGGTTCGACGGATTCATATACGTCATGATTCTTTGTAACACACCGGTTATACTTTGTGAAGTGGCTTTGCGAGGGCCCGTCTCTAGGGCCGCCACTATCGCTATCAAGTCGTTGAATTTGTAAGTCGCTAAATATATTTTTTAATGATAGAGGGGGACAGACAAAGCATGAGGTACATTTGATGGGAGGTGACATACCCCAGCCATATAACATCTCAATAAGAAGCGCTGTCGTCCTATTTTGGCTTTGGACATTTGGATCAGATCAGACAGACAGATACTTGCAATATATGGCTAGTAATGAACGATGAATGTCCTACATGTTCCGCATAAATGTATTTCCGAAAAAAATCAATTTGTCTGGAGGTCTTGATGTTAAATGGGGGGGGGGGGAGGCTGGAGAAAAATTGAAATTCCCTCCGGATCATGAACAACCGTCCACAGAGGAAAACGATTCAGTCTCAGTCTGTACATTTCCAAATGGCTAAAGGTCAGCAGCACATTTTTCCCATTCTTTGCCCACTCTTCTCAAATAAAAAGTAGCATTATTCAACATTAAACTGCCAACAAAATAGAGAAACATATCTCTTTATTTTTATTGTTTTTTGATTATTTTATATTGTAAGTGAATATTTTTTATTTTAGATTTTTCTACATAATATACGTCTTGGAGATGCTCATAAAGTTTTACGCTTTAACGATTCGCGGGTATTTCAAGTCGCACTGGAACAAGTTGGACTTCTTCATCATTGTCATGGCGACGGGAGGTTAGTGTAAGGTGTCGCTCAAGTCAAGATGACGTAAGCAAATACTGTCTGTAGTTAACGCGAGTAGTACACATTTGAAAAATGCACTTTAACGGTTGGAAACGCAAAATATATTAGTTGATCTTATTTCAACGGGTCTCCTCGTGACGACGTCTGCTGCTAAAATTAATTTTCAAATAAGTTTACGTAATATATTTTACGTTTTAAACCGTTAAAGTGTTTTATTTCAATTACGAATGCAGTTTTTGGGGGGGAGGGGGATCTGATGATGGTGATTATTATGACGTCAACAGGGATATAAACAATTCAGAAAATTATCAAGTTGTATTATTTAATTTTCTTTGTGTTTCGTTCTTTTCGATAGTTTGTACAACCATTGTTTCTTCCATTCTAAACTTTCAGTAAGTTTCTTACTGTACTAAGAGAGGGAAGTCAATAGTCTTAATACAATATCCCTGTTTTCATTTCAGACTTGATCCTGGACATCATAGATTCAGTCACCCCGTGGAACAAATGGAGCAACTTGAATTCCAGCGTATTGACGGCGACCAAACTCTTGCGCATGTTGAGATTCTTGCGACTGTGTAAATTGGCAAGGTTTTCTATTTTATTCAATTCATAGATATAACTTTTATATAATATACTTATAAAATACATGCGACAAGGTATTTTGTTTCGGTTTTTGCGGCATAACTGCAATTAATTAATTTTCAGAAGACATTTGGTTATAGTATAACACGGGTTACTAAAGATCAATTTTACCGGAAGATGTCGCACCTTCTGACATATTACTGTGCAAGTTTAAACTAGAAATAATATTACACCATGTAAGCTTCTTACATCTATAAAATAGTATTTTCCATACTTTAAGCTAGAGTCGCCCAAACATTTTTTGTGTCGTACACCCCTCATAGACCCCCCACTTACCTGATATTGATTTCCTGTAAATTTCTAACTGTAGTTAATTAAGTTTAAGTAAAAACACATGTTAATTTATACATTTATTTATTGAATTTAAATTAAAACTACTCAAAATAAAATTTTACTCGTTTTAAATAAAACACTTTAACGGTTTAAAACGCGATATATTAGTTATTTACTGGTTTTTACAAGTTCAAAATGTATTACGACCACGAAACGAATACCAAGATCTTACAACTTACACAATTTTATAAACATTTATAATATTTTTTTTACTTGATAGGTACTTTTATAAATAATGCAAATGTTTTGATATTGTAAGATAGTATGATAAGTAAGTAAATAAGTGCTATCAGTGTATGTGTGGAGATCCACTATCGTGGACCCCCATTTTCATGTTTTTTTCGCTGACGTAGACCCGTCGCAGGTTGTCATAGAGCACTTTGGGAATCACTGCTTTAAGCCATAAAAACGCTCGGTGCTTTATTACTAAAATATTATATTCTTCTTTTTCTTCTTATACAAATGTGAACTTTATTTTTATTTATTTGAATGCTAAATAAAGAGATTTATTATTATTATTTGCTTTCAGAGTGTCAGTGCCAAAAATAATGGCGTATATAGACAGAATGATCGACATACAGCTGGCGTTCGGATATGACGTCGGAAAGGTATATACATTTGAAAACATTAATATTTTTCACATGTTATTGCACATGAAGGCACTATATATAATTTAAAAATCGAAAATAAATTGAAAAAATTTTCGACTCGGGCAGGACTTGAACCGGCATCGTCAGCTTTCCGTGCTGTTGCTCTACCAATTGAGCTACCGAGTCCTACACCTTCATCGTCGAATTTTTTTCAACTTATTGATACATGCACCTCTCTCGCGCAATGTAATTTCTACCTTAACACTTGCGTATTAAGGCTCAATGTCTTATGCTTTGCAGATTAAGAAATCATTGAAGATGAAATTACAAAGTTATAACGTTTGAAAACATTAATATTTTTCACATGTTATTGCACATGAAGGCACTATATATAATTTAAAAAATCGAAAAAAAATTGAAAAAATTTTTTTTTTTTAAAATGTAATTTTAAGAAATTACATTGGCGAGAAGGGGTGCATGTATCAATAAGTTGAAAAAAATTCGACGATGAGGTGTAGGACTCGGTAGCTCAATTGGTAGAGCAACAGCACGGAAAGCTGACGATGCCGGTTCAAGTCCTGCCCGAGTCGAAAATTTTTTCAATTTATTTTCGATTTTTAAAATATATAGTGCCTTCATGTGCAATAACATGTGAAAAATATTAATGTTTTCAAACGTTATAACTTTGTAATTTCATCTTCAATGATTTCTTTAGCTGCAAAGCATAAGACATTGAGCCTTAATACGCAAGTGTTAAGGTAGAAATTACATTGCGCGAGAGGTGCATGTATCAATAAGTTGAAAAAATTCGACGATGAGTTAGGACTCGGTAGCTCAATTGGTAGAGCAAAGCACGGAAAGTGACGATGCCGGTTCAGTCCTGCCGAGTGAAAATTTTTTCAATTTATTTTCGATTTTTAAATTAGGAATTGTTTTCGAAATTGCTAAACAAAACGAGGGTTTTGTAAAGTAAGAGGGGGGGGGCTAATAATAATAGTGCTTTATGGCCTGGTGTCCGTCATATAAGCCCTCGATTAGGACCTAGTACTAAATGTATTAATAAAATTGACTCCTTTGTTATAAATGCTTTTTCACAATTGACTATGACTTCGCGACAAGAGGGTGGGGGAAGGGGGGAGGGGGAGGGAGCCACTAAAGAAGGGCTAATATAGAATTAACGTTACTCTGTACCACTTTTTTCTCTTTGGGGTAAATTATTACTTGGGGTCGTTCTTTTATGTAGTAAATATATCTTTTAGGGTTTTGTGACAGGTGAAACGGAGGTTTGCAATCTGCTGCCTCAACTTGTTGACAATCTTCAGATACAAGAAACGCTCTACAATAAGTTGGAGGCCGACAGGTTTGTTTCAAACTTTTAAAACTAGCTTAATATACCTTTGTCGGGCTCATTGGTCTAATCGTAGCAACGTATGGCTTTTACGAAGTACCTTTGCTTTTTGTTTATTATTCCTTACCCACTTAACTTTTTATATATTATTATTTTCTTTTGTACTTCAGGTTGCCTGGAAGAGATCGCTGCTTAGCGATAAGGCCGCCTTTTATTTATAAGTTAGTACGTAAGCTTTTATCTTTTGTAGTTTATGTGGTAATTATAAGTAATAAAGCTGAAATAAATAAATATGCCTAATACTCAACGCATCTTGGGTCCAACCACCGGATCGAAACTGTTTCTCATCTAAATACTGTCTATAGTTTACGCGAGTAGTGCACATTTAAATAAAACACTTTAACGGTTTAAAACGCGATAAAGGAAGTTAAAAATCATTTTCAAATAAGTTTAACTAATATATCGCGTTTTAAACCGTTAAAATGTTTTATTGAAATGTTTCTCATGTATTTATATTTTTTCTGAAACATGTTGGAATTAAATGGTTGGTAGGAGTATAAAAATTCAGTCCAGGTCACGAACCACCGTCTAGTTATAATAATGCTCTTCTTCTTCTTGAGATGTTAAATTTCACCTTCCATTAAGTAAACCCGTCAATTGTCGACGTAGACAAACGTCTATTGTTTCCTACTACTATGTTTTCTATCATAAAAACCGCATCAGTACCCTATGGTTCACAGGTCATCAAGCGTGAGACGTCCTAGGTTCTAATCCCAGGAATACGTACTAGTTTCCTAAATTAAAACATTATTATTTTCATATTATATTGTTACATAGAATTTTTCATACATTGCGAGACAGCAGCACGGATCATAGGTTGAAAGCGTTGACTATGATGTAGGACACGGTAGCTCAGTCGGTTAGAGCATCAGCAACGAACGCTGTAGATGCCGGTTCAAGTCCTGCGCGGCGTAAATGTTTTTTCTATCTAAAATCAATTTTTAATTTGTAAATAATCCTCCACAGATTAATAGTGACTAGACAATTGGGCCTTTTGCAAAGAGACAGGCCGTGGACAGCGATAACTGTTAAGACGAGACAGGCCACCACGTCCACGCTCAACATAATGCTATCTGACGCTATGCAGTTAAAGGAAGAAGGTTATGGCACTTTCATCGTTAAATACTGTCTATATATACGCGAGTAGTACACATTTAAATAAAACACTTTAACGGTTTAAAAAGCGATATATTAGTTAAACTTATTTGAAAATTTTGTAAATAAGTTTAACTAATATATCGCGTTTTAAACCTTTAAAGTGTTTTATTTAAACTTACATCGTTATTAATTCTACGACAGTCGTACTTAGTAGCTTGAGGGACTCGGGTCTTTATTTTTGTCGTTACGTCATTAACTTCATGTATAAAATACAATACTATACTAACAATAATATTATAATAGTTTGTCTAACAGACAAACAGCAAGGATTCACTAAAAACCCGTGCTGCAAACTTGCTGCTGTCAAGACGGGTTTTAAGACAGCGGTCCCGGGAAAAAAAAATCGAGCCTTGTGACATTCGATTTTATTTCTAGATATTTTTCTTTCATCGTAACTGTTATTTTCACTATTTTTAATATCACTTCATTTGGAAATCTCACTGTACCAGTCATTTCTGAATAGTGGCACAGAAATTACTGGTACAGTTTGAAGAACGAAGAAGTACAGTACCAGTTGGCATAACGTGAAGTGTATTTCGTTTCGGTTGTCTGTGAGTATTGAGACAAAATAAGCCGACAGCGCGTCTTGTAACGATGGTAGCTGGGGCATTACAACTCAGACTTATTGTCTTGTTTTCAGGTTTCCTTGACGAGATGGAGTATCGGTTACTAGTGACTGCTATACAGGAGAGGGTACAATCTATTCGCCACAAAGGCAGTTTGGTGGCTCCATCTTCTCCTGAGGTAATTATAACCGTCTGGGAAGATACTACAGACAGTTGAAATAAAACACTTTAACGGTTCAAAACGAAATATATTAGTCGTTCGTCAAATACTACGACGAGACAGATGGGGCTAGAGCTAGATTTTACTTTGACATTAGAGACATCCGCCTTTCTTCTCCCCGTGACCACGGCTGCTGCAATCCGAAACGTCGGACCGAAAATAATATTCAAATTAGTTTAACTGATATATTTCGCGTTTTAAATCGTTGAAGTGTTTTATTTAAATAGGCACAACAATTTAATGCGTATGCACTAACTGCTACGTAGGGTTTTAAACCATAGAAGAGTTTATTCAAATGTGTACAACAATACTGTCTGTAGTCTACTCGCGACTACAGACAGTATTGCTGTACCTACTTAGTGGTAGTAAACCTTACGTGCGCAAGACCTGATGTTTGCATTTGCTTTAGATTTTAATTAATTAAATGTATTAAATCAATAGCGTTGAATCTTTGAATACAAGTATTGTATTGTTTTTAGACTCAATTGCGATCTATATCATGGCTTCAAGGGAACGAGAGAGTAGCAGACTTCTTCATAGAGAACTCGGAGATTCACAACTATAATATTAACGATGTGTTAATATCGAGAGGTAATTATTTATTTATTTACACACACACAAATATATGCTGCCATTACAGATATAATCCAATTCGACAGTAATACACGATATAAGAAAAAATATGAAAACTAAGTCTTAATAATTATTGTCATTACTTCTAGTAGTAATTACGTTAAGAACAATATTTGCTATTTCACTCCAATACCCCGTGAAAATGTCAACCTTTTGGTGTACAATATTCATCACTCGTATTGTTTACGTGATGAGCGCAAGTTGGAATGCGCGAAAGGCACAACCAGCAACGGTGGATGATGCCGTTTTCCCACGTATCCGTCCAGCACACTGATGTAAAGCCAGCGCAAAACAACAATTATGAATTCAATATCTCTTTAAACAAGCACAGTTTTGAGCAAACAGTGTGGAAGGGATAGATAATATGCAGTATTACAAGTTACTTTGTGTCGTATGTCGATGTAAAATGTATAACACTTCATAAATTTAAAAAAATATCATCAATTCTTAATTCATATAGTGCCATCACATCACTAACATGTGAAAAATATCAAAGTTATCAAACATTCAAAAACTTTGATGAATGGTGCTGAGGAATTTTTAAAATATTGTCATTTTAAAGTAAAATTATTGCAAGTTGTAATGTTAGAAACTAGGATATAAGTGTGTGTAAAAAATACACATGCATATGAATTACAAATACACACACATGTATATTTTTATTTGGGTTTTTGTGTTCGTGGACTCAACGGATGTGTTAGATTTTTTTATAAAGTACCTAATATAAATTAAAGACACTGGTTTATATGAGATTTTAAGGATAACATGTAAATAAAAGAAGATATACTGTCAAAAACTATTCTATTTCGTTAAACAAGATGTTACATTTCAGAAGCATTCCCCATAATACCGCAACACATTTATTGTATACGTCTAGGACTCTAACGAAAGGTCCCCATTTATATATTGATTTAAAGATATTTATCTATATATTACACAGGTACGATCTATTGACATATATTGATGCCAAATCAATATAATAAAAAAGTACATAATATATCACCTATTTATTACAATATAATAATGTACATCATCCTACCATCAATTCACGTTCAAGGTATTAATACAGATATACGATTTTAAACATTACCTCTTCCAACCCGTTCCTCCAGCCTATACAACTCACAAACAACCGACCGGCCCCCCGGTTTAAAGGGAACCCCCTTTTATACAACTCACAAACAACCGACCAGGTGTTAGCCTGACGTCATCGAACAACACGAACATTACTTTTCACATTTTGTAAACTACCCGCAGTTATACATCACAAAAACAATGATTTATACACTTTAATTATATATATATACAAAAAATCATTTTAAACGCGTAACATCACTACATCACCCCATAAACATTTCTTAATTACGACAGCTGCAACTCGATAACCCAAACAGCGCTACCGTTTTAAGAGCTCATACTCACTTAGTTAATATATATTTTAGGCGATCAGCCAAAGGGTCTTTACATATTAGTATCTGGATTATGTGAGGCCAAATATACTCCACCCGAAGAAGACATGGATGAAGCCATTCCTAATTATGAATTTCTCACCGATCTCAAATTTTCCGAGCCCAGTCAGGAGTATATTGTCTCTGGGAACGCTATTGGTGTACTTGGAGTAAGTCACAGATTACCACACCACTGACAGTATACACATTTAAATGAAACAGTATGGTCTTCCTCGATAAAACTCTAACCGACATAAAATAATTATTTAATTCGCCCTATGAGTTCATGAGTTTAGATGTTAAAAAAAATAAACTTCAGTTTTATTTATTAGTTGTTTATATTGTAAGAATAACTTGCAAGATGGACGGGCTGCTGGGTTTGCAAAAACAAATGTTGATACCCAAAATAAATATTAAACGCGGACACACCTAGTCTTATAAAATAATGTATACAATTATATGAAATGGTCGCTTCTAGGTGTTAACAAGTCGCCCATACAACTACACAGTGCGCTGCGACTCGGCCGTCCAAGCGTATTACATTACTATGCCAGTTGTCAAAGAGGCGTTTAATCTTGCGCCACATCCTATTATGGGGTAACTCATTTCCACTTTAGCTTCCCAGTTAGTTAGCAGTATAACTCTGCCCCGCGGTGTTACTTACCGATTTAACAGGTCGGCATCTGTAGGTGAATGGCTAAACGTGTTGCCTTACGTTAAGCTCGAAAGATCCTGGGTTCCGATCCCAGGGAAATAATAGATTGCTTCGGTCGGGCAGGGCACAGATAGTCTGATCTTACATGCCTGTAAAAACGATCAGTTAAACGGATACAGAAGTGTGGTCGTCCTGTGCCTCTCACGGGGAAACTGGATTTCACTTATGTCCAGCTTCGGCCAGAAGAGTATTAGACTTGAGAAAAACTGATCAATAAAAACATAAAACATCAAAAATTTATTTAAAATTGTTCATTGAAGTCAATTGAAAATCTACTAAATCTAAATCTATCACCTTTCCGTGGTACTGGAAGGACTGGGACGGGCATACAAGTGTGTCTGGCGTGTGCTTCAAGTAGTAACGGGACTGTCCGGCCGGACATTTCGGCCAAATTCTCTTTCATCCTTTTAAAGTGTCAGTTTTTAATTTGAAGGTTAGAAGCAGCGATGTGGCGCGAAATCGGTATCAAGTTATCCCTGATGGTGTTACCCAGCGTCCCGGCTTATCACTCTTGGTCGAGCGAGAAGATTAGCATGAGGTTGGAGCATGCTTTTGTCCCGTGCTTGAAAGCTTTTAAGGTTATTTTTTTTTCAGATATTACAGGAGATATGATAGATTCTGCTAGAGCCAGAGTGGCCTAATAACAAAAAACATGATTTTCAATCAGACGGGGAAAAAATTAACTTTAGCGAAAATGAATTTGTCCTATTATTTGTTAATTATGTTAACAATTTTCGGTCAATGTGCTCTTGTAGATTAACATTTTTAGACTATAAAAATATAAATAAGCCAAGTCAAAAGATTGCAGTTAGGCCACTCTGTCTCTAGCAGCCTCATTCAAATAGCTGTATTTCCTCAGACCTAATTTAATATCAGTAGATCTAATGACTGATTACTCACAACGAAAAGCCCCAATTCTCCAACATCCAAGCATTAGGCATTTGTGTTATTAAAAATTAGTATTAAATGCAATTTTGTCCTAAAAACATCACTGTATGGCACACGTTTATACTCTACTTAAACAGAAATCGTGTCCGCGTGGGTAGGAAACGGGGTTTCGCTTTAAATATAATTATTTGTATGTGCGTAACTATAAAATAAATACATTTTAATATGTTCAGGTTTTCGTCGTGAGCGAGTTGATGGAAGATATAGTGTTGCTTGATGGTGTCTGCCAGGATATGGCCACCAGAGAAGTGTTTCAGCCTCCCAGCTATATACCTAGGTGGATACTGTTTATTCATTTCAACCTATTAATGTCCCACTGCTGGGAATAGGGTCTCACGCAGGCTTTATAGAGCTTTGTAGATAGACTCACGTTCTGTTTGGTTTATTGAATCAACAATTTATTTTTATTGAACACTGCTATAGTATGTCTAGTAATCGACGGGTGTTCGATAAATTCGAAATATTTTTAAAATAAATCTAATCATTGTAAAATAGTGATAGATGATAGACTGCGTCTGAAAGATTCGGGTAATGGGTGGTAAGAATTTTAAAATTTCAACCAACGTCCATAGTTAGTCCATAGGTAAGCCGTGAAACGTCTAACGTTACGATTTTAGTCCGTGGTGTCCCAAATGTCCAAAGCGAAAATATTGTATCTCATATATCATAGTGGTACTCCTTTTATTAAGTAAAATCATTGTCCTCTATCCAAAAATAATTAATCCTCTTGAAATTGTAGGACGGCACACCGCCTCATATTCCCAAAGTCGTCCCAGCTCGTGGTCTCTGGCCAATGTCCGGAGACCAAGCTGCTGATAGTGCCAGCCAAAGACACCGATGAGCTAGACATTATGGAAGATGAGCTGGATGACTTGCAGTGTGAATTGGTATCATTCCATACCATAAAAAAATCTAATATAAAAATGCTATTTTTATTTCATATTAAATTATATTACATAAATGTAAAACAAGTCCTCCCCTTTGGGGCAAGGGCCGTACACATTTAGATGTCGGATCCACTTATTGATTTTATTTATGCCCGCCCGAACGAAATAATTTCTTGTTTTTCTGGGATTCGAATTTTACGCAATACTATAATAAATTGTATGAAATAAAAATGTATTATTTGCAGGTTTCAAACGCGTCGTCACGTTGCCTCTACCATAAAGTTATAAGGAAGTTGTCAGCAGAGTCGCGCAACAAGAGTGTGATGCGCGGGCGCAAGCGAAAACGGGCTGGCGCCAAAAGAGTCAACTATAGGGATTCTGTTTGGGGGAAACAAAATTGTAAGGGTCTTTAAAATACATAGTAAAGGTATTTAAAGAATTGAAATTTGACACAGGCTTTGGATTCGAACCCGACTTCGAGAACAGCCTTATTTTCCGCACCCAACAAAGAGACTAGAAGATCCATGACACGCTGTCTCATAGCTCTGTGTTCTAAACGTTAGGATCATCAGGATTTTGTAATCTGATAGTTTTTTTCAGCCACATCTACCTTGCCTATGGGTTCCCCTAGTGAAAAGGAGTTTTCCAAGTATTTCAAACCCACTCTAGATGATGTGGTAAGATTTTAACTGTAATTGTCTAGATTTACATTTGTTTTTACAGCTGCTCTTCACTCTACGAGGCCCGGATTCAAAGCCCGGGTGTCTCAAATGTTAGAATGGTGTTTGTATTTATTTATTATTCTTTAAGCCGGGTTTCCACCATCAACTGGGTTTTTTCTTTTAATAAATTTTTCATAATAAATAAAAATAATAACCACTTTCGCTGATAGCACAGTTTCTCTGTCGACAATTAAGCTATAGTGGACAGACGGTTCACAAAACTTCCGTGCTGAATTTCAACATGCTAGGCAACTTGGTGTTCAACATGTCGCGCGCCAATTGTTGCCCAGTGGCAACGCGGCTTTATTGCAACACACACAAACACAAAGTATATATACATGTTTCCTTAAAAAATAATTTTAATGATACAAGTTATAACGATTAATTATTCTTATGGACTATTGGGGATTGGTTATGGAGTGCAATGGGCGGCCCTATCGCTATAGAGCGATCTCTTCTAGGCAAGCCTTGTGAAAAATTAAATAAGATATATCATGGTAGCGTACAGGTCATGCGAAGCTTAGCAATACACAAAAATAATTATATACACACAAATTGAAAAACTACTAATTTTGTGAATGGGATATTGACAGAAAATGCTTAAAAGATGATATGATATTTATTTATATTTTAGGAATGTTTTACCATCAGAACAGATTTTTAAAGTAGCTATCAACCACCAATGCTTCATTACTTATCTGCTTTCACCAGAAAGTAAGTAAGTTAGGTTGAAACGATTTTTTTTTATAACTATTCATAAAATTTTAGTATACTATTGTAAAAACATAGTGATTTGGATATTATATTCATGATTATTACCAAATAATCATTAACAATTGTTTTTTAGCCTGAAAAGCTGCAGTCCACAAATAATGGTAAGTCTAAATGTCTAATTTATATGAGGGTAGATTTCTTTTCTATACCAAAACTAAGCTACTAGCCTTTTTTTATGAATTAACGTCTTCCTGAAATTATATGGCAGCATTTCTTTACTAAAATCTCCTTTTGTTTAGATGAGACAAACCAATCTTATTCAAATTCAAGACATCAGTCGACAAGATTGGATTCAGAACAAGAGGTGATATAATATTATTAAATATTAAACCTTATTTCGTACCTATAAAGTCTAATATAGTTTGACACGCAATGTACAAAAACTACTAGTGAGATTAGTCATGTAATATCTTTGTAATATATTGCGCAGTCATCAACTAAAAGTGACTTTTTACTATCGTTTCTTGCCTTAAAGGTTTTTACATATTTTACTCATATGCATAACGTTGACAATTATCGTATTATTTTTCACTTTATAAACCCCTGTAGATGATGGTGGGAACACTTAGTCTATTTAATTTTGTTTTTTAGATTTTTAATTTATTGTTTCCCGGGACTCGAAAACCAGGACCTCACACGCTTAGCGTAAACTTCAATGTGAAGTTGAATTCATTTTTTTTTTTTTTCAGATATACAACACAATGCTCAACAAAACAAAGAGGAAATCCTCAGACCTTAAATAATATTATAGGCCTTCACTTGAATATGTTTTATATTATTTATAAATAAAACATATTGTACCGTTTAATGTTTTTATTTAAAATATAAATGTGTTTATCGCTGAAAAAAAGTAAGCATGATGACTGAAAAGAGAAAAAACTGAAAAAAAAAAACAACTTTGACAAAGATATAAAAAATAAAAAAGTAACAAAATAACGGAAAGTAACTTATACATGAAGATTAGTTATTCCTTTTAATATATTTAATGCTTGAAGGCTGTACAGCTTGATTTTATAACCATTCTGGAATTCATTAACAAATCAAATTATGGATGAATTCCGACAGTTTACATTTAACATATTTAGTTAATAAAAAACTGGAACCAAGAACATTATTCAATGAACAATGAAAAAACTTCCCATGTTCATTTCTCTGAATTAAATTTAATTACAAAACAGATATATTGCTTTTTCTCAAATCACCACATGACCAAATTTTAGGCAAAAATATAAGTACAATCCAATAGATAAAATTTAGAAGTCACATAAAAAAATCTAGATAAACTTATCTGTTACTTTATCGCATTGATATGCGGCCATCCACCTCGAAAAGTTTTGGTAGATGACCAAACAATGGGAAATCCCATAAATGCTCTAGGAATGACAGTAGATATCTAAAAGAAACTTAACTTAAAGAAATTGCACACGAAAATACCAATGATATCAGTTCAAACTTAAAACTAGTTCGATCCTATCTTTCTTGATGACATCATGTGTAAAGGAAATTTAGGATAGTCATAAATTTCCTAAACTTAAGTCTTAGGACCTTGAAAGCCTTAAATTTTCCAAAGAATTAACAGGATCGTTAAATGATTAGTTTGTTATAGAAAGAATGATATTACTTAAACTGGTTCAGAAATTTAACAGCATTCAGCGAGGATCTTATCTTGCCCCTTTCCTGATTGATCCAAAATTAAGATAGGCATTTGCACAATACCAATCCTATGGTGCTCTGAACATCCTATTATATTGCAATAAAGGCCGTTTTAATCCTTGCTAGAAACAATTTGGCCTTAAAGACCAATCTCAAATCAACAATAACCAAATTTAATAAACATTTTCATACTTAATATATCAATCTAACCAGTGTCAGGTTTAATTTCTGAACCTGACAATTGCAAAGATATTTTTGAATGATCACATGGAGTTTTAAATAACGAAAGTTCAACCATATTCCGTAGTGACAGTTGTCACATTCAAAAATATACTTGTTATCGAAAATTGTTATTTACACAGCTGTTGATAGTCTATTATGCTTATCCAGGTTGTAATTTATATTGAGACTATAATAAGTCACTGAACTTACCAAATACATAAAAACCAATATGCAATATTACACAAACATTTTTTTTTGTAACCCATGTTTTTTTTGGTTTTCTTACCAATTAAAATCTACTGCAGTTATTTCATGTGTTAGTTTTACAAAGATGTCATAAATTCTATCCAACATACAATATGACACTGTTTATTGTACCTTAACTAGCACATAGGAACAATTGTGTAAAGTACATTTATTTACTACTATGATAATTATGTAGCAGTGACACTCTCCATGTAAATATGATATTCAGATTGATGATAAGTCATAATTGAAGTGCAGTTGTGTAAATAACTTGAAATAATTGACATTCTACTTCCTGGGTTGTTGAATGTTTGGGCTTGGTTTGACATTAATGTGTGCCGGGGGCTTGGGACTATGAGCTACTTGTGCGGCTTGCGGTGTAAAGTCCGCATTGCCACGGTTCGGGGCTCCAGATATGGATACTGGGTTGGACGGAACTGGTGAGGGGCCTGACAGGCCGGTTAGGTCTTCTGTGGTGGATTCCTTAGCATCTTTGACATGAGGCACTTTGTGCTGAGTGATTCTCATTCCACCTGCTTTGACTGTAGATAAAATAAAGTGATTTTTGGTCATCTCATTTATAGAATTTCTCAAGAGTTGGAATATTTAAAAGTTTTGTTAACATGAGTTTTTAACGATGATTCTTTTTGTTTTTATTTTGTAATCATTAATAACACAAGATGTAAATAGTACTTATATTCTTAACATATAACAAAACAATTCAATGTGAGAATTTGTATAGGTAGTTAAAAATTTATTTTTCAGTCTAGTAGGTAAATTTGCAACTAAGGAAAAAGATTGAATTGCTATATTAGTTTCGGATTACAATGTTCTTATTGGAAAAATATCGTAACACATGATATTTCGTCATGGCACCAAACTGACCACTCTATGACCTTGAAAACGTTCTTTGTTTAATAACAACGAAGCTTCATAATTTATTGATAACTCACAAGGTTACGTCGAAGTACAATATTAATTTGATTATGATAAACAGGTAGGTAGTAAATAAAGAAATGTTACACAAGATTTAGGAATGTTATTATAGAGATTGAATCGGCTAAAATTGTAAATATCATAGCTCTTATTATAATATGTAAAATAAACAAAGAGAATAAATCTTACCTGCGGGAGGATGTCCCGCTTTAAGTTGGGCTGCATCTTCGGTAGACGACATATTTCTACAGAGGTTTGTAAACTTGTGGATGCACCAAAAAATTAAAATCCGATAAGATTATGGCTAAAATAAGTGTTTGAAATCGTAATTAATGACAACGTGTAAGGAGTCGAGTTGACACCTGTGAGCTGACACGATTTCAATGTACCATAGACAAACTGACTAAGTTGTCAATGTTTATCGACTGTCAAATCTCACAGTATTGTTTATGGCCATAATAATAAAGAAGTTTACTTTTAGTCTATTTTCTTATTGTGATCATAAATAAAGTTATTACAGTATAACAAGTCGAAGTAATTTTTAAATAAAAGACAATAATTTATGTCCATGCTTTTAATTTTAATTTTCTGGGAGGTACAATAACATCAGAGTCAAAGCGAGATGGTTTAGCAATATCTTGGTTTATTTCCATAACCATACGTAACATAAAATTTACTACGTGACTGCATGTTCCATCTCTTAATTTTGGGAAGGTTTTATTCGGAAGCATTTTTCCGTTGATATTGGCGTTATGGTGTGCCAAGGAAGCGAGTAGGCGTTTTAAAATGTCGACCTTTTTGTGAGCTACGAGAGGGCGTAATCTTACAACGAAGCGTAATAGATATTCTACTAGCATTATATCCTCCTGTAAAGTAGAAAAGGATCAATAAATTCTAAATATATTTATAATCATTGCTTATGATTTAGACAAGTATTTAGTCACCATTTGCAAAGCCATGATACAAGTTTGTACATTTGTCGATCGACATACAATGTTAGATAAATCTTCTTTATCCAGCACTGGATGCTTTAGACCTTCCAGCCATTCAAACAATAGTGCCGTCAAAACTATTGGATCCTCCTGAAATTACATAAACTGAAATATTTCTTGCCGAATCTCTTTCGGCTTATAGTTAGAATTTATCAATCAATTTACGACGAGCTTGTGATCGCATTTAATGATAATGTAATATTAAATATTAAAAAATAGTTTGCTTAGTTAATTATAGAGAGAAACGGCGACTGTCTTATAGAATTTGTGTTATAAAAGTTTTAAATAGTTTTGTATATATAGTATTATTAAAGTCAAGTTGATACCTCTTCATCAATCATGCCCATTCCGTCTCTTCGCTGGTTAATTTCATTTTGCAATTGTTTGATATACTTCACTTTGTCTTCTGCAAGACTTTGACGGTCACTTATGAAAGCCTTAAAAAGAAATTATAACATTTCTTTTTTTTCAGTGGGATTCTTTATTAAGGGTCCCACTGAAAAAAAAAAGAAATTTAGAATATGATATTTGAATTTCACTTCTTTTTAAGTTTATTAAAATTATCCCGTTTTAATATAAATTCAATTTCCACTAATATTGGTGGCTATAAAGATTATAAAGCCCCTTACATCATAAACCTGGACAGCAGCGATGCCCGAGCTGCCCGTATACCTGCTGACAGATTCTAAATTCCTTTCAACATCTTCTTCAACTGGATCTCTCCATTCTACCATCGGAAGAGTTGGCACCTCAGCTGGAAAATATTTGGTTATCTTAAAATTGCTATCATCTACAAATGCGCGTGAAAAATAATACAGACAGATTTATAGACAAATTAAATATTAAATGGGTGGTCGAAATATCGAAATTCCATCCGGGCCACGAACCACCGTCCACAGATGCCTTAAAGTTTAATCTCGTTTCGGTTTCAATCTGTGGATTTCCGAATATCCAAAGCCAAATGAGGTCGACAGCACATTTTATTTAGATGTTCTATGGATGGGGTATTACCCCATGCTTGTCTGTTCTTCTCTATTATAAAAAACGAGCTTTCTCTAACAACCTCACCCTGTAATCTTTCTTCGGGCGTCGTCAAGTCGGGTGGTTTTCCCTGTTTTAGCTTATACGATATAAAACATTTGTAGAAGGCTTTATTTGCGACCCGATAATCCAGGCCGGCACTGTCTTGGCAACCGCATAACTTTAACAGGCGCTCACAGACACAATACACTATCTGAAAGATAGTAAGTATATTATTAAATACATGTTCAAGAAACGAATTTCACCTGAACACTTTTACGTTTTAATACGCGAAGTACATCGCGTTGTATTTTAAAACAACTTAATGTTTTATTTACGTAAACTAAAGACAATGTTCAATAAAAAGAAAAACCAAATAGACTACAGTTTAAAATAATTAAAATACTTTTAACTTTTGAACTTGTACGTTAATACTCTACTTGTACAAAATTTAAAATATCTTAACTAATATAGTCGAGTTTAAACCCGTATAAAGTGTTTTATTTTATAAATCAAATAAGTAGTTTATGATTGATTTATAGGAATTTCTGGTGTCTCTAAGGAGTTTTTTCATTCAATGTATTATATTATACTTTAAGATATGGAAGAGACATTTCTTGCTTTTTTTCACACAATATTTTTAATGTCTAAATCAATGGTTCCAACACTGACACAGTTGTGAATAGCAATAATAAATAAATGTAAATCAATTAAATACCGAGTTAATAACCTTTAGAGACTCACCTTTGGTAATTCTCTGAATACCCTCTCGTCCATGCCGTGTAATGTCGCTCTTTGTCGATGCAAATACTGCTTTAGGGTAAATTCACAGGTTTTGGGATCCTTCGTTAGTTTTACAGGTTCTCTATAAGAAAAAAAAGATATAGCAATGGTAAGTTAGTTGGTTAGTCTCGTCAAAACTCCAGAACGGCTAAACGTCATATCTTCTTTTCTCAGAAAAGTAAGACAAATTGCTGGGGAAACCCTCAAAACAGCCCTTTTTAATATTTTTAATTTATTACCGCTGCATAAAGTTTAAATTCGCCTTTAATATTATTAAATAACTATTTACTAATAATTGACAACCAACCGGTTGTCAAATATTATGACTGCGTTCAGAAATTTAATATTTTTCTTAATTAACAAATAAAGACACACTTCGTGCTTTATTTAAAAAATGTTTCTTTTTTAAATACGGATTTGATTCGTTTATTTTAGAGTACAAAGTTTGCCGTGTCAGCTAGTCAGTTTTTTTTTTTGACTTATTGGAATACGTCTGGAAATCTGGATAATAAATAGGCGGTAGGAATATCGAAATTCCACCCGGGTGACGAACCGCCGCCCACAGACGAAAATGCTGTCAAGTTTAATCGTGTTTCGATTGCAGTCTGTGGATTTCCAATCTAAAGCCAAAATACATCAACAGTACATCTTGTTTAGATGTTATATGCTTGCCTGTCTCCTCTATTATGAAAAAAAGTGTAGGTACATACTTAGAGCTGAACACGAAGGTTTGAGGCAGGATGTAATGTTCAAACTGCTGAACGCACAGGATTTGTCCACTTGTCTGTATGGATTTTGGCCGTTTCTTTCTTACTAATCGTATCGCGTCGTTCGCTCGGATCCGCAGCGAATACACCAGGTAACATGCAATGAGGACGCCGGTTCGACCTAGGCCTAAAAAACATTGTTTTTTTTCAATTCATTATTTAATATTGACTTATATTTCGCTTATCTTAGCGTCATTAAATACTGTTTGTAGTTTAAATTAAAATAAAAACGCGAAGTATATTAGTTAAACTTATTTTAACAACGGCCCGACATTACGCATATAGAGGAGATCTTATGAAAAGTCTTAGGTTTCGAAATAATTAACGGATTCGACCTCTGAACCTCTAGATCTGCAGTCGAGTGAACTTACCACTCGACTAACTCGGCAGTAACTAAGTGCAAAATGTAAATATAACGATTACGCCTTCTACAAGAAATTGGACAATAGTTGTAAACAATTTAATTAAAAGTGTCGTAATATTGAGACAATGGCGGAATTTTGCAACATGTTTTTAAAGTTGGCTTCGCTGTCAATCATTTAATTTTTTATGGGGACAGTTTCTGTTGGAAATAAGGTCACATTGGTTGGGTGAAGTGTGTTCTATCTCTTTTACACGTGACTCGTAGATCACATATGTTTGAGTAACTTTAGAACTTGCCAAATGTTGGTTGTCATATTTGCCTCTAGGAAATACCAGACTTCATTGACTCTCTTGACTGCAGAGCCGCTCTGTGTATATTCTGATATACACAGAGCGGATTCAGATTTGGTGCCAGAATCTTTAATTTTGATAAGATACAAGCAAAAAGTAGGTATTTTATTAAAGTACGTACACGCACTCTACTTAAAGAACTATATAGAAATAATCCGTTGGCTGTTTTTGTAAAAACCAAAATGTTTAAAAGGGAAGTTTTTATACAGTTGTCGTGAATTTGGCAATTTGTCAAGGTATAGGCTGTTGCAAAGTATCCGAAACGACGGGCCATAGTTAAAATAATTTGTACATCAATTTTACTATACTATATATATATATATGACGAATGCGTCATATATAAATAGTATATATTATTAAACAGTTAAGTATTTTAATTAGATATACACTTCTGGCGCAATGTACAGACAGTATTTGATTATGAAATGTTTAATTATTATTATTACTTTATAATTTTTATTATGGTTTCCAATATTCGCGTTCAAAGCACGATTAACATTTTCATTCTTAATTAATAGGCAAGAAAATATTGAAGGTTTTTGTTTGATGTCAATTACAGTTAAGAATAATCTTAAGGGGCTTAGCCTTTTGCGTAACCCTACACAATAGATAGAGCAATAGAACAACAATTAACATTGTTTATAATTTATCTTGATTCATAACTCTAGGTGTCAATAAGAAATTGTGCTACTAATATTATAATTGTCATAGTTTAGATGGAAATGTATCTGTTATCTATACTAATATTATAAAGTTGAAAAGTTGGTTTGTTTGAACGCGCTTATCTTAGGAGAGCTTTAGAAGGTTTGGTAAAAAAAAAACCCCCCCCAACAAAAACGAGCAAAGTATAGCGAATGGAATAAAAATTTGTTTATTTTCCGTCGCGTGCGCTGCGAAAACAATTCAATGAAAGATGGTTTCTGTTTAAAAGAACAAAAGCCCCCAAAAAACAAAAAAAAAACGAAAAAAAGGGGGTTTGCAAAAACAAATTTTTCGTCGAAGGTAACTATTATACGCGAGAGTCGCTGCCACGGCTAGTTTGTTCCTATAGAACATTTTTTTTTTATTTCAAATAGAACCTATCTTACTAGAACGCACATGAAACTATTTGTAAGGTTTTGGTTAATTAATAAGCTCTTACGACTACTAGCTACGTATATAACGGTAAAACCTTTAAGTGAAATATAATTGAAATTAATATATATATAATAATATCTACCAAAAGTGTTTTACTTGTGCAGATAAAGCATATCTACACTAGTCAGATATATTTATTAACTTATTTAAAATTTAAATTTAGCATCTGAAACGTCAGGTCATAGTGATTCTGTGTTGTTGCCGTCAATATTAATCTAATGTTGACGGTGTGTGGCTGTGTTTGCGGCTGGACCAGGGGTGCCCCGAAGGGGTAATCTGGGGGACCGGACCCGAGTGAGCGACACGCGGAGTAAGTGACTTCGCTTGGGTTCGCGGACGATCGTGCGCCGTAGCCGGAGGATCGCGTCATGTTAAGCGTGACTATAGCTTTGGTTAAGTCGTAGGGGTTGTTGAAAACGTTGCGCTCCCTTTTCTAGCGTATATTGATGGACACGGTGGAGTTGGCATACTGGGCCACCAGCGGTTTGGAATGCGTTGAGGCTCATTTAAAGAAGGTATGCTTGTTTGAAATATCGACTGGGGGTCGGAGATATAAGTCATTCGAACACCAAGCACACAACACATTCAACAGATTACAATAGCTGCTACCAAGCTTAACACGCGAAATGTCGGCTCGTAGTTAAAAATAATTTAACTAATACATCACGCGTTTTAAACCGTTACGCGTTCTTAATTACGACCCCTTGTGTTTTTGGTATTGTACATGCATGACGTCACTATAACTACCGGACTTGAATCGTAAACTTTACGAATATCGTAACTATAAAGATTAATGGCGCATAACGGACACACTGCAGTTGGGTTTTACGAAAACAATTCAATTTACAAAATTTTGAAATTACATGAGCATCTATAGTCAGGATATAAAAGTCATTGGACCCATTCAATGAATGTTGATGACGTCTTATAGTACGCGTTAAAAAAATCTCTTTAAATAGTTTAAAACGCGATGTATTCGCGGTGCGACCAAGGCTTCCGCATAGGATCCGAAACGTCAGACAGTAGTGTAAATAAATTGTAAAAAAGGGAACCAATGCATTTCGCTTTTTAAACGGTTAAAATTGTTTTTTTTAACAGTGTACTACTTGCGCTAATTACAGACAATACATAATATCTTATATTTTTTCTTATTCTTAGTTTTTATTTGTTTTTTACAATAATAATTAAAGACTTCGCTTTTCGAGGCAATTGATACAATTGTAAGCTAAGATCGACAAATAAGAAGAAAAAAAAACATATAAATCGAATTTCTTTCTGGGAAAGGCTGAGACAAGCGTTTGAAAATCTAGACATTAACTAAGTGGTAGGATTATCGAAATTCCTTCCGGGTCACGAACCACCGTCCACAGATGTAAAGTCGTGGGGCGTGGCCTGCGTCTTGGCTTCAATCTATGCATTTCAATATTTGAAGAGTATTACACAATTGTCTGTCCTTCTCTATCATGAAAACGAAAATTTTTACACGAAATCTTTATAATGCGTTATTATATATATATAAGGACGAAGGAAGGTATGTTTGCTGCCAAACATCCGAAACGTCTGGAAGTTGTTAAATTAAATAATTAAATTGACAAATATATTCCAAGTTTATTTAAAATCCGTTCAAAGTGTTTTATTTAAATTCTGCTCCTTAATGAGTGCTCCTTAGTAAAATGCTTTGCAGCAGTTGTAGTCCACGACTGGACGTAGGTGAAAATAGTAAACAAACTGCCTTTCGCGTTTTAAACCGTTTAAAGTATATTAATGTTATTAACGTAATTAGCTTTTTTAAATGATCTTCGTTAGTGAATGTTTTTCTAAAGTCTATGCTTATAAGTTATCGCTATTATGGTCAAAGGAATCATTGTCGCTCACTATTATAATTAATTGCGTAATAAAACGCTTAACGACTGCTGTGTGCTTTATAGATAAATAAAAATAATTTTAAAATATAGCTGATTTGACTTTATATAAAATAAAACTAGACGTATATTTAGTTTATTTAACCTTTATGTACCTTTGAATCATTTCATCTTTTGATGTATCTTCAAAATTTGACAACTTCATATAGGTTTTTTTTGTGCGTTTAAATGAACATTTTAAACTAAATGAAACAAATATTATTTTTCATAAACTCATTTTATTAATCCCCTTCCTAGGCAATTCAATTCTGCTCTTACTTTCGTTAGTCTTCGATTTGGATACATCTTCTATGAAGCAATATAAAGATCCAACTTGCCTACCAGACCCGGCTTTCAGTCAGAATAGACCTACATCATAAAATTTACGAGTACGTAAATAACGTAAAATTACATAGTAATATAATCCTATGATATTATTTATTTAGTATATCTTTTAATAGAAGCGTCGTTTCTTTCCACAGGTCTTCCACAAGTTTGGGATCATTAACCAGCTTGGCCGTGGGTGTCAACCGACAATTTGAGAAGTAACTTCCTGATAACGTCTCGATTCCTGGTGCTATACATGCGTGAATACTGGTTTGTGCACCCTCGTAGGGAGATTTCACCAGCCATAGGAACATTCTCTTGAAAAATGTGCCAAGTATACCGTTGAATCGAGCTACGATGTTAGTTGAAACCATTCCTGGGTGTAGGCAGAATGCAGACACATTCGATGGAAGGTTCTTCGCCAGGGCCTTCGTCCATAACACAGTGCACAGCTTAGTGTTGATGTAGGCTTTGAAGAAGTTCTCTGGCTTCGAACCGGTCAGATCTTGTAGATCTACCTCTCCGTAGCTGTAGAGTCCAGAGGAGACGATAACTATACGGCTTTGGGCTTTGATAAGCTTCTCCAGAAGCAAATTCGTCAAAAGGAACGGTCCTAGATAGTTGACTTGCATCATCAAGTCAATACCGTCTTTACTTAAACGTTTATCTTCTATAAGACACCCAGCATTGTTCACCAGAATATCCAAACGATCAAAAGTCTTATTGACATCGTCCGCGAAAGCTCTGACACTTTTGAAATCAGCTAGATCCAAATGACGATACTCAACTTGGGAATTCCCTGTGCTTTTGATGATGTCTCCTACTGATCCTTCAGCGTTATTCTTATCAGCGATAATCACTCTTGCGCCGCGTTTCGCTAGATCTTTAGCTGTCTCGAAGCCGATTCCTGAATTTCCACCAGTAACCAGAACCGTTTTGCCATCCAATCTCGTCGGACAGTTGCACATAATTTTGACCGGCTCTGTTAAAAGTTTCGATATCATTAGAACTAATGTGACTACTAGAAAGATGGATAGACCAGCTGCTGCAAAAACGGCCAGCACGGCTCCTATTTCCGACCACATGTTTGCGCTACAGAAACAAACTGAGATATGGAAAAGCTAAGAAAAACCTATGTATTTATCTGTAGGGATGGCGTGTTGTTTATTCTTTTAGAGTTCCGCGCGGTTAGGAATTAAACGATAAAGTTGAATTAAAAAGGATAGCCCGAGTTCTATCATATGGGAGAACCCATGGAAAAAGAATATTAGAGTTTTGCATAGTTCTAAGACTTGAAAGAGTTTGTATTGTTTATAGGCTATTCTATTTATTTCTTTTGTAAAGTATATTACAATGATATACTTAACAAAAATAATAGTGTTCTTCCATTCTTAAAATTATTTAAAGGCAAAAAAACTTTTAATTTTTAGTCAGAAAAATATGAATTAAGTAAGATTCTCTTCCGAAAATCGAGAAAATTCGGCAGTATTCCAATTAATTTTAATTTACAAAACCATTAAACTAGCTCATTAAGTATAAAAAATACTAACAACTTAAACACGTACTAAACGCGAGTGAGCAAAACTTAAAACCTACGTTGGCAAAACGTAAACAATGTTTTCAAATGGGAAGTTCTTCTGTTGTATTTTTTACCTTCGCAACCTTTACTATAATAAAAAAGATGCGCAGGCGCAGTTACTAAATTCATTAAGCAATTTGGAAATAACTTTCTACAATTACATATGACTATATTAGGGACCTCATTTATTTACATAAGCATAAAAGATGAAACTAAAGCTATGGACTTTAATAGTTACTTTGTTCATCAATTTTGTGACAAGTAAAAGATTATTGACATAACATCATCATCATCATCAATAGCTATCATCACCCCTGCGATGTATTAACTGTTAGGAGAAAGCCCTGCAATAAGTGTTATTAATATATCAAAAACTACCTCGGTATACCTCGCACATTTTTTGCCCTAAAGGTACACAAAGGTACGATAATCCGACCTCACAACAAGTCTAGTTAACCATTGTAGACAATAATCAACCAACTTGCAAAGAGTATTTTAAATTTTTTTTTTGAAAGAGGGGGCTAGGCAGGCATGGGAATTACTTCATGGTACAACAAGATGCGTTTCACCTATTTTGGCTTTAGAATTTATCTCAGAGAATCGGTCTAAACATAAAGCTTTTTCTTCGAATGAAAATTTCGCCCCAAACGTAAAAAAAACTAGATTTAAGTGTTTGGAACCAATAAAACATAGGTTGACAGGCAGGTAAGGCTATGCTTTCAATGAGACACTGAAAACGGTTTGAAACGGGAAATAACTTATTTACATTGTATTTTAACTACGACCCGAAGCTTTGCACCAGCGTAGTCGCGGGTTGAAGGGGGGGGGATAGGGGTGGCAAACACCCTTTTATATATCGTCTAATAAACCGTTAAAAGTGTTTTATTAGAATGTGTACTGCAGACTATACGTATACGCATTGACCGACGTCAGCTGTTCGGTGTTTTGTTAAGTAACCAACAAAATGTCGTGTGAAATAGTAAAATGCAATAGTTGTAAAATAGTAATTAATGAATTACTTGCTTTCGTGCAAAACAAGTGTGATGTCATGGATGTGGAAGGAATTGTCAGGCTCTGTGTTTTATCTTTTACACAGACGGAAATTGAAGTGGCAAAGAAGCTACTCATCCAATCTCTCTCGCCTAGCAAAAAAAGGGTGTTATGCAAAAAGGGAACTAAAGCTGAACGTGATTTACGAGATATTGTTGCGTTTTTAAAGGTATGTGAACCCGAATCCATACCCATATTCGTAGCAAAAGACTTACAAAAATTGCCACCGATTACTTTTGATCACATTGACGTCACTCGGGTCCTCAAAGACTTGATCGTCATACAAAACGAAGTGAAAAAAATTAGTTCGACCTACCTTACTAAGGACGAATTTTACAAAAATTACAACATGCAAGGTAGTCCTGATAGAACCGTTAATTTTAAACGCGGAGGGCACATTCGTACAACCGAATCAGCTGATATCTCAGCGCATGCGCATCGGTCACCGCCCGCTTGTCGTCTATCTCATTCTATCTCGGGGAGTGAGCGCGAGGAGGCGATCTCGCTCCCGCTTGCGGCAACGTCGGCAATCACCGGTACCGGTTCGGAGGCCCCTACCGCGGTTTCTCCGAGCCTTTGTTGTGTGACTCGTGCGTCGGAGTCGAGGCAATTATGCGCTAACATAACGGGTAATAACGATAAGGAAAGTAATGTTGAATGGCAAACAGTGCAAAGAAAAAAGGGACGCAAATATAAATATATTGGTCAAAGAGGGGAAGCGGTAATTGATGCCGATAGTAAATTCAAGCCTGCAGAATTGTACGTACTTTTATTCATCAATAGGGTCAATAAGTGTACGTCAGAAAAGGACATTCACGATTATCTCGTGAATAAGACGCGCGCTGAGGTGAAAGTTCAGAAAATAACATCGAAACAAGACAAAAGCTACGATGCCTACAAGGTATCTGTCCCAAGGCTTAAACTGAATATTTTCTTAGACGGAAGCCTATGGCCTGAAGGTGTTACGTATCGTCGTTTTGTTAACTATGGACCTGGATCCCAGAAAGGGGTAAAAGATAATACAAATAGTTTTAATGGATAAGTCGTGCAAACTAATTAGCTTTAATTGCAAGTCAGTTACGAGATGTGTCGAATATGTACGCAAATTGTGCCAACGAGCGGATATACTTGCCCTGCAGGAAACCTGGCTTCTGCCGCACGATTTGCAGTACTTAAACAAGATTGACGAAGACTTTGGTTGCACTGGGACTTCCGCAGTAGACACCTCTGCCGGTATTCTTAGAGGGAGGCCATACGGCGGTGTTGCACTACTTTGGCGAAAAAATGCCTTTGGTTCTGTGACAGTGTTACATTGTGCGAGTGTGCGGCTGGCGGCAATTCGAGTGATTACGGGTGATACTAGTTTCCTCGTATTTTCGGTCTATATGCCTGTAGATTGTGGTGAAAATCTGCCTGAATTTACGGAGTGTCTGGCCGAAATAAATGCTATTGTTGAGAGCTCTAACGTCGCGAGTGGTTTTATTTTAGGGGACTTTAATGCCCACCCTGATGCTCACTTTGGCAAGGAGCTGTCGCACTTCTGTAGTGAGCAACGGTGGCGCTGTGCGGACATGGAGTTCTTAGGCATTGCGTCCGATAATTTTACTTTTATAAGCGACGCTAATGGAAGTCACCGATGGCTCGACCACTGCATCGTTACGGAGGCGGCCTACAATGCGATTTCAAGTGTTAACATACTCTACGACTCCTCGTGGTCTGACCATTTACCACTACTAATAAACTGTAATATTGGTGTTTTGTGTTCGGGATCGGTTGAGGTAGATCGAAGTAAGCATAAGATTCGCTGGGGTGAGCGTAACAGTGAGCAAATCGATCGCTATCGCGCTTTATGTAGTGCTAAGTTGAAAGATGTTAGAAGTTAGTCTTCCCGAATGAATTGAGTGGTTGTTGTGACCAAATGTGTAGCAATATTTTACATAGAAATACTATAGATAATTTGTATGCGCATATTATAGACATTCTATCGGCGGCAGCAGAAAGCACATATTATTATAAAAGTACTGTAAATAAGGGTAAGAAAACTGTAGTGGGGTGGAATAGGCATGTTTATCCGTTGCATAAAGAGGCACGGCATCATTTTCTTTATTGGAAGGCGCACGGGCGTCCAACCGCGGGTCCTCTTTATGATAACATGACGAAAACGCGGCGTTTATTTAAAGCCAAGTTGAAATGGTGTCAAAATAACGCAGATCGGATAAGGATGGATATTCTTGCCTCCCACAATACAAACAAGAACTTCAGGCAATTCTGGAAATGTACAAATAAGCTGAACTATAGGGCTAGTGTTCCCCAGAGTGTGGGTGGTGTCTCAGAACCGGAACAAATAGCAAACTTATTTAAAGAGCATTTTAGAGTCGAGCCGCCACCTACATCTTCGGCGTCGGTGCTCGCTGCTGAGGCCTGTCGCGCTATTTCTAGCCCTCTGGGGTTCAGTTCGAGAGAGGTAGCTTCATGTTTAAAACGAATAAATAGGGGTAAATCTCCGGGACACGATGGACTCAGTATCGAGCATCTGGTGCATGCTGGTGAGCACCTGCCTAGAGTGTTATCAATGTTTTACACGTTTTGTATAAGGCATTCATATCTTCCAGCGGCATGTATGAAGACCATTGTTGTACCAGTAATCAAAAATAAAACGGGAGATCTTTCGCAAATAGATAATTACAGGCCTATCTCATTAGCTACGATAGTCGCGAAGGTGCTGGACAGTCTGCTTAATGACCACCTTTGCAAACACGTAGATCTAGATGACGCACAGTTCGGTTTCAGGCCGGGCTTGTCCACGGAAAGTGCAATATTCTGTCTTAAGCAGACGGTCCAGTACTACACCGCTAAAAGCACCTCGGTCTTTGCGTGTTTTTTAGATATGTCCAGGGCGTTTGATACAATTTCTTATGACCTTCTTATGCACAAATTAAGAACGAAGACAAGGGTTTCAGAGGAAGTTGTAGGAGTTTTTGATTATTGGTACTCCAATCAGGAGAATTGTGTAAGATGGAGTAATGTGGAGTCTGAGACGTATGGGCTAAAGTGTGGGGTAAGGCAGGGGGGGGTTACATCTACCTGTCTTTTCAACCTATACGTCAATGACCTCATAGAGCATCTTAGGAGCAGTGGTGTAGGCTGCTCAATAGATGGAATAAGTGTGAACAACATTAATTATGCTGATGATATGGTGTTGCTAGCTCCCTCGGTGAGCGCCATCCGAAAGCTCTTAAAAATCTGTGAAGACTTTGCTGATGCTCATGGCCTCAGCTACAATACAGCCAAAAGTAAGTTACTCGTTTTTCAATCGCGAGGTGATAAGATAGGCGTAGTGCCTGCAATAATGCTCAAAGGTGTACCACTACAACGAGTAACTGAGTATAAGTACTTAGGTCATTGTGTCACGGAGGACCTTTCGGATGGAGCTGACCTGGAGAGAGAAAGGAGGGCTATGGCGGTAAGGGGTAACATGTTGGCCCGTAGGTTTGCACGAAGCTCAAACGATGTCAAAATCGTCTTATTTAAGGCTTATTGCCAATCATTCTACTCGTGCAGCTTATGGGCCTCCTTTACTCAGAGAGCATTGAATGCTATTCGTGTGCAATACAACAATGTTTTCAGGTTGTTATTGGGCTTGCCAAGATACTGTAGTGCGTCGGGCATGTTTGCGGATGCACGTACAGATGGTTTCCACGCCATCATCCGCAAGCGTGTAGCTTCCCTCATGTATCGGGTTCGACAAAGCACCAATAGCATTCTGGGGGTATTGTGTGAAAAGTATACGGTGCTGCTAAAACGATGGAGTGACGTCCATGCTCCCCCTTAGCGCCTAGCACCTATTCTATGTATTCTGTCTAATTAATTTTAGTGACTAACACATTCTAATATACATTTTAAGTTAAAAATTGTTACTAACCCAACTAACGCACATTAGAATTAATTAATTATGTATTATTTTAAAATGTATGGATCTATGGTCTGACAAATAAATTATTATTATTATTATTATTATTATTATTATTATTATTATTATTATTATTATTATACTTAGGGCTATACTTTTTGTACGGGTTAGGGCAGGGTTAGTCAAGAATCTTAACACCTTTTATAAGTAATTAGCAAACACTATTGGCGTCGTTCTTCCTTTGTAATTTGTAAAGCATAAAAGGTTTATTTGATATTAGCTTAATACTATGTTGATACATATACCTGTGGGGTCATTGGTAGAAACCGATATATTTTCTTTATTTAATGGGGGGGGGGGAAGCATGGGAGGCACTTGATGGAAGATGAAATACCCCAGCCATACAACACTTAAACAAGATGCGCTGATGATCAATGTTGGCTTTGGTTTTTGGAACCACAAATTGAAACCAAAAAGCAATTAAACTTCGCGACTTTTTCATATGTGGATGATGGTTGACCTGGACGGAATTATCGATATTTCTACCATCTCCAGATTTTCAGACGAAATCCAGCATGTGTTGGAAATAATGGCGTAGCTATCGTAGGGCCAGGTGGTGTAATGCAACAGGGCGCCGGAACTTAGGGACCTCCTAACCTTATCTTTGAGAAGATATAAGCGTAGAAGAAATTTCTTAACGTTCTTGTTACTATTTATAATTTTGGAGGTTCATTTAATTCAAGCCATGCTAAAAGGGATGAGGACCCGATTCTGTCTTGAGCCTTAGGATTTGGTAGACCGGGGCCCTTGTCCACCTAGCTACGCTACTGGTTAGAGATATTATAAATTTATGACAAAGATGTTACAATCGGTTGTATTCGAAACTACGATCTATTGATTATTAGCTATACGTTGCTACCACTAGTCAGTCTGTCAAAAAAAAACGCCTTTTATAAATAATTAGCAAACACTGTTTCCGTCTCTCTTGCTATGCAACTCTAATGAGTATTTTTATCCTTCTCTATCTCAACGAGTAATTGATAAGACCTATTAAGAAGGTTTTAGCTTGATACTATGATGTTTATATGCCTGTGGGGTTTTGTAAGAACGACACGTCTATTATATATTATATTATATTAGCCATAATATTACACCAACGAGTTCGTCAAAGTTATTTTAAGTATTATTTTATTAGAGAATACTACAGGGAATATGTTACGTCAGTAGTACACATTTAAATAAAACACTTATAACAGTTCACAATGCGAAATATGTTATCTAATTCCGTCCGGCCTTTTTTTTTTTTTTTTTTTTTTTTTTAACTTGGGGAAATGCATTATGCACCCCTACTCCAGGGCTGGTGGTGTAGGGAGTGTGGGACTCACACCCACTAAAACCCCAAGGGCTCGTCATTGTGCGCAGTTAAATGAAGGTTGGTAACGGTTGTGACCTTGTCCAAAACCTTCATTTTAGAAGCGCCCTGCCGCATTGCAAACGTGCGACCCACCCTTTAGCCCTTCAAACGCAGTAGTGTGAGACCAATCTGTCAGCGCAAAACACGCCGAGGTCGTTCTCTTCTTCTTCTCACTTCAGAGGCCAAAGGATCAAGTTCTCGGGCCCGCTCATCACTTTCTTTAATAGCAAATATCTCCTCACAGAAGTCTTTGACAGCCCGCCATCTACTTTCATCCTGTAGCATAATTCTGACAAGGGTAGAGAGAGTGGGTGTATTGCCACCAGTTTGGACCAAGCCTATTATAGAAAACATGGTCCTCCGCTGAAGACACCATGCAGGGCAATCTAACCAACCATTACATCATCACTTTAAAGATTATAGAAAGGTCGCACCCTTCTGGTGTCCTAATAACCGAGTTTAACCCCCCGGCCATGCATCTCCTCGCCAGACACTAGAACTTGAGATTCAGGTTTACTCTACACTCTCTTCAGACATAAAGTCCTCTCCTTAATCGCATCCTGTACGGTTCTTTAGGGAAGAACGAATCAGGAGCAATCCAACATATTGGTCCAGTTTGTTCCCCGAGGTGCTGGCTTGCACCCCAGGTACTAAGCCCCACCGCCACGACAAGGCCGGACCCCGCGGGAAAGTACATCCGCGGGTGGTGGGGTAATTCCGTCCGGCCTTAGTTAAATTCAATTAAAAAAAATGGTAACTTATTTTTAATTGAATACTGTTAAAAGTGTTTTATTTAAATAAACATTATTTACAGCAATGGTTGCATATATTGTTATAATTAAATTAATATATTGTTTATAACTTCTTTTCTGCAGTTTATTAGTTTTTACGTTATCAAAACACATTTATACGCAAGTGCACAGAACTCTATGGAAGCCGGTTCAAGTCCCGCGCGTATCCGAAATTACTAACTATACTATATCATAAGTTCTTTTTTGATGAAAAATAACATTAGAATTATAGAAAGTACTTTTAATTAATTGAGTCATTCACAATCACCTTAGACAACGGCCATATTTTAAAGGAATGTCACAAAATGGAAGGCGCAATTTTATAAAAATACAGATTACATAACATAGACTATACTAGATATATCAATTAAGTTAGTCAAGCTTGATAATTATTATTTATGTTTATCGATCTAACGGGTAACGTAGAACCGCTCACCTTGACTTCATGGATCAGTGGTTCACTCGTTATTGCGTCTTTGTTAAAACAGATACAGAAAATCTATTCGCCCTAGAACATTAAAGTGGAAGTGGAACTTTGTCTTGTCCTAATAATAGTATAGATCCTTATATCTTTAAAATCTTTTTAATAAAAAAATATGACAAGGACGGAATTCGAACCTACATCGTTCTGTGCTGCTGCCCTAACAATTAGGCTACCGTGTTCTACAAGCTATTATCGATTTTTTCAAATCTAAAAAAAATCTTTAACCAAAGATTTTTAAAGAACAATGTTTCATTATTTTTTTAATTAATTTGACGAATAGTATCTCTTAGGATAATAGGGCGAAAACATATCAGTTTCACAGCTCGATGGTAGACTTATTACGTACGACCTGCGTACGTAATAAGTCTAAACTAGGCTCTCGACCACCTTAAGTTACAATATGTCATTATATCTTTTCGGCTTTTACTACCATTGTGATCCTTGTTATTTGTTATTTACATTTGAATTTGAAACAAAGAAACGCGTTTTAAACTGCTTTATCACCATATTATTGAGACACGTCTATTCGTGTCTTACCTACAGAAACTTTTGCTTTAGTTCTACGATGTTATCAGAAAACATGTACAGAAATTTAATGATCACGCGCAGTTTGAAATTACAGAAATGTCCTATGTCAAGTACGATCACGTTTGTGAAGTAGAAGTATGCACGATGCATATTTATTTTAAATTAAAAATCGATTTTAGACTGAAACGAAATTTCGACAAGAGCAGGGGTGGAACCGGCATCCACACCCGATACGACAAAATCGATTTTTGTTTTTATAGTGCCATAATGTGAAAAATATGAACAATAAATAAATGGATTTTATTAAAACACTAAAGATGACACTTTTTATTTCTATTTTAAATTAGCTCTCTGGAAAACATGAAAAAACGTGGAAAAATCATTCATTCATGATACTCAAGAAATATGTATTAAAGAATGATTCGTCTTTAAATGATCTAAAATATGCAACAATGTCTATCTATTAAGATTAACTCATAAGATCGGTTTAATGAAATTCTCTCGAAATGAATGCAACATAGTAACGGGCATATATTTAAAAAAATATATACAAATTAAGTACAGTCAATCCTTATATAGAATAAGGACTATTGAAAGGATAATATATATTGAACAATGTATCAGTATGGATATATAAAATATTGATTAAGAAAAGTTGTCGAAGGGCAGGGATCATAGAAAAAGATTAAGAATATTACACAATAGCTTCAGCAAGGTTCACCGTTGGAGAATCCAGAGTACACCTCCTTAAATCACCTTGATATACAAAGCTTGTTAATTACTTTGCGACGTCTAACACTTTCATAGACTCATTAAATACCTTTTCCGCGAAATCGGAATCTCGGGCTTGTCTCGAGGCCGCTGTTAATCTGCACTCCTTATAAAAACCACCGGAAGTCTCCTCTATATTAGGAGCTACGCAAACATGTATGGTCGTTTGCGCGCCCTCTACCGGCGTTTTAAATAACAACCCAATTACAGTCAACACTACCACTCTGATAACGTAAGTTAGATTGAGAAAGACATCAGTTTTCACAACCCCAGGGTGAAGTGAAAATGTGGTTATACCCTTCGGTAGCTTCTTAGCTAGAGCCTTAGTCCACAGAATAATACACAATTTACTATTGCCGTATCGGATGACGTGAGTGAACACATTATTCTCTCGCAAATTATCCACTTTCAGGTATGCTATGTGATGTAGATTAGATGACACGTTAACGATGCGACTCGGCGCGGACGCTTCCATCTTCTTTAAAAGTAGATTCGTTAAAAGGACATGCCCGAAGTAGTTGACCTGCATTACTATATCTATGTTGTCCTCAGTGAGAACATTGTCTAGGCCACCGACGCCAGAATTGTTCACTAGAATGTCCAACCTTTCTTCATTCTTGTTAATATCCTCAGCGAATTCACGGATGCTTTTGAATTTGCCCAGATCTAAATGCCTGTACTCGACGTTTTTGTTACCAGTTGTGCTAATTATGTCACGGACAGCTGCTTCCGACTTCTTCTCGTTTCTACTTGCTATAATCACCTTCGCACCGCGTCCTGCCATATCCCGAGCTGTCTCCAATCCTATGCCAGAGTTCCCTCCCGTCACTAGAACCACTTTTCCATCGAGCCTGGCTGTACACTTGCATGTTCGCTTGACCGGTTGAAAGAACAATTTAAGCCCAATTAAAATCGATATTATTGTAAGGGCGAAATAAAATAAATACTGCAGGAGGATGAACATGTCGTCTCGCCTCCGATGTACGACAAGTAATACATATTATATTGGTGACTAAAAATAATTGTTATGATAAGCTGTGTCCACTACTACTACTCGCGTACTAAAACGTAAAAAATGAGCGTTTTATATTCAAGCCACAATTGTATGGTTAATTCTGCGTGGTTAACGTGCTCTAGTACATATGTGCAATGACACCTGCGATATTATTCTGCATTTATTCCGCAAGATTACAAAAGGCCAATGTGAATTTTTTATGTGTGTTTTTTATTCGAGAATATTCTGTATCACCCTCGTTGTTATTTGGTTAGTGCCCAGCAGATCACGCGTTCAAATTGCAAATTAAAGAAGTTCAAAGGTCAATTTAGGTTCTCTACTTGCAATTTTTAGTACCAGCTCGGAGTTTGGAACCTAGATCACACGTTAAGTCGTCTTCCCAGCTATCACCGGAGCAGTGTGGTGGCCCTAAGCCTAACTTCCCTTACTTTCTTTGTTATAAATTAATTTCAAATAAAAATAGAAACGGATCTAAGACGTTAGTGTAATAATATCCCGATATATATCGATCCCCATAACAATTTATATTTTCTTCGTCTGGAAATCTGGATATAAAATGGATGATAGGAATATCGTTAATTACGTCCGGTTCACGAAGCACCGTCCACAGATGAAAGAGCCTAGTCAAAAGTGAAGTCTAATCGCGGTTAGATTTCAATCTGTGGATTTAATATCAAAGGCAAAACACGATCACAACGAATGTTTTTAGATGTGATAGGGGGGGGGGTTATTTCATCTACTATGTGAATCCCAGGATTGTCTCTTTTCTATCAAAAAAGGCTAAGAAATGTTACTTAAGCTTTCCAAGTGTAAGTTTATAAAGATGATGGTAAGGGATCCCTGGTACACCTTTAGAATTTTATTTCATTTTGTGTACATTTATTCCGATGAGGCACCTAACAATTTTCTAAAAAAAAATCTTATTTGTGGTAACAGACTGAGGTAGCTAATATAACACATTGATTTGATGATATTTAGGGTAATCGAATTGCTCTATCTATCTATGATTTGATCAGAGGCCCTTATTTCCAGCATGTATCTATAACAAGGTCGTCATAAATTATTACTAACAAAGTTAATGGAAATATTCATAAATTTATGTCGCTGATTTGACCGGTTTTAATATTTAAGAGGTTTTGACTGTAGTTTACGCGAGTTCACATTTAAATAAAACACTTTAACGGTTTAACGCCCGATATATTTAGTTAAAGTTATTTGAAAATTGTTTTTACACTGTCAGTTTTGGGCTTGAAATAAGTTTAACGAATATATATCGTGTTTTAACCATTAAGTTTTTAATTTTAATTTAAAATGGTGTCGACTTGTGTGGATGAAATTTTGTATGAAAATTTATAATGTGACTTTTATTAATTAGCTTCTCTATAATAAACTTAACGTATTTTTATTCAGAGCAGTATACACCATAAACAATTAATGTTTTATAAAATTACCTAGTAAAATTTATCAGGCGTATTTTTTTAACAAAAAACGTTCCGTAAGTGTTTTAAACCTCTCAGACAGTGTAACATAAATGCGTGTGAATATTGAAATAAAAATTACCTAATTTAAAATAATGGTAATTACACTTACCACTTTTTGCGTTCAATGCGTAAATTTAAAAGTTGAATAAAACACATTATCTGGTATTTCTAGATTATAAATATTTTAATTATTCAAATATAAACAACTCGTAATTAGTATTCAATGAATAAACATTTATGTAAAGAAACTGACTATACTATGTTTAGTTATATATGTATAGAAAAAAAACACAGTTATCCCATATGGGGTACGACTTTTTTACCAGTAGTAGGAAGTAGATTTGATATCTATGTCTACCCAATCGAAACAATTGGTTGCTACCCCGGGATCGAAATCTTGGTCTCCCCTTGGTCGCATTGCCAGACAACTGTAGCAATGGAGGCGCCTTCGAAAAACTATCATCCAAAGAATTGTAAATAAAACTTTAGTCGTGCCTATACTCGTAAAACAGGTGGGCTTTCAAATAAAACACGAAGTTTAACTACGGTAGATGTTTCGGATGTTTTGCAGCAGTCGTAGTCACGGGGAGACCACAGCGGCTGTACAGCGTAGTTAAACCATCAAATAGCGTTATTTAAATGTGTTGGCACTACTCGCGTAAACAATTAGTACTTCAGTCAATTTCCTAAAAAAAATACGGATTACTTGTTTATTTAATATCAAGACTTGTCCTGTCCATGTTAAATCGATCAAAACATTTTTAATTATTATAACATCCTTCCCAGGTCAACGTATAACAATAAAATAAAGACGGCACACAAATTTAATCGCTTATAATTTTCAACGTTTCCCTCCAAACCGCTTCCGCGAACTCATCGTCATCTGCACGATTTGACAAGCACTGCTTCTTACATTCCGAATAATAATCACCTGTGGCGTTCTCCAACTCAGGCGCCACACACAGATGTATGCAGGTCTGAGCGCCCTCTACCGGCGATTTAAAGAACAGTCCTATTAACATCAGCCATATCGCCCGGGATACGTTTCCAAGTCTTTGGAATATGTTTGTCTTTACCAGGCCCGGGTGGACGCAATTCACTGTAACACCAGCGGCGTGCAACCTTTTCGCCAGCGCCTTCGTCCATAGCACGTTACAGAGCTTGCTGTTCGCGTACCTCGTGTAGTGAGACTCGACATCTCTCATTCTCAGATTGTCGATATCCACTTTCGCCATCTTATACATCAACGAAGTAACTATCACTATTCAACTTGGCGCTGATTTTTTCAATTTGTCCAACAGCAAATTTGTCAAAAGAACCGGCCCGAAGTAATTGATTTGCATGATCACGTCTATGTTTCTCTCGTTACATTTATTCTTCAGACCACCAACACCAGAATTATTGACTAGAATATCCAATCTGTCTTCGTCTTTAAAATCTTCCGCAAATTGTCTGATACTTTCGACCTTAGCTAGATCTAGATGTCTGTATAGAACGTTTGCGTTGCCAGTTGTGTAGATAATATCATTGACAGCAGCTTCTGATTTCTTATTATCTCTACTGGCTATGATGACCCTTGCACCACGTCTCGCCAGATCCCTGGCCGTCTCCTTACCAATACCAGAGTTGCCGCCGGTCACTAAAGCCACTTTTCCATGCAGCTTTGTTTCACAATTACATACTTCTTTTATGGGTTGAAAGTAAATTCGGCAACCGATTATAAGTAACATTGATAATATGAAAAGCGACGCAATTACCTCAAATAGGAATAAGCACAAATACAAAATTAGTTCCCACACCTTGCCACTTGGAAACGAGTTTTGGAACTGATGAATTTACTAAGCTAGATATTGACATCGGCTGCATACGAACATATCTTTACATTTAAGGAATATTCATAAAGGTATATGGCCTGATTTACATTCACTTACGTATGCAATGCGATTTAAGTAACAGAAAGGGTTGACGTGATTTTAAAGCAACGAGCAACCTTCAAGGCCAGAGTATTTTTAAAGATTTCAATGCATTTGTTTTGTCTCTCGCTCGTGTGTTATCGTTCAACGGAGGGAGACAGGTGTATTTTTTGTGTTTTTCTAGTGATTGAAACGAGATAGCTAATACAGCAACATGATTATAAATGCAATTTAAGCTGTGCTTAAACTATTTTAAATAAAACCGGTTTTTATGTTTCATTTTACGATATGCCTTTCTATTCTACTGGTTTTATCGATTACCTTAAAGAAGTTTGAAGTTTAATGACATTTCTGCCATTTTGAAAGAATGAGAATAGTTAGGGTAAAGTTACATAAGTCTAACCCCATAAGAACAATATAATATTAACAATAATTAAAATATGCCTTCTATATGCATAGGCATTGAATCTGTATTTACTTAGATTTTAATTAACAATAAAAAAATCTTATTCGAGTCACATAAAACCTAAGCCGTACTTTCAAAGAAAACGTATAAAAAACATTTTTAAAACCATAAAGAAAAATAGAGATCTAATAAAAATAAAATATTTTTGTATGTTTATATATTTAAGGGACTTGCAAACTAAATCCATAATAGAGGAAGATATAACGATTATGTATTAAAAAAAACTTGTACAACATTTCATATAGCATATGGAAGTAAATTTGAATTCAGTGACAATATTACAGACTAAATGATTATAAAAAATGCTTTTTAAATTTATAAGGTTTGAAAAAAAATCAACAATTATATTGTCTTTTTTTAAATCATTATTAAATAAATGCATGCTGTAATAACACTTTGTTGTTAGATATAAATCCGAAGCAAAAAAATACTTAATAGCTTATGACAAAAATATCCAATAATAAAATGTAAAAAAAAATGTAATTCAGATATATATTTTTATTTTCCTTCAACGCCAAGACATATAATATTTAGTATGTTTTGTACATTTAAATTTTGAACACTTATTCTCCATTAAATACATAAATGACACTACAATACTTGGTTTGACGTTTAATTTCTATTTAACATTCATTAAACATTTCATTTTACGATAATGCATTTACATAACAACCTTAATACCTAAGTACGATTTGCAACTGCAGTTTATTTAAAACTACTTAAATAAATCTTATTTAAAACGTGACGTGACCTCTTTCAGTTGTTTGAAGCCTGAGCAATTATCAAGTCGGTAAAAAATATTTATTGGTTTACGCACAATAAAACATATAGAACAAGCACATATCATATAATCATTTTTACAAATTAAAAAATAAATTTAAAACAAAATGTACTAAAGGCATCATTCTTACAGGAAGTAAGGTATCTTCAACGTATAATTGTTTCATATTTGTAAAATTAACATTTCTAGTAGTTTTCTAGTAATAATTAATATTAAAAAAATAATACTTTAAACAGATATAACAAATAGACATATATAAAGTTGTACTTTTTACATTAGATTTAGCTCATTTTTTTATTATTGTTATTATAAGTTTGAAGTTAGTACAATTTCTAGCGTCACGCATACCTCTTTTATTACTGTTTTTTCCACGGTTGCTTCGAAGAGATAGCTATAATGCCGCCGTTTGTCCCTAGTTTAATTAATTTTATTTTTTAATACTCTTTTTCTGTCTGTCTTACTCTTTCGTGACATTAAAAAATATTTGTATATGTAACTACCCAAACCGGAAGTATTACATATCGTTATGTATAATCATACAAGACACTGACATTGCATAGCTATGTACGACTTGATCAACCTTACCCTACTTTAGTACGTACGCGTATTAAGAATGAGTGGTCATTCTTACTCATATTAAACATGATGGAAAAAATGCGAACTTTACTCTTTTAAAACACGTTTATTTATTATATATGAAGTAGTTGGAGGTTTAGTGGGTAGTGGTCAAGCTGGCCGACCCCCATACTCCCCCCGCCACTCGAAGTAGCCAGGCGGCGGTGTCGGTAAAGAGTCGATTCCTCCAAGTAAAAAAAAGGTACCTACCTCATATACTAATGCTTTTTTAAAGATTTATAGCATGCAAAAATATTAAACTATATTGATAGTTATGCCATAACAACAGTACTTTAATAAATAATAGAAATGACAATGTATTTTTATAGCATTGCCTGTATTATATACGTGTTATTTTCTAGGTTAAAATAAGAATAAAAGTGTTACAGAGGACTGTACTATAGAACGCTTGTTAAAGGTTTTACAAAAACAAAGGTCGTTCATCTTAAATAGCATTTAAAATATGAAACCGTATTTGTCTATATTTATTTTGTAATTACACTCCCGTTTGGTTTATTTAAATACTTATCAAGTACTGCACTGATCCCTAAATTACGATCTTCCAATATTGTTATTGTTTTACACCACACCTCTTCCACCAAACTATCGTTTCGTCCATTCTGTGACACATTCTTCTCTTTGCAGTCAGCGTAATGGCTGCCAGAAGAATGCTCCAACTCTTCAGCCACACAAACGTGTATCGTCGTCTGCGCTCCTTGCCTTGGCGATTTGAAGAATATATTTACCATAAAGAGGAATATTCTCCTCATGTAAAAGTGGTTATAAATAGGAGTTTTGACTATTCCTGGATGTATACTGTTCGCTGTTACATTCTTGGGCAACCTTTTCGCTAGAGCCTTCATCCATAATACGTTACATAGCTTACTATTAGCGTAATGTTTAAAATTTAACATCTCTCGAGCACCGATCAAGTCATTAATATCAAAATTCGCGTAGCAATGCGCAGCAGATGCCATTATTACAATTCTACTTGACTTGGAGGCTACTAGCTTATCTAATAATAATGCTGTTAGTATAAACGGACCGAAGTAATTTACGTGCATTATACAATTTATTCCATCTTCAGTATATTGGTCTTTCATTGTAGCGATAGCTGCGTTATTTACAAGGATGTCTAGATGTGGTATATCTTTGACCTTCTCCATGAAGTCCTGGATACTCTTGAATCTAGCTAGATCTAGATGTTTGTATTCCACAGCAGTGTTGCCGGTTTCTTTAACTATTTTTGCCACGGCATCGTCTGCGTTTTGTACGTCAGCTATGATTACTCTTGCGCCGCGTTTAGCGAGATCCTTTGCTGTCTCGAAGCCGATACCTCGGTTCGCCCCAGTGATGATGACGATCTTGCCATCTAACCGGGTGGTGCACCTGCATACGCCAGCTCTTGGTTCAAATATGCATTTATAAATTAGTATTGCTGTAATACCGATCAAAACGACGCCAATAACTGACGCCGCCGAAAGTAGGAGTGAATACATGCCTGACGTTTGATTCACACTGTGCGCTGGATCGGAGAATTAATATTTTATTACAATAAGAAATCATGTTTTCCTTGTCTAGTGATGCGAGTCGTGTTCTGTAGTTATAAAAAACATATATTTCTAACTCATGTGACAACCGCTTATTTTATAAAGATATAGGCTTAGTAAGTTAAATTCTTATGTAACTTTGAAATAAGACACTTTAACAGTTTAAAACGCAAAGTATATTACTTGTTAATTATTTTTTACGGCCCGACGTTTCGTATGGCTTGAAGCAGCCGTGGTCACGTAAAGACACGGTCATGATCATGCGGACTACTCGCGTAAACTACAAACAGTATTTCTGTATGTTCTCACACAGTCTCGTATGTTCATGGACTTCAATAATGACGTCATCATTGCGAGAGCCGCGGACAGTCGCCGGGTTACCAATGTAATTGATGTCCATATACATACACTATGTGTTTATAATTGTTAAGAATCTTAAAGAAATTGCCATTTCTTTGAACTTGACAATTGACTTCATATTTGTTAGTGACAAGTTTGGACTATTTCTAATGGGGAATTTTAGTGAAATTATTGTCTGTGTAGTTATCACCTAGTATTAAAATCCGAAGTAACGCAGCTATAGCCGTTCGCTGCACGTCTAATAAAAAAACACTGTTTGCACAGCACTAGTGCAATTTATTCAAGTTCATAATTTAAACAACATCTCATTAGCTCTTTGATCTCTGGTCTGAATGGTAAATACATTGTACGTTAAAAAGGTATTATTCATGCACCCTGGTGTTACGTTGTATTAGACATCAAATAAAAGCTTTAGATATTTTAAAGATAGAAAAGAACCTGGAACATCTCATTTCTTAGACCCTTAGAAACTTTGACCGCCTCTATCGGTAAATGATTAGACCTAGCATTGCGTTAAAAGCGAGAGGCCGTGAGTTCGAATCGCGGGGAAAAAATACATTTTTCGGTCGGCCAGGGCGCAGAAGTCTGATCAACTACTTGCCTGTAAAATAACCAATCTGTGAAACGGCCACAGAAATGCGTTCGCCCCTATGCCCTACGAGTTGAAACGGAATTTCACTTTAATCTCTTAGAATCACTCCATCTCATTTGTAGAAGTAAGGGCGGAATAAAATACAGGATCTAAGCGTGGTGTCGCCTTGTAACACCAGCCTCAAGGCAAAACAAGCATGAGACTAACTTGTTCGAAGGTAAAATTCGGCAGCAATATAGAATCGAAGCATATATCGACTTATTTTTAGCTTGGTAATCCACAGATTGAAACCAAAACGCGATTAACCTTTACCGATTAAGGACTTATGCCATGCAGATTAAGTTTTAAATTATAATTCACAATATATTGAATTTGATTTTGTAATTAATTCTTTAACTTTATATTTAATTGTAAATTGTAAAGTAAACTTTAATTAAAAGAATATCGGGTACAAACAAACAAACAAATCCGTTTAATGTTCATTATAATGTTAGTAGCTACTTTACGAGGACTGTAATTTAGAACAATAAATGTAATACAACTTCCAAGCAATAAAGCATAAGACGAAGTATAGACACAAATTTCATATTTTATTTATTCAAATTGTTTTATTTATTATCGGATATCCATATAAAAATAATTATATACTTAAAAATATATGAATTAAAAATCGATTATAAAACTATTTCGGTTTCAACGAAAGAATTTGAAAATGAGCAAAACCTTTATAAAACATATTTTAAATGTCTAATTTAAGCCTCTCACACTTTTAAAACTATTTGCAAAATAGTGCAGTAATAAAAACTGATCGACGGGATTGTGCAGAGAAAATAATTAAGTCAAGACTCAAATCTACAAAATTAGTACCGCCAGACAATTCACAAGATACACTTTATAATCACAAAACTACAACAATTACCTATTTTCATTGTTTGATAACCTCCATGGTTGCGTTCCAAAACTTCTCAACATAATTGTCATCCCTAGCAACCCTAGACGGTTTCCTCTCCTTGCACTCAACATAGTAACCACCAGTTTTCCCTATTAAATCTGGAGACACACATAAGTGGATGCATGTTTGAGCGCCTTCTTCCGACGTCTTGAACAAGAGCCTGATGGAAGTCAGAATCGCTATCCTCTGTATTGTACTGAAGGATTTATATATATCTGTATACACTAAACCTGGATGCACGGAATTTATTGTCACTCCATCTGGTAATCTCTTTGATAGCGCCTTCATCCATAGAACATTGCACAGCTTACTGTTAGAATAGCGCTGATAATACGAATGTATATCCCTCGATTCCAAGTTATTTAAATTAATTCTTCCATCATGGTGAATTGATGACGTGAGAACTACTATTCGGCTTGGCTGTGATGCCTTTAATTTACCGAGGAGGAGGTTGGTCAACAACGCCGGACCGAAAAAGTTGACTTGCATTAACATATCGATTCCATCTTCAGTCAGGCGATAGTTCAAACCACTAACACCAGCGTTGTTCACTAGTACATGCAACTCCTCTTCTTTATTAAATTCTTCAGCGAATTTGTGAATGCTTTTGAATTTCGCGAGATCTAGATGTCTGTACTCGACGGCTGTGTTACCAGTTGAATTTACAATGTCAGTAACAGCTTCAGCTGACTTTTGTGTATCTCTGCTTGCGATGATTACTCTAGCACCACGTTTAGCTAAGTCCCTAGCTATTTCTAATCCTATTCCTGAGTTTCCACCGGTTACCAGGGCAACCTTTCCATCTAGCCTCGCAGTGCATCGACATTTCGCTTTCACTGGCTGGATCCAATATCGAATTCCGATTAAAAAGAAAACGAAGGGGAGTATAAGATAAATTGCAGTCTTTAATAGACCGAAGATTACATGTATGAACGGCAACATATTAACGTTGTGATGTCCATTCGTTCAGGACATAGTTTATATTTGATTGGACGATGTAAATATTGGAACGGTACGAAATTTACTTTGTATATTTAGCTAGGTGCGATGCGTCGTTTGATGAGCCATAATCACGTTGGCAAATAAGGTTTGTTGACAGCAGCTTCCTTGTTATTTTCAAGGTCTTGAAGGTTATTGAGATTAGAAGATTAGTGTAAAAACAAATTTAAGGATAAGTACGTCTTCGATTGAAGATGTAATGACTGTACACAAATATGTAGGGCGTCCATGCGTGGTCTCTATATCACACGGATACATTGTGATGCCCTGAACTTCGTTTTTTTTACCTGTGTTTTTACTATGTACTGCATAAAAGCAGTATGCTTTAACTGAAATGTCAAATATAATATCTAGTCAAATACTGTCTATAGTTTACGCGAGTAGTACACATTTAAATAAAACACTCTAATGGTTTAAAACGCGATATATTAGTTTAACTTATTTGAAAATTATTTTTAACTTCGGCCCGACGTTTCGGATGCTTTGCAGCAGCCTGGCCAGCATGCTTTGGTATGGCGAAACTGTCGGGGTCCTTACAGAATCCTGTAAGAACCCGGCCAGTTTCACCAAATACCAACTTCGACGGAACAGATGGCGCTAGCGTAGCAATTTTTTACCTTGACGTCAGAGACATCCTCCATCTTTAGTCTCCCCGTGACCACGGCTGCTGCAAAGCATCCGAAACGTCGGGCCGAAGTTAAAAATCATTTTCAAATAAGTTTAACTAATATATCGCGTTTTAATCCGTTAAAGTGTTTTATTTAAATAATATCTAGTCCTTTTAAAAAATACATTTCTTACCTGCATGACAGTGTATAGCAACTCTTCCTTCTTGCAACGCAAAAGACAATACCTTGGCCATGTCTAGAAGACCACTAAGGCTGGCTTCTCCATAGTCGGGCCACGAGAAGTTGTAGTAGTATACTGGGAAGAAAAAACAAAATCTATTTAATAAAACACTTTTGACGGTTTAATACGTGAAATGTATATAACTAAATTATATTTTTTCAACTACGGTAACTAAACAGTCTTTGAGTTTTATCCGTTAAAAGTGGTTTATTTAAACATGAACTACTAGCTTAAAATACAAACAGTACTTAACAAAATGTGTATTATATTAGCACAGAAGCGACATAAGATACTTTATATATAACACAGCTAGATTTATGAGCTTTTTCTGAAATAAATTCAGTTCAACGTTTCTGTCTTTTATCGTGTTTACAACTGAAAAGTATTAAGTAACTCTTAATTAGTAGATAAATCGACTGTATTTATCATAATCGTAAATCATTTTACGTGTACATATAATTATCATACATCGCATCACATAGCATCGCGTGAGGTATTAGATGTCCTGAGTTCGAACCCCGGCGAAACAAAAGTTTGTTTCGGTCGGACAGGGCACTGTAATACCGAACAGTGAAACGGACACAGAAATGTGTTCGCCCTAAGCTTCAAGGTGGGAAACGAGATTTAACTTTTAAACCTAGAAGACGACACCGTTATTATAGGAAAATTATTTAAAATATAAATAAATACAACTTACTATCATTAGCCATGAATATTTCAGGATCGTAAGTGAAGCCAGATTTGGTGAGAGGAGGACCACAGCTCGCGTGTTCTCCAGGCATCTGAAGATTGATTACAGTTCGAATTCCCCAGCTGAAAGCAATCAAAATTTTGTACGAGACAATAATATAATATTCATTACTAGCTGTGCCGGCGACTTTGTCCGCGTAGAATAGTTAATTTGGGCATAAAAATTTGTTTTTGCAACCTCCACATTATCTTTACCAATTATAGCTGTTACGCACGACGTTGGTCGGTAGAAAGGTTATTCTTTAACTGTTTTCGCAGCCCCCCAAACCCCCCCAAAACCCCTGAAAAATTTTTTCCCTGTTTTTTTGGCCCACAACTCTTCAGCTCTCTAATATTAGAATAGATTCATTATCTGTAGATGCTAATTCGTGTATATACTTATATGAATTTAATATTCATTTTATTTGTAATAAAATATGACACGGGTGGGATCTGAGCCGTTGGTCTGTTGTTTTACCAAAAAAATTCAAACCTATGGAATTGCTGTATGATGTTTCTGGCTGCTATGCTGGTTGTACTAGGGCGAGCCATCGCCAAGATGTCTTCTGTGACCCTGAAAACACATACAGCAAAGGAGTCAAGGCTACAAATAACCACATAATAGTTTCCACATATTAGTTTCACAGTAATGTTATCATGTTAAACGAATTGTTCAGTAAATGTTTAAAACGTCGGTTAAAATAAATTAAAAAGAACGATTAAAAGATTCATCGGCACGAAGTCTTCCGCGGGGGTTATTTGTATTATAAATTGACTAATAAAAAAATACAACTCGGGCAGGACTTGAACCGACATTCATTGCTCTTTGATTTTTCAATTTATAGTCGATTTTTCATTTATATAGTGATTACAAACTGATTTGTATTGTTCAGAACTTTTTGTCTAGACGGGATCTAATGATGAAGACGAGGGACATTTTTTTATTAAAAGTATGTTACAGTAATTCAGAATTTGCAAGTAAAATATGAAAATAAGTAACTTAGTAAATAATACTAATTATAGTGTGCATTTATCATATTTTCAAATAGAATTTCTGTGAGTAAGAATTTTGCGTGACTTCCTCCTTTTCGTATACTTAATTCTCATTGTAATAATGCCCCGCCATATATTTCTATTGTGAAAATAATTAAGGCTTTGTAGCACTGCAGTCTAATTATATACTTAGAATGACGGTCTTGATTTTCGTAATAAACTGTAACATTTTTCACATGTTATTGCACATGTTGGCATTATATAAATTAAAATCGATTATAAATTTAAAAAAAAAACAATGACGTGTAAGGCTCGGTAGCTCAATTAGTTAGCGCTATAAAATAAAAAAGTTTAACTAAAATATATCGCGTTTTAAACCGTTAAAGTGTTTTATTTAAATAGTTAGCGCTGCCCGAGTCGTAATTTTTTTTCAATTTATTTTAAATTTACAACGTAAACAAATGTTTTTTTTTTGCATTTGAAAAGCCAGATATCAAAACTAAAACTCGAATTTACATTTCACGGTTCTTCCATTCGTGACCCGGACAAAATTCTATTTTCTTACCACCCGAATCCCGTCCCGACAGCGACTCTCATATTTTAAAGGTAAAAAAAAAGACTCCACAATCGTAACTCTGTAATAAATTCATCGCGTCCTTGGTTCGATTTCCGAGAAAACAATATCTCAATATGACTATATTGAACTTGTTTGTCACTCACCAATCTGAATACAGTCCCTGTATAGCAGACGACCGTTGTAAGGGCTGTTCATACTTGCAGCGCGAGCCACCGCAGAATAAAGCACATTGGAGTCCAGCTGGCGTTTTCGTTCGCACTAGTTCGCCGAACGCACTGTACTGAGCTGATGGTGGACGGTTGATTCGCCGACGAGCGTCACGTCTGAAATGATTTTATAATAACTGTTGTGGTTTGGTAAAGGTTAGATTCTTTTTTAATTTGCAAACCCTTCTTTATAAAATAAAGTTGTTACCCACGATTCTGGTCGCGTCCCTTCCCGTCGTTGTTGCAAGTTAATCTTAAAAGAAAGACATACATATAGCGTCGAGGGCTTTTTTTTTAGATCATTTAGAGAGAAATTATTCCTTCCTATATATTATTTGGAAATCTTGAACCGTTTTTGCGCTGCCTCGGTAACTGATAAATAATTTTCCCAAAATTTTTCACATTTCCTGCTGTATTAGTCACAATGCGATGTTTTATAGCTTCCACGATAAATGCTCCTTAAAATCTAACAAAACCTGATGAAAGTTAAACACAGACTAAAATTAAGCTTATAAAATGAGAATACAATCAGATTTCACACTATTATCTGTAATGAAAAAAAACCCGGCAACCAATTGAAGTTTTATCCCTCAATATAACTTTAATAACATACACACATCCGCCTAAATTAATATACTTTACAAGATCAGTAAACTAAGTATTTAATTTTGTAACCACAAAAACAAAAGGCCTTATTTTGCAGGCTTGAACAGACTTGGCAGGACTTGAACCGGCATCGTCAGCGTTCCGTGCTATTGCTCTACCAATTGAGCTACCGAGTCCGAAAGCAACAGCACGGAACGCTGACGATGCCGGTTCAAGTCCTACTCGAGTCGTAATTTCTTAAAATTTATTTTCGATTTTTAATTAGTGCCTAGTAAAAATAAATAATAAAGTTTTCAAAAGTTGTCATTTATATTTCCCAAAATGTGGCCGTTAATTTTCGTTCGTGACACTGTTAAAATATATTAAACAACATTCAATATTTATTTAATAAATGTGCATTAAATCTGTAATTTTGTGTATAATTAACAGGCAACCCTATGGCATGTCAAACACTAAAGGTAGCTTTCAAATAAGTAATAATGGCGTTCTAATGACCTCATCACGTGTGAATTATCGACAAATCTCGGAAGCGAGTTAATATTTAACATGCTTAATACCCATAATATATATCATTTTGTTTATAAAAAAAATATGGGTATTATGTGCCATCGCATTTTGTTTTTCAAGAGTTATAAAGTAACTGGGTAACTTAATTACTTAGATACTATATGACTGCGCTAACAGTGTAAGTACTTGTGTAGGTAAGTATGTTGCTGTTGTATTGGAAAATATTTCATTTTACATTTTACGAAAACTCACTTTAGCGCCTAGAGGCGCTAAATATTTTCTAAAGATGGGGTTTAATCGTGATGGCGAAACCATTTCTTAATCACGACAACAAAACAAATCGAAAACCATATACCATTGAACATTACAAAGCTTGGGATCACAATTGCTTTATATGCATTTGAAAAGGTTTATTTAAGAAAAACATAAATTAATAATTGTTGAATACTGTCTATAGTTTACGTAGTTAGTACACATTTAAATAAAACACTTTAACGGTTTAAAACGCGATATATTAGTTAAACTTATTTGAAAATTATTTTTAACTTCGCCCGACGTTTCGCATGCTTTTCATCAGCCGTGGTCACGGGGGGTCAGTCTCCCCTTCTCAAATAAGTTTAACTAATATATCGCGTTTTAAACCGTTAAAGTGTTTTATTAAAATTATAATTGTTGTTTTTTTTTATATTACAAATTTACATCTATGTCAACCATTTAGACGTTCAATTATTACTATAAAGATCTATTCGTAAATTCGTAATCCCTCCCTCTTCTGTCAACGTCTTTTCAACCCCTCCACCCCCCAAATTAAGTTTAATGCTGGAACGCCGTCTTACTAGGGTGCATGTTATATTATTATCGTCATGAAATACCAAGGACTCAACCTTTACACGAAATTACTTTCGTGAGCCTAAAAATAATTCCTTTGACCCATTTCTGGCGCCTTATTTACACACCCTATTCATAAAATCATAAATTATAAAGCTGTGTACACGAAACGAATGTCCTCTATTATTTATGGCGTATGTTTACCTTGTTCTAGGTGTTTGTTAGTTTCATTTGTTGTAGATTGACGTGGCCAAATAACTGTTATTAATGAATTTTTTTTTGGAAATCTTTCAGGCTGAAAATGTACTTTTAGAAATATCTGTATAGTCACAACGAACATACATTTATATTGTATTGTAAAATTCTAAATTCACAGAGTAAACCTGAAGTTCCGACTTTCGATCTTTCTACCACTCGTGTCATCTACGGGTTCTAAATGTCTGGTGTAAAGGTGTTTTTTAGAAAAGCAAAAAACTGGGCAGCCGTGACCCGTTAATTAGCCATACTTAGGACCATCGAGGTCTTGAAAATTAAAAAATAAAAGACCTCTCGCGCCTCACCCAATTTTTATCCATTAGGCTAATTATATATAATAAAGCTGAATAGGTTATTTGTTTGTTTAAACGCGCTAATCACAGGAACTATTGGTTCGAACTGAAAAATTATTTTGTGTAGGTAGCTGTGACTAATAAGAGCGGAGAAACAGGGGGGGAAAATGTGGGAAAACCGGTAAAGCATATCATCCAGTGGGGGGGTTGCGATGCGTACGCCGCAAACACGTTCTAGATACCCAAACAGTATGTAAGGAAAAAAAAAAAAATATTCGCAACACAATAGCCGATCTTTTAAGAACTACTTCCAAAAACGACAGGACGCGACCGACGTTGCGGGTAACAGCTTAAAATTTATAAAGATGAAAATGATGTTTAAATAAAACACTTTAACGGTTTAAAACGCGATATATTAGTTAAACTTCTTTGGAAATTATTTTTAACTTCGGCCCGACGTTTCGTATGCTTTTCAGCAGCCGTGGTCACGGGGGGAATCACAATCATTTCCAAATAAGTTTAACTAATATATCGCGTTTTAAACCGTTAAAGTGTTTTATTTAAATGTGTACTACTCGCGTAAACTATAGACAGTATGAAAATGATGGTTTGTAAAAACAAATTTGGTTGCCCAAAATAACTATTCTACGTGGACTAAGTCGCTGACACAACTAGTATTTCGTAAATAAAATAGCTCTAGTATATATATATACTATCTACATTTCTGTCAGTTTTTTGGAATGCCCTTTCCCGATAGAAACATTGAATAATTAAAGCAAGTGCGTGATGTGATCATAATCTTTGGTCGTTCAATTAATTACTATTCTTGTTATTCGGTTACTGAATTAATAATACGCAATTGAATTATGTATTTTTAATTTGTGTTTAACGCTAAGTATTTTTTTACCCAGAATTAGCAGTATACAAATAAATAAAAATTGAGTCAAATGGACAGGAGTATCAAGACCACGTGTCTTTTCTTTAGGAGAGTTTTGTCCATGGACACGCTATTTGCTAATAAAAAACCCAAGCCAAGTATGTATTTTGTAATAATTATATAAAGTTTCAGCATAAGTTATAACATTTAGGTAGAAATAAAAATGATTGTAATTTAACTGGATAACAACGGTATTATATTTTTCATTTTATATGTAAAAACGTTATCTTACAAAGAAGGTGAGCCAATAGTGTAATGAATTGCAAGATATACAATATATAAATGAACAACACGGTTTAGTTGTAATTTTCGTCATTGAGCTTTGAAAAAACGTGACGTTTTTTTTACAAGCTGATTATTATTAAACTCTCTTACCTGTTTCGTCCGTTATTGCAGTCAGGATCAACCTTTCGTCTCCTGCGCCGACAGAAACGCGCAATATGTCCGCAACCTAACCTCTCCCACAATGGCCGCGCATCCTCTTCCGGTATGTCGATGCTTCCGTTCATTTTGTAATGTTTTAAATTTAGAATTATTTTATTCTTTTTAAACGTTCGATTTTTAAATATCTCTATATATTTTGGATTCGGCGGTGCCTGGAAGCTAAGGGGCCGCCATATTCTATTGCTTATGCCTTTATTTTTTTTAATAAATGTTATTTTGTTTATTAAACATGATTACGATTTGGTTGAATGACTTTCTTGTTGCATATACATTTTATATTTGTCTCCTTGTGTATAAGTCTTGATAAAAACTATCGGTTGGCCATAAAAAATCGTATATACGAATCGAGAATACGCTACTATGCAAAAAAATCATCTTGTAAAGTAAAATACGCTGTAAAACTGCAATCGTATCAAATGCACTCACGTTATTATTATCGATTTTCATTGAATTATTTATGATACCGGCTAATCTATGTTTGCTGAACAAAAGGTCGCCTAATTATACCATTTTATAACGGAAAAACGTTCGAAGACAATCTGTGTAATTAAATAGTATCGTAACTACGGAAGTGTTTAGTTGAATACGTTACAACTTAAATATTCTGTCAGCGTATACATATTTTGCATATACACGAATCGCCTAATATAAAATAGTTTGCTCTGTGAATTTGTCTAATCGTGTGTTCATGAACACATTTCCAGTTTTTATCATGGATTATCTAGATTCTAGGATAGCCTGTGTTTGACCACCACAAATTCTTCTTGACATTTATTTTCCGGATATGAAACTTTGCAATGTATTTTTCGTTATAGAGATTCTTCTTAGAATGGCTTGTGAATTGTTGTATTTCGTTTTACATTTTTGATAGACACTGAATTTAATAATTAATTTCACTACGCGAGTTTTACATATAAAATAAAATATCTTTTGCCTAATTAAAAAGTATATAATTTAACAAAGATTGTAAATTAAAAGCATTGAGTACGTTAACATGTAAAATAAATAATGTGACAAACATTTTAAACTGTTTCAAACTAGAAGGAATTTGATAAAAAAAATATATTTGATCAATATATGTTCCTTCATAACCACTGTTGCTGCAAAGCATCCAAATAGTCGAATTGTAACAAAAAATTGATATATTATGCGTTTAAAACCGTTAACAGTGTTTTCTGTTTTTGTTTTATATATAAAAAATGGAACAATATTTTCCTTTTTATAAGTACCAATTATTTCATGTTATCCCTACTATAGCTACTTATCGTTTTTTATTTGAACACTTTACCGCGGTTTGTATGATTTTTAGCGCCTGCAATCTTTGCCACGGCAAACCGGGGACTGATGGCTGTTGCTAGCGAGTTATCGACTACACAAGGGAGGTATGCGTGCCCAGTGACATTTAACTATATTTCTGATTTCGTGTAAACGTGTTCACGTCTTCACTAATTAGAGGGAAGTAGTGGGTAACTTCTTATGGACGGTACTGCAAACATTTCAGACCAGATTTTTATAAGATATCTAAGAGTACTAACACAGTAACCGGTAAAGTTTAATTAAAATGGTTTAAAACACGGAATAGATAAGTTAACTTTTTAAATTTAATTTAACTATAATCCATTCCCTGTGATAGTGTGATCACGAATGTTGCAAAACATCCGAAACGTCAGGTCGTCGTTAAAATAAATTGTAAATAAGTTTAAATTATTTTCGCTTTTTAAAGCATTATAAAGATTTTATTTAAATGTGTTCTTGCGAAAACTAAAGACAATATTTAGTATTTAAGAATTTCATTCTACGTGCTCGTTGGTCTAGTAGTAATTGAATTTTTGAATTTTTTTGAAACATGTTGAACTTCGTGGAAATCTGAATATTAAATTGGTGGTAGGAATATAGAAATCCCGTCCGGCTTACGAACCGCCGTACATAGATGAAAAAGCCGTAAAGCTTAGTTGCGTTTCGGTTTATTGGATCTTTGGATATTCGGCAGTTTATAGATTTCCTAATATCCAAAGCCAAAAATTGATCGGCAGCGCATCTTGTTTAGATGCTATAGACTAGGTTATATCACCTACCATCCCAACCCCATACTCGTCTGACCTCCTCTATCATAAAAAATTTGCTTCTCTAAGATAACAAAAGGCCTTCTTAAACAGATTAATTAAAGGCAGCTTTTAATCATAAAATATATTTTATTACAAATAAATTACAAATGAGTATAACAGTAGTCTATTCAGGGTCTGGAGTACAAGATGTCATTCCGTGAAGAATAATTTTAAGATAAAATTAAGCTCTCATACATTTCATTCTTTTGGTGGCAGGGTCCAGTTTGCATTTCTCGAAGGGGCTGCACTTCTGATTGTTGCAGTACACACCGGCGCCGCCAGCTGAAAGCGGACGAAATTAATTGGAAGAAGCTTGTAATTTATTGAATTACTAGCTTTGTCCGTAAAGAAAATTTTGGGCATCAATAGTTGTTTTTTTCAAACCTTCGGATCAACTCTATAAATTTATTTTTTTAAGGAAATAAAGTATATTTTATTTTATTTCGGTATTTTAAACTGTTTTCACAACGTGTGCGACGGAAACCCACAAGGATGAATAATTTTCCCCGTTTTTTCACGTTTCCCGCTGTCTCTTTCGCGCCATAAACGTAGCGCGATTTTTTAAAGCCTTCCTCTAACCAACGCAAAAATCATTTCTCAATTTAAACCAGTAGTTCCTGAGATTAGCGCGTTCACACAAACAAACAAACAAATTCTCTCAAATTGATGGCAGGTGAAATACCCCATCTATAAAAGATCTTCATGAGTTCATTCAAAGTGAAAATGCGTTATCGACCTATTTTGGCCTGTAGATATACGAAAATCCACAAACTGAAACCGAGCCATGATTTAACTTCTGTGGACAGTGATGAATTTCACACACACACAAACGAAGTGAAACATTTTCATCACCTTTCCGCATTGTATGTAACCTGTGTGCATGGATGCTAATAAGGGAATCAATAAGGGAGTAGGCGATACTTACACTGTGAATACTTATCATTATTCCCTCCCCCAACAGCTGCTAAGTCGACACAGGACTTGGCATTGCAGCTGTTTGGGCAGCAAGCCTTGCCATGACTGCAGTCGTAGTTGTCATGGCATTTCGGACTGCAGCTGTACACTTTTGATGGCAGTGGACAATTGGCGGCTGGAATTGGAATTGATCTTTAAATATTAAAATGAAATGGTGTCAAAGCATGTAACTAAGATCAACCAATTGTTGGTTCATGTGAGTGAAGACAGGAGGATTACGGCGGGAATGTGTATCTAGTACTCACCCAAACAGACCAAAGGTAAAACTGGTTTTATCCTATTTAGTTTGTTTTATAGTCATTTTATTATTTATTATTCTTATATTATTTACTTACGTCCAGCTTCGGTGTAGGCAGCGATGAATACCACAGCAAAAATCGTCACAATTCCGAGGAATCCTAAAACAAAATTAAAACACCTTGAAACGGGGGTAAAAATCTGTAATAATTAAATTGCTAGGCTATTTGTTCAAGTCTTTGCTTTTAAACAAAAATAATCAGTTTATCACGCCCTCTTGTGGCAAATAGGATGGGTTACACTTATATATATGTAACTTTAGAACATAGTTTTTCAATAAGACCAAATTCTATTGTTTATCCATTTGGTGTAGTTTCGATTTCGTAAAAAATAGTCCTTGACGTCTTACATCGCTTGATAGTTAAATTAAAAGCATTTGCCCGCACACTGTTATTAATTTATTGTTTATGTATAACAATATTTCACCATTAAAATAACAGATATCGCTCATTAGTCTTGGAGGTCATGCGTTCGCCGCGCCAGTTATTTTAAAACTAATTACTTAAGTAAGATGCAGATTATATAGAATCTATCATATATCTCTTTATAAGGAGACAAACGAAATTCCTTTAAACATTTTTAACTCTTACGGTAACTTAATACGAGAGTACCTATACTTATTATTATAAGTATTGTTACGTTCTATTTATAAGTCAACAAACAGCCAAGCAATTTTTTTTGTGTGTTCCAATGTAGCGCCAAAACATCTGGACAAATATTAGTCAACGTATATATAGGTGTTAGGTAGGTAGGTTTCATTAATTTGCAAGAAAGGAAATGGTTTTATTGTAAAATCGTACGAGAACCATATTATAGGTATCAACCTTCTTCTATGTATGTACGTAGGCAAAACATGTATATATTTTCTGAGTTGATTTGTAGTCGGTTCGATTCCCGTTAGTTGTAAAACAGTTTTAGATTTTTCTCAGCATATTGATATCAGGGAAATCAAATTTTATATTAGTGTAAGTTATATTGCTATTTGCGATTTAGTCTATGGATTTGTGTTAGTCATATAAGTCATATATTTGAGCAAATAATAAGTGTAATAAACAATCTACTGATTAGTCAGTGTTGTGAGTTTCTCGATTCATTCAAATGAGGTTTCCTTATTAAAATAAATTTCCCCTTTTCCTTAGTCATGAAGATGACTAAATGATTACGGTAGACTGAAAGCCTACGAGTCATCGATAAACATTACACCTATAATATTTATTTCCTAAAAAGTAATTTTTTTGAAATCGTAATTACCCACGAGGTTTATATTGCACTAAAATACTTTGAGACACTGGATTATATATTAAACCAGTAAAACTGACTAAAATTCACTTAGTAATTTCACGCTAAACAAATAGAAAACCTAAAAATAAATGCACTTATTTATTTATTTATTTCACACTTAGGTACACCAAACAGAACATATAGACTATGCAATTTAAAACTATAGAGTGTACCGGCCAGCCTTATCGCTATAAGCGATCTCTTCCAGGCAACCCGAGTAACAAGAGACTTAACGATCAATTAAAAACTATACAGTGTGCAAGAAGTGCGAAACTCACTAATTACTTAAATGGACAGATTAAAATTTCTAATGTTTGTCTTTTACATAGGGATGGGGATGTAAGGAAACACAACGATAATATATAGGAAAAAGTTTCAATTATGCACAATCGCTTCAAATGAACCGTCGGGTTAAATAAAGAAGCTAAAGAAAAACGCCGCCATATAATTGAATTAAAATATTGAGGTAGTTTGCACTATATATAATCGAAAATCCTTTATCCCTGTGTTATCTGTGGCGACAATATCACTCTATTAAACGTCACTAGATCTCTATGGTGTGATAATCATGGCCGATAATGTTTGTTTTTTACAATTTATAAATTACATGTATTTGATTAAAAGTTTCCTATATATTTTAACATGTCAAACATTGATTGGTAGAACAAAAATCTCTCCAGTTTAGGTGTTCGAAGAAGCGATTTTCAGCTTATCAATGCATAACCTTCAAGCCAATTTAACACACATTAAACCCAATGCGCCAGTAATGTGACAAATAATTGAATAATATGCTTAACGAAGTTGATCCTGAACTATCCAGTATTATTTATAACTCACAATCGCTCCCAACTGCTTGCTGTTCCAGCTGTTCTTGACTCTAATATTTCCATTTTTTTACGAATAAGTCTAGATTTCTAAAATTGTATCTCGCATATAATTTACTAGAATATTTCGCTGCGCCCGGTCTGAATTAAACCCATCGTCCGTTGATTAAGTTGGTCGTTTTACAATATAATCCCATCGGTATATTTGGTATTTGAAAAGACGGTTGTCCAACTCCAACTGTCTATTCAAAGAAAATTTACTACATATATGAAGAAAAAACATCTTCTATTGATAGAAAGACAGGCTTGTTGGTATAGTAATATATGCCTAATAATCAAAATGTTTCTTATCAACTTTAATTTTCTTCTAATATATGACTCTTGGTGCTCCTAAAATCGAAAATCCGTCCAGGAAACAAAGCACCGCAGTATAGGGATTTCGGATTATACAAAGTCGGCAGTGCGTCTTCTTGAGTAGTTATAATACTCGGGTATTTCATCTTTACTTAAGTGAGCCCTATACTTGTCTGTTTCCCTCTATCATAAAAAACGCATAAACATTATTAATATGTTTATGTCTTTACTCAAAAATAACTTAGCAAGCGTCCAAGCAAATCTCGATTACCTATTACGTGTAGGTAATAAAACCTTTTCCTTTTAAAGTCTCATCGACTCGTCTCATTATAAATATTGTCATCATTCATTCTCAGTGCTTTTAATTAGAAACGCGGTAATACTCATCTCGGTAAATAGTTTAAAAGCATTGTCAATACCTTAAGTTTATTCGAGAATATAAAAATTGTTATACACAAATCAATGTTTGTCTGTTTCACCGTTATAAACTAAGCAAATGATCAACTTGATTTTTGACATAAGTACTTAATTAAGCACTAAGTTCCCAAAGCAGATAAATAGGAATACTTTCACGTATTTTTAAATGAAAAATGTTGGTTACTTTGAAAGCAAAGCTAAATGAAAAACTTTATTTAAAGTAAGATTTTTGAATTTTACTTTTTCTGTTTCAATGGTACTTTTAATGTTTTATACCATTCCCAAAATAGAACTCCTAAAATGCATAACAGGAAAAATCAGTAATGAAAATTAAACAACATTTTCCCATTGGTCTATGATACGATTAAATTATAGAAAAAGCTAAAAATCTTTTAAGATTACAATACTTTTTACGATCCAATATTTATGAGCAGATATTTAAGATTTAAAAACTAACCTCGGCCTCGATTTCACAGTAAGGACGATGAATCGAACGAGGAGCAAAATTGCCTAAAGGAAATACAAAAAACCCTAGAACCTAGCAACGAGATAGTATTAAAATTATGATATAAATGTAATAATTTAATAATATTAATTTAGTATCTATGCTATTTTAATTATCTGTCAAATATTCCTACCAACTCCATTGAAATTCATCTAGCCCTTATCAAATTATTAAACATACAAGTTTGTCCCCTCCCCTTACCCTCCCAAAAATAAATCTATAGACTTACCCATTGTTTCGCGAAATTAAATCCAACAAGCGCGGTATTTGAGTGTTGTATAAATACTAACGCAACAGGTGTGTGCTAGAAGGAAACTGGTATTGTGGTCTTTCATTTGCGTATAATATATGTGTTAGTGCTTACGTTGTGTAATGGTATTACTAATGTTTTCTCTCGTGTTTTTCTCGATTTTAAAATAAACAAATACAACAATGAAAAAAATTAAAAAAAACATTAATTACCTTGTACTATAATAGCATGTTTTGATTAATACATATTCTTAACATTCTATTTAGGGTCTATTTTTTCAAAAAAGTCGTCATTAAATAGGTAAAAAACATTTTAAACTTTTTTATTAAAACATTTTAGTAAGGGATTGAACTTGCAGCCTTAGCTTCCCTTTCTCAAACTTTCGTAAATATTGTTAACAAGGATTTCATTAAACGTAACGTTAGTTTTATCATGTCTGATGAGTGAAATTGAAGTCAAACTTTTTCCACAGATTTAAATCGAGACTTATAAAATGTCATTCAAATTAAGGAAAACCATTCGTACGGGAATTTGTGACTCAGTCAATGTCCTTAACCCTAACGACTGTGCTAAAATGATAAATGTATTGTAGGTTAATATTCTGTGATGCATTTAAGGATAAAATGACCTCAATCACTCTTTATCTGTTAAATATTATTATAGAAAACCCATCTTATAATAACCATTCCATAAAAAGGCTTTCTATTATAAATATATATTGCGTTATGACCATAAAAGTGTGAATGGATGTCTTTCTTTACTATATTTAGAAGGTTTAGCTGCGGTTTTTACGTAAGCAGTAAAATGAATTAACGAAACTTTCCTTCATTCAAAATTATTCCGTCATACAATGCTAAATTGATTCAACTGCCATCTAGTGTACAGTAGTTAAAGTTGCAACTGCCTTTGCCATATTGGTTATAGACAATATTATAGTAATTTAATGTAAACTGCTTTATATTATTCCGTTTTTGGTGTTAAGAATATTTTGATTAATAAATAATCCCATAATTTGTACAATAATTATCACCGTTTCAGTCTCTGTTACGCGTCGTTCAAAATTGTCTATGACATGTTTCTATAACCTATGACCGAACACGCCCTCTGTCCAGGCCAAACAGAAGCTAAATTCAAAAATTTCAGTTTGTTGTTGTGTCAAATTGAAATTGATATTGTAACGGGCGGATTTGGAAATATCCCTGTAATTGTTTATTTTCTGCGAAATGTTTTAATTCATTTATTGCAAAGCTGTTTAAAGTTATGCTTCTAGTCTGTTCTGTGTGATTAGATGACAAATATTTAACTATGGATCCATTCACTCAGGTAGGTTTCGATTCCGCTGCTAACGATTCCATACGCAACCTTGAAGAAATATTAACGAATTACTTATTCCAGCGTATGTTAGAACGAGCGCGTGCTAGACAAGAGAAAATTGACCAAAAGCTAGCTAATTCCGGCCAAGCTGTTCCCAAAAGAAAGCCACTAGCTGAAAACTTATTAAAAAGTACTTCGCCAGTAAAATCCCCAGTCAAACCGGCCAGAGAGTCCATAACATCACCAAGGAAATCCATTAAAGAACCAAATTGCAATACGCCGGTAATAAAAAGAGTTATAGAAAAATCAGACAGGAAAGCATCGCCTCAGAAACCACGAAATGACGTTGTAGTTACGAAAAAGGAGTTCAAGAGTCCTAAAAGTAGTCTGACGCGGAGAAACTCTGATGTCTCTGTGGAGATTAACATATCGCATAGAAATGACATCCAGATAGAAGTTCAAGTTGAGGAACGGGATGCTCCTATCAGCATCATTTACGATTCAGGATTGGGAGGAAATAATGTGGAGATAAAAGAAATTGAAGGTATGGCCTTTATCACTATTACTTACACTACTATATATGATTATTTGTATCTTATAATGTTTTTACATTCACCATTACATATACAACAATAAATAAGATTTTTAACCACAGCCTAATTTTTGGATTAAGGCTTCTTTAGTGTTATGTTAATATCTAGAAGTTTTATAAATTGAGACTAGACTATGTAAATCAGGAATTTATAGCTATAGAATCCTGGAAAAACTAGAATTTAATAAATCCCAATTGATAACACTGTAAACATATAGTTATTATTTTACAAACCACATAGGTTCATTAACACATCTCATTAGGCCCGTGTTTCTTGTAAACATTAGTCATACAGATAATATTCTTCAAATTATACTAATAAACAATTTGTAAACTATCAAATATTTGCACAGTTCTGTATTAAAGATATGTGTGTGAACTGCATTGTTTAACTAAGTTAATGCTGGCTAGTGATATATTTTAGTGCTAACTACTTTTAAATGCTAGATTTTAGAAGAAATAAGGTTCTTGTAAGTGTATTTTAGATTACATATTAACATTTCTATATTTTATCTGTGGCAGTGAATTTTGTATTTTTACAAATAAGTGTACTAGGTAAGAAAGCTAAAGAAACCTTTAACAAATTAAATGTTAGGAAGGCTTGTGTACTTTAAAATAAAGTGTTATACCTTTTTTACAATAGGCAGTTATTAAATTGCAGATAGTCCTAAGAAATTGACGACACCTTGTATCATGGGTGATAGCAAGGCAGATAAGAGTAACGTTAGAAACAATTTCAAATCAAGACTCGACAGGCTGGGAAATCTGTATTCTGGTAAGCTATACAATTGTGATATTCATAATAGAGATTGGTATTTTATAGTTTTTTTTTTAATTTTTATTATTAATGTCTCTTATATCAAATAATATAATATTTATATGAGCATGTAATATAGATGTCTGTCTGTTAACATTCTGTTAGGACTGCATCCTTAAATCAATGGTAAAACATATGAGACCTAGATTTGAAAAATAGGGAAACAAGATTGTATGTTCAAATATAGGCAACTATATACAAAATTATGTGTAATTGGGGGATGAACAGAATTTCACAATTGGATTTACTATTAAATTGTGTAGTTTGCATATAATTAACTGTTAATCTAGGTGACTTCATCTAGTAAGTAATGGACTAAGTTGAATTTCTACTAGATTTCATCACAGAGTGTATAGCATTTAAATATGTGTGAAATCCCATTTTCTCCTCATAGGGCATGGGGCTAACACATTTCTGTGTCCTTTTACTGATCCATTCTTTAACAGGCAAGTAGTTGATCATACTTCTGTGCCTTGCCCGACCAAAACAATTTTTTTGTTTCCCTGGGATTCAAACCCAGGACCTCTCGCGCTTAACGCAATGCTAGGCAATACGTTTAACCATTTGTCATTTGGTCAGCATTCAAGTATATCACATACAATTTTAGAAATAAGAAAAATTGTTCCTAATTTCAGATAAACCTGACCTCTCATCGCCCATACATAGAACTGAACTAGAGTTCACAGCTGAAACTCCACCATTGGAACCCGTAGTTAAAAGCAGTCAACCAAAATACAATGGAAAGAAAAAGTTTGGCAGATTGGCTGCACTCGCTGATGAGATTAATAATTGGGAGGATGATTTGAGCCATCATGACTTTGTATGTATTATTTATATTATATTAAACCGAACTTTCAACAAACAATGTGGCAACAAAACAATATTTTTTGAAACACAAAGAATTGGGCCTTGAAAATTTATCACATACTTAGAACATTAATCAGTAAACTTTACTTACAAATATCAATTACTTCTTCATAGAAAATCTGTGTTTACACTTAAATAGTGCTAACCAACATTTATAAATTTTTAATAAATTTATAAGGATGCTGGACTATGGAAAGGTTGGTCTTTCTCACTAAACAGGCCCTCTGTGTATTGTTTAACATGCTAGGTGTAGGCATAAAGTAAATATAGGCTTGAAAACTTTCATTAAAACATTGTCTTGCCTATGTAATTTTTCATGATTATAATACAATAAAATACTGTCTATATTTTACGCGAGTAGTACACATTTAATTATGTGTTATTCTTCACAAGCTGACATATCAATTGTAAAAGGTTTTTGAAGCAAAGCTATTTGGGTTTTCAACACAGATAATATTGTTTGGTGCATTTTCCTTATATCTCTTAAGAAATAAAGCAGAAATATTAATTCATATGTTTACTTACAGCAACCGGAACAAAAGAAGCCAACTAAAACCAGAAAACCTGAGAGAGAGGACAAGTTGGACACATCAACCCTAGATGTCTCCATACATTCCATCAAAGATATTAACACTGTGTTGAAGTCCACAAAGGCAACGGTAAATATCATGGCTTATTTCGTTGCTATTATTGTTGAAGTTTAGGGATGATTATAAAAAACTTAACGATTCAAAACGCGATATATATTGATGTGAAGCATTGGAATGTCGGTTAGTTAAAATTAGTTAACTTCATTCTCAAAAGTTAAGTGTTGTATTTAAAGTTTTGTTTTGTATGTACATATATATAGAGGTATATGTTTGTACATGCATAGGGTTTTACTTGATGGAAGGAAAGTCAAATCCACAAAATATAACCGAAATCGTTTGTGACTTGCAACCATTAGACCAATGAGCCCGACGAATATATGAATCTCATAAACTACAGACAAGTCCTTACATTAATGAGAGAAGTAACAGCGACTCTATAGTCTACGCGAGTAGTACACATTTAAATAAAACACTTTAACGGTTTAAAACGCGATATATTAGTTAAACTTATTTGAAAATGATTTTTAATTGGCCCGACGTTTTTGGATGTTTGCGGCAGCCGTGGTCACGGAGAGTTTAAATCGTTGTGTTTTATTTAAGAGTAACAGAGAATTATTGATTCTAATGCAATTAAGCAGTGGTTTTTCAAATTAGAATGTTTATTAAAGTACTGATAATTTATTTCAGCCCAGTAAAACTAAACCTAAAGCGAAGGGTTGCCAGCTAGACAGACAAATTGTTGCTGAATTGGTGAGTACTTAGAATATAAGATTTTTTTGCTTTCCAGGATTTGATTCTAATCTATTTTCAGTGGCAAAACGTTTTATGGTTGAATTTTTTTTTCATGCTATCTTTATATTTGCCTTTGCCAAAAAGACATATTTTTAGACTATTTTTTAACAACCTTTTTTTTGCAAAATTACCCTTAGGTTGTCTTAAATATATGTTTTATAGATAAATGATAAACATACTCATATTTCCGTGAGTAAAAACAAAAATAGTTTTTACTTTGAACATTGATTTTTTGTTTACTTTACTAGTATATTGTGTTGGAATTTTCGAGTAGTGATTTTTTATTTTTGACGTAGAAACAAAATATTAGCAAATAAAAACGAAAGTGATTTTAATATCAAGTATTTGCATAAGGTAAGTACAATTTCCTCTTCACTTAATGTCTTACTAACTTACATTCTTTACATAAGATAATGTTTATAGGAAATGACGTCATTAAGAAGTACTTAGCACTGATGAAATGTCACTTATAATATATAAATTACTATCAAAATATTTTACTTTATTTATTTCTTCTTCTTCGTACCTTAATTTTCTTTATACTATTCCTATCTCGCCTTGGGAATAAAATTGTCTTCCTACGATTGGCAAAATGGTGGCGGTCAAAGCACTATACTAACCATGGTGGTGGTATTTTTTATAATTAAGTTTTAAATTAAAATTAAGCTTAATTCAAAAATAAATATGTGGTATATGACGACGTTGCATCGTTTTGACAATGGTTTCGTAAGCAATGGATTGGAATTTATTTTGATGTGATATTATGATGGTTATGAGATAAGAAGCGAATGCGTTGTGAAAAACTACCTTCAATTAACTTTTGAGTTATCGTCTTTTTATTTTTTTGATAATAGAAGGGCATGTACTCTGGGTGATAAAAATTTTATCACTAGTTTTGAATTCATTAGTAAAATTTACCAAATCAAGGCTATATTTTTAATACATAGGGCGCAGTACACACAAATATGAATTACTAAGACTTGGATAAAAAATGTCTTAATCTACTTCGGGAACTCTTACGAGTAGTTAGAACATTGATCCCTTGTGATATTATGGCGTTATAGCATAGTAGTACTATTTATTTACTTATCACAGTAAAGTAACCGATTATTATTGATTTATTTACATAAAAAGACCAATAATCATAATACTATGCTTTAATACTTGTGACATGCTATTATAAAAATATGTAAATAAATTAAAAATCTATCTATATTGAAAAACAATTTCTGGCTATATCGAATACTGGTTTCTGGTTCGAATCCCGCGTGTGTCGTAATTTCGTCAACCTAGACTGAGTTTTTATTTCATACTATTTATATGGTCCTTTACTATAGTGGCCTATAACCCTGAAGTGTCGTCTTCATACTGTTTTCGGACATGGCGTTTGTGAACACGCTCTTTGTAATATTAATTCACCAAGATTCTAGAACATACGATGAATGGAGGGACATGTTATTTACAAAACAATACGAAACATATTTCTCCTCCACTAATACTAAACTCTGCTGTGATTATATTAGCTTGGAGAAACGTAACTACCCTCCAAAAAATATACCGTTCTTTATATATTAATGTATAAACAGTTATTCGTATTCTTTTTGTTTTTAAAATATTTGAGGTATTTTAACAATAAAATCCAATTATATTGCAATAGCAAATTACATCGTATGAAATTTAATTACGAATTTAAAATTTTTAATTACGGCCTGACATTTTGTTTCAAACCGTTACAATTTTTTTAAAGTATGCACTACTCCCGCAAACTACAGACAATACTACCATTTCCTAAGATAAAAAAAGACGGTCGTATTTGTGAAAATATTTTCATAGTTTTAATTATTATTTCTACCGAGATCTACTCCATTGTTTTCTCTAGCTAATCTACGATTAGAATCACACATTTGGCGACGATTTAAACATCGCTCCATCGCATACTAATCACAAAACAACTTGTTACTAGTTGCGTAGTGTATTTACATATTCTGTTATAGATTTGCATTTACTTTTGCTTTCGTCGCCACAGTAACTAACTTTCGATATATGCGATATTAGGGCGAGGCAAAATAAGTAACTATATATTTGAATATCATATACGTAAATATTCCGCGTAATTCACGGCTACTGTAAGTACAATGGGATAAGTAAACAAATCACTCGACTAAATAAATCTCTTAACAAAATTTAAAATTTTAGATTTAAAAAACAAATTACGACACGGGCACAACTTGAACCGGAATCCACGGCGTTCCGTGCTGTTAGTCTAGCTTGAGCTACAGTGTCTTAGCATCGTTAAATGTTTTTCACAGTCAAAAACTACTACAAGGCTGTTTTAACTATTAAAACTATTATATCGATCGTAGATGTGTAACACTTGTGTAAACAACTTAGGGGTTGTCCATTAATGACGTGACCTTTTTTTAGAATTTTTAAGCCCCCCCCCCCCCTTCTCAACATCACGTGTATTTTTAGTACCTACAAAGAATCTTAAAATTTTCTGAATATTATCCTAATATAATATAAATAGGTATAAACTATAATCTTATTTTATTCTGAAATTAAGGACCATAATAAAAATGTCTACACCATTTGTTTAAAAATCGCGCGTTTGACGAAAAAATAAATACACGAGATATCTCATTATACCCCCCCCTCCCCCCCTTGTGTTATTTTCGTGATTTTTATCAAACACCCCCCCCCACCTCTTCAAGCCACACGTGATTAATGGACAACCCCTTAACAATCAAGCCGTTTAAGCGTAAGATAGTACGAAACATACACCTCTATCGACTTGGACAATTATATTACTGAATGTAGCAAAATTACCGCTGTAACAACAATCGAGAATATTCAACTATGTATATATGTATTTCTTTTGACTTATACAAGAGAGATCCCCGTTATTAAAAGGTAAAAAGGTGAGCGGTATTTAGGTTTTTAAGACCACCCATAGTGACCACACGAAGTGTCGTAAAACGCGCAAGATTGGCCATTCATTGTTGCATCTTATCGCCATGGCCCATGGGCACGCATCATTTCTGTTATCGCGATACACATCTACAACAGAAACTATGTAGCTATTTGTATCGCATTCGAGGATTAGATCATCCATTTTATTGTAATGGATGTAAAACACGGAGTGACCAAACATTTTTTATGATAGAGGAAGACGGATAAGCAGAGGATCACTTGATGGTAGATGAGACAACCCAGCCATATAACACCTGAACAAGATTTCGGCTTTTGACATGCAGAAATTCTTTGTGTGAAACTTAATGCCAGATTTACAGTGGATGTTGATCTGTGGATGGTGGTTCGTGCGCGAGCCAAGCGGAATTTTTATATTACCAATAAATATCTAGATTTTCCGATCAAAGTGTTTTAGATAAAATATCAATAAAATGTGTTTAATTTTTAGAACCATTAGGAATCGAATCCACGACACATTAATGATTATTTTGTGCACTCGTCACCACGAGACCAACTAGGAAACCTATGTATGAAAGAATTATTTATCTTTAAATGATTTACGATACTATATTTACTATTTTTTAAGATTTACTTGCTTTAACTAAATTGACTATTCCACGCGGATAAAGTCGCTGGCACAACTAGTATTACATAAAAATCAAACAGTTTCGTTTTGTGTGCAATTTTTATGGTGCCTGCGCCATTATGCGCAGGAGTGCTCCCTTTTGTTTCACTTCCCGAAATATTGAGACTTTACGATCCCCCTTTAAGAACATAATGAAAGCGTCGAGTTGCCTTTGTTCCTTTATGACCCTACTTATATTTCGCCAAGTTTCCCTTTGATTTTGCATCTGTGAATGACCGTGTCTAAATTCCAATGCTGGACTCGAAATATTCATATTACGACGAAAGGATGTTGATCGTTAGTCCAATGGTATTGACGTCATATCGACGGGTCGTGGGGTCGACTCTCACTAGATCACGTATCGAAATAAATGATATTATTTTTCTGAAATATGTTGGATAATCTGGATATTAATGGTCGATAGAAATATCGATATTCCGACTGAGTCACATCACCGTCTACAAATAGAAATGTCGTAGTTGGATTTCAGTCTGTAGACTGTCCAAAGCCAAAATAGGTCGGCAGCAAATCTTGTTTAGATGTTATGGCCTTTCATCAAGTCAACCTCAACTTTGTATGTCCTCTTCAGTGATTAAAGAATGATTAGATATTTTTTTGGATCTTACTGTGCGCGATTGTACTTGGTTTAAGATCGGTTACCATGTTTTGACTTTGAAGAGAGTTAGTTGCTAAAGAAACGAACAAATGTTAAAAGGCAAATTATATTAAACACTACACAACACAGCTAGCTGCGACCAGACATTTTGGATGCATAACTACACCCTAGCTCACCTTACAGAGAAATCACATCAAATATTCTAGAAACAAGCGTTCTTTTAAACCAAACTAAACGACGGGTTCGGCAACGTGCCTTAGTTCAAATCCTGAGTGAGTGGCTAGAACTAGAAAGACAGGCAACATACAAGGATACTCAATACTCAAAATAGATAACCACAATAGTAGATTCTATTTGTATAACGCCCGCATCTCTTAACTAGTTATTTAAAGATCTAATTTATTTCAATGTAACCGTCACCCTACGCTCTCCTTATGGAAACTGTCAAAATAAATAAGTTGTGTGTAGTTTATCTACGTTGAATAGTGTACACATAGTATAATCTATACTTCTATACTAATATTATAAATGCGAAAGTAACTCTGTCTGTCTGTACGGCTTTAATTTTGAAACGACTGAACTGATTTAAATGAAATATGGTACACAGATGTTTTACAGCCTGAGAAAGGACATAGGCTACTTTTTTAATGCCAAAAACGGGTTGATAGGGGTTGAAAAAGGGGATGAAAATATATATGTAGAAATTCGTGGATTTTGAAGCTAGAACAATGAAACTTTCTTCTTTGGCTTTTTGGGAATAGGAGTGAGAGTCAGAGTGGGAGTGAGTGTAGGAGTGATGTGAGGTGAGAGTGTTGCGGCAAAGTAGCACTTACAAAATAGATTGGCTGCCTTAAATGAGTCCTTAATAATAAACCCATAAATTAAAAAACAGCCTAAATAATTAAAAATTCTACCCCAAGTCACTATTCCACGCGGACGAAGTCGCGGACACAGCTACTGTAGTATATATTTAATATAGAAAGCGTATACGCATAAATTAAAGGCTTATAACGGTTTAGAACACGAAATATATTAGTCTCCCCGTGACCACATGAATATATCGTTAGTAGATAGGTTTTACCTTATCAGTTTAATTTTCAACACGGAAGAAGAGCTTTTTAACAGAACAAATATTATCTATAGCCTTATCCCGGAATATCCCGGATAGAAAAATCATTTTCATGTCATGGTCATGAAAATGATTTATTATTACAACGTTACGATGACACGAAATGCGATTTTACAATGTTACGAAAAAAAAAACATTTTTTTTATTTTTTTTTTCTAGTCTTGTTTTGTCAGTTTACCAGAAACGTCTTAAGATCAACGTGAGCAGTTTATTGAACTAGGATTTTTTTTGCACGAGAGCCGGTCGTAATTTTTTATAAGAGCCACCGCGGGTGCAACGTACTCGGTTTTATGGTTCAATACGTCTGCTGAGTGCTGGTGGACAGTTTGTGTAACGGGACAGGTCTGTTTGGCTCAGCTGGTGTCAGGCGGCGTAGTATTTTTTCTAACTAGTCTTACTAGTATTGTATTCTGTACGTGGGAAATTTTTTACTTTAGTCAAAGTTATAATCGCTTCAGTAGTTAAATTGTTAAACTTCTTGCCGAACATTAAGCGCGAGTGATCCTGGAATCCAATCCTGGGAAAACGAGAAATTGTTTCGGTCAGACAAACGTCTTATGAAGGTATAACTCTTTTTTCATCGCAGTCTAAATCCCATCAAAATTAGTTAATCTCATAGAATGGGGCTACGTCAAAAAGATTATGTTAAGCATGTCAAATTGACGCTTCTATTATTCAATTGTTTTTGATTGTACACCAGAACGAGGTCATTGCACTTTTTTCTTATATTTATTAAAATTTAATACAATAGCTTTTTGTTTTAGGAAAAAACTATATTTTTTTTTGTTATCGTGGTTATAAAAATGGTGAACTAAACATTAATGCTTATAATATTATACCGATAATAAATCCTGTTTTCTCGGTTTGGGGGGGGCATACGTCGGTGTCTGTTTCAGTCAAAGATTTTATTTGATAGCAGTTGACCAAACTCGTATGCCCAGCCGTGTAAGTTGTCCTAAGTACCGCAACAGCTAAAACCCTAAGCGCCACAATGGTAGACAATGAAGGTGGGTATTTTAATGACCTTCGGGTTAATTTAAAATGGCATTAAACAATTTACTACACAGGTCTTGTCTCATGAATTATCAATATAATACCGAAGTAGTTAGATTGTTGTGACAGACCTGTATTAAAATTTTCGTCTTTCTTAGGAGGGACATGGGTTTCTCACGAAAGAAAAATCATGCATTTATAAAATAATTCTTTGTTGATCATAGGTGATCATGTTGTTCCTATTTCAAATTTTCTTGCAAACAATTCCAATATCTTTCTTTCCTTGTCTTATTCTCAGTGTACTAATATATCAAACCATTAAACTCATTATTAATAATTAATATAATAAAACATAATGGCCCCGATAGCCCAATAAAATACCCAAACATTAGGAATTATGAAATATGTTTACGCCCTTTGGTTCACTAACACAAATTGAAAGTGGGGCACAACTAAAATATCGCCACAGTAGCGATATTGGGAGCACCAGGTCACCAGTGACAAAGCGTCTTTGTTAATCCGGTTGCTAAATACGAACAAATAAACATTATTTGTTACAGCAGCTCGGAGTGGTAGAAACCTGTTTATACTGGTATAACATTAAATACATTCTCGATGTGCATTTTAATAAAGCACTTTAACGGTTTAAAACGCGATATATATTCGATATATAGCCTCCCCGCGACCATGGCTGCTGCTTAGCATCCGAAACCTCGGGCCGTAGTGAAAATTAAAATAATTTCCAAATAAGATTAACTAATTTTATAGCTATAGGTACAGATTGAGGTAGAATACTTTTACATTCAAGTTAATGTCGGCGCATTCTTATCTAAGTACAGGGCAGAGTTCAATGCCTTTGCCGAATCTCACGTAGCCATCAACCGCCAAAATATTCATTTGCATTCGCGACCTATCCGCATCGTAACAAGTTCCGCACATGCCCCCATCATGCGCCAGTCGTCTGCCCAACGCCACACGCGCTCGACGACTGCATCCAATGTTCCGATCCATTGTCGAATATCAACCCGCGATGCAACTACGTCACTAGCGCGCCGTCGATACGCGAAACACGTGCTCACACACGACGAACGCCGCCGTTCTCCAATCGTAGGAAGGCGAGGGGTACCGTCGCGTGTCGGCCACCCAATCGCGGCTGGTCTACGACTTCGCCCCGACGAGACCCGAACGTGACCGACAGGAGCCGACCGCCGCAACCCCCAGTGCGCATCCAGCCCCCGACATGGCCACAGCGGTGGCCGCGCCGCACGTCACTAAGAAACCCTCTATCAAGAAGTACAAGGCACCGACGCCGCCGCGCGACGACAACGCCGACAAGGATAAAGAGAATAGCGTAGTGGAACGGGAGGAAAATGACAGTCGCGCACATAAGGTCGACAAGCCGGCGAGCCCGGCTGTCAGGAGACTCGTCAACGCTGGTGATAGGAGCTCGGTGCTCTCCAAAGCGGCAATGTTCGAAGCCGGCAGCCCCAAAGCGAAGGACCCCGCTGAAATGTCTCTGAGGGAGCGCAAAGCCCTCTTCGAAAAGAACAAGGGGACGATTATTGTGCCGAAAGCGCCGTTCGGTCTGGCGCCCTCGATCAAGACTCTGCACGGCGACAAAGGTAAGTTGTGTTTACTTTTTTGTGTTGACGGTACACACACACACACACACACATAAACACAAAACACAGTGTATTAATTCAAATCAGCTGTTATGATCTCTTTAGGGAAAATACCAGACGGTAGACAAACGTATTTTGGAACAAGATGATGTAATTCTCGAATATATTGAGACTTTCATTTCTCGCTAAACAAAAATAATATGTCGTTTTTAGTGGACTTCGCGTTTAATATTATCACGTGAACTGGTAAATACGCAAAACATTTTTCCCTCACAGGTAGATCTGTTTTACAAAAAAAGGGTTACTTTGTTACCTTCATTGTAGATACAATCTCAATATTATTGCTGTCTTTGTCTACTACTAAACTACAGGCACGTAAAGTTAATTACTACGCAATACCACTAATCGCATATTAACTTGGAAGACCCAAGAAATACGAACGAGAGCAATATTTTCCTGAGTTCTTAGAATTTTCTAGAGTACATTCATTTTATTTCAATCGTTTACTGGGAAAAACGACGGGACGTAATTGTTATTCGGTTTTTGTATTCCTAGAAAAACATTTTACGATAACGCAGAAAGGGCAGTTTGTAAGTAACAGACAAATAAAAACTTATTTAAACAAATAAACACTTTTAACGGTTAAATCTGGAATATATTCATTTGCTGTTATTAAATAAGTGTTATTTTTTATTGCATTTGACTACGGGGTATCACCACGACTTGCGAAGCATTCGAGTAGTTAAATTAATTTAAAAATAACTTAACGTATATATTTCACGTTTTAAACCGTTAAAATGTTTCATTTAAATATCTCTAGTCTCAAATTGGCAGGAAGGGACCTTTACCGTATTATTCTTTTTTTTAATTCTTCATGTCTTAGTGTTGTTTTAGGCTCTCTATATTTGAACACAACTTCCATACTTCAGCGTATGTGCGTACTAGTTTTATTGAAATCCAAACCTAGTTATTGAATTCATAACGCTATATGTATTATTGTGACCTTTCGCTGCCTTATTGAGGAGATTTATTTTATTTCAAACAAAGGATAGGTACTTTGTTTAACCCGCCGTAGTAAATACGAATTAATTATCGTATTGTTATCATTCTTAAGGTTGATTGGCATTGTACGATACAATAGTGCGGGCTGGATCCTTGTACTAGAAAGGTTTTATGCTGTATTTTCACTTACTAAGCGTGGCAGTTTATCGTATCCTACTAATATTATAAACGTGAAAGTTTGTATGTGTGGATGGATGTTTGTTACTGTTCCACGCAAAAACTACTGAATGGATTTCAATTAAACTTTCCAATAATATAGCTTATATATCCGAATACCGTCCTGGTCGCGAATCACCGTTTTCAGATGAAAAAGCCGGGAAGTTCTCAGTCTGTAGATTCCCGAATACTCAAAGCACGACAGCGCATCTTCTGAAGTGTTAGTTACAGAGATAAGATTCAAAAAGAAGTTACGAAAATATGTTGCGGGACACGGCTGCGATAGCGGCGCTAAAAAGCGATTTCTTCCAGACAACTTGGAGAGATTAAAAAAATAGTTAGAATTGGGACTTTCCAATTCCTACCGCAAATACCCCAAATGCGGTATGGCCGTCACGTCGTTCACGAAGTGACTCCGCAGATTCGCGTTCGCGGAACATTTCTTATCGGTCGATCTTTAATTAAATAAGGAGAGCGGAGTTCGTTGACCCGAAAGGATCTTGTCATGTTTTTTACGAGTATAACAAAAACCACTTTAGCACTTGACTGTCCGTTAGATAATATATTATGTTTCGGCAATTACTCATACATGACGTGTAGGTAAATTCCGATATTCGTTGTGCCTGTGTACCAGTTCAATAAAACACTAATGGTTTCAAACGCGATATATAAATTAGTTAAACTTAAAATAGTTAAAATAATTTCCAAATAAGTTTACCTAATATATATCGCGTTTTAAACCGTTAAAGTGTTTTATTCAAATGTGTAATACTTGTGTGTATAAAGTAAATATAATCTCATATTTTTAAGTATATTTGAATTGACATAATACGTTGGTCTTACAATAAACAATAAAGCTAAATGAAAATAATTGTAATTTTTATATATCATTGTTATTTATATCATAAACCTGCACAATTTAAATGTTTAATTAACGAACTAACTTGTACAAAAAGTTTATCGTAATTTAAGCTTAGATCAATATTTCGTTGAGCACATACTGATTTTATCTTAAGTCGACAAAAGTCTTTATTATTCTAAGCATATAAATACATCTGTTTCCTATTTAAATAGCTTCGAAAGTGGGTTGGTCTTTCAGTATTTCATTTCGCACATCCTTTTACGGAGTTCAAAGAGTTTTTGTACGCACAACTTTCTCCTCTCTTGCTAAAATATTTACTTTTTGTTCATACGGCTTTAGATAAAACCACAAGCCTTTCCTTACATGTTAAGTTGTTTTAATGTTTTAGAAATTATTGCGGGTAGTTTTATTGAGTGCTGCGAAACATTTACGATATATTATATAATCTTATTATGATAACGATGAAAACCTTTGACAGATCACGCCTAGTAAATAAACACTATTCAGTATTAATAACAACTTTCAACAACAAGATAAATTTAATAAAAGGATACAGTAGCTCAATTCACCAGCACCAAACTCTGTAGAAGCCGATTCTAGTCCCGCCCGTGCCATATGTTTTTAAGCTATATAGGTTTTTCATTTATATTCTAAAGCGTATATTTTTTAATTGCGTCCCGAGTCAAAATAATTATTATTGTATAGAGGAAAATGTTCGTCTGTTTTGCATATTGTCCTCACAAATCTATTTAGGAGGAAACTAAATCACCTTGCCTCATTTTACGTGCTGAGTCAATTCTCTAGTGTACTAGTGAATCCCGTTACCTCCGTGCGACGAGGGCAAACACATTTTTGTGTCCGTTTCTCTAATATACCAACGGCTTAAAACATAAAAATTTAAACCATTGTGCTTTGTTCAGTATTTATCAGATAATATTGTTTCCTGGTTATATTTATTTGTTTTTACAACAATAGTGTTAAACAATAACGGATTAGAAACGGTAAAATTCTGTCAATGCACGCTTTATATTATTATTCAGTTAAATATGAATAACCTACATGAACGTAACCTACGAATAACACAGTTGTTTAGGAAACAAGTGTTAATATAAACATATGAACTAGTTTTTTAAAAACGGCTGTTAGTGTTTATTTTGTAGGACATATTTTCAATACTCAATTTAACAGTGCAACAAGGAAAGAGAGAGTCTGTACCGACAATTGACGCTAAAAACTAATTATAAATATTAGTTTCTTAATAGCATATCTTTTTATATGTGAAGAAGTTATAGACTGGCTTGTTAGGCTAATAATCGTGGGTTCGTTTCTCACCGGATCCAACATGCTTCTAATTTAAAATATTTCTAAAATATGTTGAACTTTGCCTGGAAATGTAGATATTAGATGGGTGATATGAATATCGAAATTCCGTCCGTGTTACACACCACCGTATTCAGGTGCAAAAACTGTGAAATTTAGTGCGGTTTCAGGCTGTATATATCTGAATACCCAAAGCCGACATAGGTCGACAACGCACAATATTGACATGAAGGGTATTTCACCTTTGATCGAGTGGTTCCTTCCATCCTCATGATGACCTCCTCTATCATAGAAATTTAATTGTTATACATAGAACACGGGACTAAAATCTATGTCGTTTTAGTGTGCACTTAATAATTATACTAGTTATGTCAGCGACTTCAGGTAGAAGGTATACATATAACATCGCGGACTTTTTTTAGGTCATTTAAAGAAGAATCATTCTTTTATACATATTTATTGGGTATCTTGAACCGTTTTTACAGCGTCCGCAATGAAAACCCACAGGGATGAATAAATTCCTCCGTTTTGTCGTCTTTTCCCGCTGTATCTTCGCTCTTATTAGTCAAAACTATATGTTTTATGGCCTTCCTCAATAAATGTTCTAACCAACGCAAAAATCATTTTTCAATTAGAACCAGTAGTTCCTGAGATTAGTGCGTTCAAACAAACAAACTCTTTAGCTTTTTATATCAGTATAGATAAACACAAAATTATCCTTTAGAAAAGCCTTTGTGATGTGACTGTGTGATATTGTAATTTTGAATTTAATAAAAATGTTATTATACCCGTCGCAAGTCTTTAGACTAACAAGTAACTGCTTATTTACCTTTGTTAAGCGTAATGAAAGCAAATAAGGATGTGTGTAATAAGTTATTGTCTACCTCCAATACTTTTTTCTATATTTTATCTTTATGCAAGTATTATTCACAATACATCAAAGCGTGAGGCGGATATTTGCAAGACAAAACGACCGAATGTGTTTGACGACGGGGCCCTTCGTCCGTTATGGTATTGCCAGTTTACATAATGTATCCCTTTCGCCATGCAATCCATCGATAATGTAACACACATAGTTCGATTTTTAGCTAACCTTGTTTAATCTGAATAGACTTAAAGATAATCTATCGTCAGTTGTTTATACGTTGCACAAAAGTAAGAATACGCTCTTTATTGCATTAACCAAATTTTTCATTTCATTCCTTTAAATGCGTCTGTCTAGTCGAGCCAGCAATTTCGTGCGCGTAGAAACCTTCTCCGCCTTGCGAGTTAATCTTAAAAGATAGATATATTCTATCGCTGAATTCCTGTAGCTGATTTACTAAATAATACAAATTTTACGATATATGATAAGATCATCAGACCAACACAAAAAAAATGTAAACAAACAAACAGACTCTTCAGCTTTTTAATATTAGTATATAGTTCTTTTTCCTTTAAATTTAAATTGTCTTTATTATTTTTCCTTATAAAACATTGTCCGGTTATGCACTTCTCTTATCGAACAAAATAGGAAACATTTGTCGATGGGCTTGTAAAAAATATATAAATGTAATCTTTTTATGATATTCCAATATAGATGGTCTTTGTTCCCGCACTA